ACTATTCTCTCAGATTGGGGTTTAGACGGAGATATAAGGGTGCGAATGTATTGTGCAATTGTAGTGCGTCCTGGTAGTAAGTATTAAGAAGAGGTTTGAAACTTTGGAGTTGTAGGTGAAGGTGCCAGCAATGTACAGTGCGCGCAGCAGTCGACAACACAAGTCAATAGATACTAAATCACAAGTCGGGTTTTGTCCCGTTGAGAAGTGTGGAAATGGTGGACCGGTCACTCGAAGCAAATACCGACAGAAGGTTTCACCTAAGGAGCAGAGTCTAGACCCTTTGTTGTGGAGTCGTTTGAGCGCGCCATAAGACCGTGCGGCAAGGTGTCAGCGGCCTCCGTGAAACACGTAACCTGGAGAGCGGAGGGCGGGGCGGAGGGCGGAGCGGAGCGGTCAAAGCGGGTGGCTCATCGCCAACGCCGTTTGGTCCACATTCGAGCGACCCGTCAGTGGGGGATACATATATGCCCTGGTCGAGCTCAAGTCTACTGACCTCGGTAGCAATTGACTAGCACATCAAGATGCCGAACACAGAGAATGGCACAACGAAAGACCATATCAATGGCTTCCTGTCCACGGCTGAATTTGGTGACCCCTACGATGTGATTGTGGTTGGTGGTGGTGCCGCGGGCATTGGTGCTGCGATCGGCGCAAAGCAGACGGCGCCACAGTCACGGGTCTTGATCATTGAGTCCGAGGCATGTCTCGGCGGCGCCGCTACTCACCGTGGAGTTCTCTCATACTGCGGACTTTACAGCGTGGGACCCGACCCTCGAAGGGCGGTAGGGCAAATATGGACGGAACTCCATGCAAGGCTGGTCTCAGAGGGAGCGGCGACTCCCCTTCCCGATAGAGTTGTCGCATATGTTCAGGCAAGACAGAAATTCTACATCCTCGAACTCGAAGCTGATCTTGGTTCCAGCATATCGATCCGGAGGGGCTCAAGCATGTCCTGGATGACATGGTCGCCTCATATGATATTGAAGTTTTACTACATTGTACCGTGGTGGGTGGTGAGAGAACCGATGGCAAGCTTGTCACGGTCGAGGTTCAAGAGCGAAGGGGGAGACGAACAATCTCAGGCAAGGCATTCGTGGACTGCTCAGGGGACGGAGATCTCGCCAGCCACGCCGGCGCGTCGACAAGGTACGGCAATCACGGCCACGTCAACATGGGTTCGTTGGCGACCCGGTTCGGTGGCCTCCAGAACGCCAATCCATCGTCTTCATTGTGGCGAGACGCCATTCAGAAGGCCAAAGCGGCGGATCCAACACTGAAAAAGACTATCCCACGTAACGTCGGGGTCTTGATTCAACTTCCTGGCTCCGGAGACATCTGCACATATATGGCGTCAGCGATTTATGATGCCAGAAATAGTGCTAGTATCTCGTCCGCTGAACGGCAGGGGCGAATGCAGGCCAAAACCTACCTCGACATTCTTCGCAAATTGCCCGGTCATGAGAAAATGTATCTCGTTTCCTCTGGACCGAATTTCGGCACACGCGAGTCTCGCCACATCAACTCGCGCTATCAGCTTACCGAGTCCGACATATTTGAAGGTCGCAGCTTTGGAGATACTGTCGCTCTCGGGGCTTGGTATACAGAATATCATGACGGAAGTAAAGAGGATTGGCCAATCATTTTTAGGGAGCCACCAGAAGGAGTATTCGACATTCCTTTACGCAGCTTGCAGAGTATTGACACCCCCAACCTATTCTGCGCCGGTCGCTGTGCCGATGGAGATCAGGCTGCAGCTAGTGCCATCCGGGTCATGGGGACTGCATTGGCGACTGGTCAAGCTGCAGGAACTGCTGCTGCCCTTACAGCGCAAACAGGCTGCGAGCCCAATTCACAGGACGTCAGGCTTTCGCTTTTGAAGCAAGGAGCGTTACTGGACCGTCACAATTTGGTCAAGGCGCCCTACGTGGAAGAACCCGAGGGTCTCAACATCACTCGTGAGGAGGCGCTAAACAGACATTGACCTGCTTATTACAAGGATCATAACTGAGCATTGAACATCGTTTCATCGATCTCAATGTCCCAACTCAGAGATCCGTGCATGGAGTAAGGCACGTTGTCAAAATTCCATTCGGAAAAGTCAGTTCCCGGGGCTGGGTCGAATGCCTGCCCTAGTGGTTCCGGTGGCAGTTGCGAGTATTCTTGATGGTCGGTGGTAAAGAAAGGGCGCGGCTCCGCTGGGCTCGATGGTCTCGAAATCCTTGAGTCGATATCACTTTCCATCTGGCCGCTATGTGTTGCCACGGGCACGGCAGGGTGGCCTAGACTGGAGGAAGATGCCGCACGAGGGCTTTACTTGGAGAGAGCCTTGGCTCTGAGACTCTTCAATCTTGGCCAGCGCCGGTCGCCTTCGGGAACCCGATCTTCCCATGTGTCGAAGAAGGTGTCGACAGCTCTCCAGGCTCGATCTAGGAGGTCAGGCAGCGGTGAAGTGGTGAGACTGTGTAGAAGGAAGGCAACAGCATCCCACTCAATGTACTTCTGGAAAAGCCAGATCCATCGTGAGTAATTGTCGTTTGTTCGCAACGTGCGGGCATATTCAATGATTTCAACGCTGCTTTGGGTGAGGTCGCGCAGTTGGGCATTAGAGAGCGGGACGGCGTTGTTGCAAGCCGGATGGTTGATGGTAAGCTTAACCTTAGCCAGGACAATTCGGATAGATGTAACAGTAAGGAGACAGATTGGGATTCTGTTGTCGCAGTATCTTAGATATCGGTGATCGAAATCCTTTAACAATGATTCGATAAAGTCATTCTTTTCCGAAAGTGAAAGGCTCGGATATTGGTTATCAGCCGTGAATTTTGGCGAAAAGACCAATTTTCGTGCAGCATAACTCCCCTCGAAGCGGATGAGACTGTATAGCATCTCGGTATGTCGTCGGAGGTTCGATGCCGGCTCCGTCATGTTTAAGTGTAGATCGGCGTCGTTCACATTAGCAGGAAACTTGGTGTCGAACATGTGCTCGCAGATAAAAGGATCCATGTCGTTTTCTTCGGCCGTTCTCACATCGAGAGTTGCAATACACCACCATAGTCTGCGGCGCATTTCTGCCCAGAACGAAGGTACCCCCAAGAAGACCGGGTCACGATGCAGCCCCAACTTCATGGCAAGTCGGATAAGTAATCCAGTCATGGACCATATGTAGGTTTTATCTAACGTCTGTCGAGCACAGGTGAGAAATATTGTTAAGGCCTGCAGTGTAGTTACGTCGGGTGTACTCATGAAGTTTGCTTTTTTGAGTGAGCGCTGCACTCCGTGCCTATAGCGGTCGAGCAGCGGCTGCCGTTCCTCTTGGAATAAAGCTTGGAGATAGGTTGAAGATTGTGTGCTTGTAATGGCAGCGTAGTAGATGGCGAACATAAGACTTTCGAATGCAGGGGGAATTTGAGTTGGATCTTGGCTGGCTTTGAGGATTTGTCGCTGGATCGTGGGAACGTGAAGGATTTTGAAGACTGGGTCGACGTTTTCCACAAATACCTGCCACAGGGCGAAAACATTGTTGCCTTCTGGGTGCAATTGGTGCAGGGCCTCTGATCTGGTCGTCGACTCAAACACAGGCGCTCGATGTTGCGTCGTGTGGTTGGTCACAGGTGGCGACATCTGGAACTCGTTGGATGGTGTCGCAGATTCATCCTGGTCGACATTGTCGAGGCCAGCCCAAAAACTGCTTGTAACGTATCTAGTATCTCCCTCCTCGCAGACGAGTCTGCCACTCCTCAGATCCGACCCTGGCGTCAGACTTGAGAGCGGCTCCGTGTCGTGGTTGACGGTGTCTGGAGGCTGTGCATGTTCAGATGGCCGTGGGCTGGAGTCGCGGTTCACTTTCGATTCCAGTCGGTGGAGTGAGGTCTCGATGGCTTTAAGTCTCAAGAGTAATATGTTTTCCGGCGCCCTTCTCCCTTCTTGGGGAGGAATCGGGTAAACGCATTGCAGACGAAGTTTGGTGCAATAGCTACAGGGCTGCGCTCTGTCGCACCTGATTTTCCGTCTTTTGCAAGCAAGACATGATCGAACTGGCCCGCCTCTCGGGGCTACATTGGGAGCGTCCATAGGAGGTATCAGGTAGGCTGCCTCGATCTCGCGCTCGTCCTTTTGCCACGAGGATCTGACGTCGCCCACAGAACCATGCAGTCTGTTGTGCAGATGTGATGTGAAGGGGACCTTGAGCTTGAGCTGAGTAGCCCTGTCTCGCAGGACTTGTCGAAAGCCAGTTTGTACGTTACAAGATGGCCGATACTAGCAGTCATTGAAGTGAGGAGGGGGTATGTGGACTTGAGGGACGTTTGACACAGAAATGACCGTGGCTCCACACCCTCGTCGCCTTCAAGACGCTAGCCTGCGTAATGCGGTTACCGCTCCATCCCATTGTCTACCTAGAGAAGTACCTTTTTGACCAGGCCACTGTTGGAAAGGGCGAGGGGGGGTAGCTACCGAGTACGAGGTACTGTGGATTGACCCGGGGGTTCCAGCTCTCTGGGGTCAATGGCACCATCGCACCGTGACAGCGGCACCGCGGAGGTCCCACGTCCGCTCTCCGCACCACCGCACCACCAACATTATCAAGCCACCTCGGGCTGGATGGGAGGCATCCAGCTAAAATTCGCTCAACGAGATGGACTGTGGTCTGTCTTCTGTCCAATGCCGCTTCAAGTCGCGAAGGCTCTGCGTCCCGGTGTACAAGGTCCCTCGCCTGAAAGAGCGGAGGGTGTGTGCCGAAGTCCGCGTCCACCAACCGCGCCTTATGCCTCAACTCAGCGAGCGGATTCCCAGAAAGCCAGGCATTCCCCAGTCAGTCTGGGGTTGGGAGTGAGATAAGAGCCCCGGGGAAAGAAGTGGCAGGATGTCCTGTGTATAACGTCGGCCGTGCTCGATCTAGAAGATTATAAATGAGAGGTCCCCCCCCCCCCCGACCCGGGCCCAGTGAAAACCTCGCTCTCACAAGACACGGACAGATTTCAGATCAGAGCGAGGCACACCAAATGGAAAAGTCACTAGACGTTCGCGCCGATGACGGATGGATCGAGGACAAAGGGGCTCGCGCCGTCAACGGTGACCACCCCGACGCCAACCTGACCCCCGAGGAGAGAGCGGAAAAGGTATGAAGTAGACACTCGGGTGACAGTTATACATCACGTTCAAAACCCTTGAGTGACCAGGTTTGACTGACGAGATTGGTGTATCCTTCAGGACCGTCAGCTACTCCGGAAGCTCGACCTTCGCTTGATTCCCTGGCTCTGTCTGATCTATCTTCTTTCCTTTCTCGACCGCACCAACATCGGCAATGCCAAAATCGCCGGCCTACAAGAGGACTTGCACATGAGCAATGGCCAGTGGAATGCTAGCTTGGCCATCTTCTTTGTGTCTTACTCGGTCTTCGAGCCCCTCTCAAACATCTTGCTCAAAAAGTTCCGACCAAGTATCTACATTCCCACCATGTAAGCCTGGCAGCTCAGCAGAGTAATCTCAGACTTACATTTCCATAGTATGGTCCTTTGGGGCATTTCTTGCATATGCCAGGGCCTGGTCAGCGACTTCTCTGGGCTGTCCGCAGTCCGATGGTTCTTGGGTCTCTTCGAGGCAGGCTTGTTCCCTGGTATGCAACCACCCCCCATTCTCACCAAGCTATAATGAGTGAACCGCTGCTAGGCTGCAATCTCTACCTCTCTTGCTGGTATCGAAGATCAGAAATCGGGGCTCGCTCGGCCATCTTCTTCAGCGCCGCCGCCATTGCCGGTTCATTCGGTGGCCTCCTTGCCTACGCCCTGAGCTTGATGCATGGCGTCGGCAACAAGCCTGGATGGGCTTGGATCTTCATCATCGAAGGCCTGCTCACGGTTTTCGTGGCCGCTGGATCGTACTGGCTCATCTACGACTTTCCGGATACGGCCACTTTTCTGTCGCCGGACGACCGCCTACGGGTCTATTACCGCCTGAAGGCAGATCAACAGTCCAGCGCCAAGCACGAAAGCTTCAAATGGGCCTACTTCTGGGCGAGCGTCAAGGACTGGAAAACATATACAACCGCCCTCATGGGCGGAGGGGGTGGCGCGGGCCTGTACGGCTTCAGCGTTTTTCTGCCTACGAGTAGGTGTCTGGTTTGCACCGCCCTCAGACTCCGTTTTTCTGATCATGGGCTTCAGTTCTGGCAGGACTCGGATACCGGTCCACAACGGCGCAACTACTGTCTATTCCACCGTACGCCGTAGCTGCGGTGTTGACGATCGCGGTAGGTTTCATTGGTGATCGAACCAAGCAGCGCGGGTTATGCGCCATTTGTATCGCACCTCTTGCCATCATTGGATACTGTGTACTCATCAGCGATGTGTCCGTTGGTGCGAAATACACGGCGACCTTTCTGGCGGCCATGGGAATCTACCCGGCCGTGCCTCTTTTGGCATCTTGGGCGGCCAACAACACAGAGGGAGTCTACAAACGTGGCATCACCATGGGACTGATGATGGGATGGTCAAACCTGCAGGGCGTTGTGACCAGCAACGTGTATAGAGGCAAGGACGCGCCTCGATTCATCCTCGGGCATTCCGTGGTGATTGGTTACCTGACCTTGGCATACTGGGGGGAGCAATCCTCCACCACCTGCTCCTGAGACACGAGAACCGGCTGCGTATGGCTGGTAAGAGGGACTACCTGATTGAAGGCAAGACGCCAGCAGAGATACAGATGCTGGGCGACAAGAGGTAAGGCCCCCAAGACTCTGTCTGTCTATGGTTCTCTGACGAAGAGTGCAAAAAGGCCTGATTTCCTGTACACTCCGTGACACCGGACACTCCAGACATACTTTGGCGACAAGGAAAGCACAATCAAGGCATTCCGAAATCTGTGGTTTGACACGGGAGACCTGGTAAAGGTTGACGATCGTGGGAATGTCTTCTTCGTAGGGCGCATCAAGGATGTGATCCGCCGGCGGGCCATCAACGCATCGGAGATCGAGGAAGAGTTTCTCAAGCACCCAGAGGTAGGCACGGCAGCTGCATTCGCGATCCCGTCAGGCTTGGGCACGGGAACGGAAGAAGACGTCGGAGTCACGGTCGAACGGCGCCCAGGGGTTAGTAACTCAAAAACCACGGAGAGGGATCTCTGGGAGTGGGCCAGAGGCAATATGGCGCGATTTCAGATCCCCAGTGTCATTGAGATCGTGCCGGAGATCAAGAAGGCAACCAACTGGGAAGGTCGAAAAGCGAGCACTAACGGTGGAAGGGGGCCAGAAGTTTGACAGTAGGACAGCCGTGTCGTGGGTTAAAATTCTCCATGTTGTCTCCTCCGATAATCCGTCCTATCCTGATAAGTCAGAGCAATAAACGGCAAGGCGGCGGGCACTGTAGGTGTATTCGTGATGTTGTTGCCTGGAGAGACAAAGATTTGGTAATATCATGGTCTCGTTGAAGAGAGATCTACTTTCTTCGTTCCCGCGCGTCGGAATGCGGAATGTGGTTATGGCCAGCGCCAACCGAGCCGGGTCGTCTATCCATTCCTTTTCTCCTTACTCCGACCAGGCTGCTCACACAACGAAGAGTGTTGGGCTCTTGTGGAGAGTAGCGTGTCTCGACGGAATAGCAAGCCTCCGAAGGGGTTTCCCGCGTGCCCGTAAATGGACATGTTTGTGACTATGGAGACCTGCTCCTGCAATGTAGTCGGAAGACTGTGGGTGAGCGAAGCGTAAATCGTGAAATCTCAAGCGTTCGACGTCGATTCGGCCGCCTCCTGCCGCTCGCCTTTCTGCGAATTCTGCACCGTCGTGTCGGGGGATTGCCGCTGGTATTGCATGGTTGTTCGCTTGGGGTATGTTTGAAGCCCAGCAGGGCGACCGATGATCTTGCCAGGCTGAGTTTGGCTGCGCAAGTGATGCTCTTCGATTTCATCCTTCATGCCACTGGTCATACCACTGGTGATACAGCAACGGCACATCCAGCTTAAGGGAAAGCCGTTGTCATTCACATACTGGGAGGCTGTGTAACTGTGTGTCTGCTTCATGGTGAGAGGAAGTTCGAGGGATTAGAAATTCTGCCCAGTGGAGGAGGATGGGTGGTGAGTTTGGGACACTTGTCTGGGAGTCAGTTATTAATGCACGAGAGGTTGTCTCACAAAAAAACCGAATGAGGGGGGCGCATTGGGGCGGTAGGAGGCTGAATCCTGGGGCAGTGTTACAGCTCCGAGGACCGAGCCGAGGGGGTGAGACACAGGCGACTTATCGTTCGGGCTCACCCGTGTCGCCTTAGCTTGCGTGCGTGGTGAGCATAGGGCGGCATCACCCTAGTCTCGAAGGAGGGTGGGCTCGCCGTCGATTGACCTCCTCTTAATAAAGCCCTACGTGTCTACCAACAGACATGATGGTTGTCTTGATTACCTCGGGCATCAAGCTTCAATGCATTTATGGGAGTGACCAAGTCAGTCAGATCACAACGTAAGTCCAATTCCCCTAAACCTCGCAACCAACTGCCTGGCCTGGCGCAGTACGTCTTACAAGCTGTTCAGCTATGACTCTGCAGCACGAGAGATGTTGCAGAGGCCAGTCCATATCAGCTCATTTTCGGAGGATGTCAAGAAGCATCAAGAAGACGCCTCTCCGCAGAACACCAAAGACAGCTTTTTGAATGGCAGAGAAGACGTTGCTGATGCGACAGCGGTTCAAGCGAGGCCATCAAAGACACTGAAGACGGAACATCATAGACCGTCTCCGATTAGGTCGCGTGAGTATCAAGATGCCGTCTTCGGAATTTCCAGCTGCGAAAGCTTACTGGAATGGGCAATCTTCGAGCCCTTCAGAGGATTGGGGACTGTCAAGTCATTCGTGTTACCATCGCAGCAAGCAACAGCGGCGGGCGACCAAACAAACGACGGAGACAGGAATTGGCAAGTCCATGAGGACCATTTCGTCCCGCCCTGTCAACGATTTATGAAGATTGTTCTTCATCCGACCCTTCCCGTGCTGAATGGCTCCGAGATCGACATCTTGTTGCAAGCGTATAATGGAACGGCGAGCCATGAATAAAGAGCAGGTGCCTTTTTCAACTGCACTTACTGCGTACTATACCTGCAGATTGCGGGAAGGATGCGTGACTACTTCGCCCTCCTCTGAAGCTTGACAGGCGACGCACTCAGGAAGCATATCCAAAGTCTGGATTAGCAATGTCTTTTTTAGCTCCTCGAGAGAATTCTGTGCGGCACGTACTACCGTGTTTTTGAAATGTCCTTTGTTAATGTAATGCCTATCTTTGTTCGAACGTATATATAATATATATATATATATATATATAATGCATGCACTTGTCGATCACAACGTCCGCTGCTCCAAGACCATATACCCGCATATACCTCGATATATACGACATTCCCAGAGAATGACCATTCCATCATTAATTAGTCTAATGTATCAAGCCCCAACAGGGGCTATTTTTGGTTCGGGTCAGTAAAAATTGAGCAGACCAACGCTCCTTTCTTTCTCACTACCTCCCATCCCTGGCCCAGAAGCTGGGCACCACGCCGAAAAGGCTCACCAATGCCAACCACCACCACGCCCAGCCGACAACCCCCTTCTCCAGCCCCTGGCCGTACCAGTGGCCCGCGACAATGGGCCCAATGGTCCTGAACGCACTGGACGTCGCAGCGCCCATGCCGTGGATGGTGCCCAGCATCGCGGGGCTGGGACTGGAGTTGTTGATCAGCAGGACCGAGCCGGGGATCGCAAAGGTTCGCGCGGCGACCTGGAGCACCACGACGATGACGATGCCGATCCAGAGCAGGAACGGGTGAGAGATGAGCAGCGACAAGTACGGTGCCAGGGCGTAGGCGACGGGGAACACGAAGAGGGACCAGCGCGTGGAGCGCAGGAGGCCGAATCGTGCATTGATGCTCGGATACAGGGTCAATTGTAGGATGATCCCGACAAAGCCCAGAATCGACATGGCCAGACCGATCGTGGGGAGACTAAATTGCAGCCCACCCGTGAAGACGAAAGGCAGGTGGATGGTGGCCTTCTCTTCGTCGGTGGCTCGGGCGGAGGAAAGGAAGATGGTCCACAGGGAGGCGAAGCCACCCATCTGGAAATCCATAATGGCGACGGTTGCCAGCACCAGGAGGACGTTGGAAGTGATGGCGTGGTAGAACGGAGGGGCGGATTTGGGAGGCTCGGACGGCCTGGGAGGTGCCTTTGACGAGGTTGCCGCGGGATTGCTGCTGTCGCCTTCCTTGGGCGGCAGTGTCTCCAGGGGCGTGCTCGAGGGCATGTTTTCGTCGTCCACCGTATCTGGCCCAGCCGCCGCGTCTGCTTGTCCCAGCTGGCTGTATCCGAAGCGCTGGAAGACCATGGTGCGGATGCGGTAGGTGATGTTTTCGGCGAGCTCGATGCCTCGGTCTCGGTTGTATTTACGGGAACCCAGCGTTTCTCGCAGACCCATCCAAACGAGCAGTGCGTCGACGAAGAGCACGAGCGCGCAAAACAGATTGGGCGCCGCGTACGGGAACGTCGTCAGCCATGAGACTCCATGGGCTCCGCCAAAGGTCGAGTTTTCGCCAAAAAGACCAGGGTAGTTGTGTACCGGGTCGGAGAGCATGCCGCCAAACAGCGGGCCAAAAATGTTGGCAATGTTCCATGCCAGAGGCAGTAGCAGGAATGTCCTTGAATGGTATTTTTTCTCGGTACTCTCTGCCAATGCGGTCCTTGCTCCTCCCACTGTTGCGTTGATGGCACCCCCCAGACATCTCCAGACCACGGCCGCCGCGAAACTTCTTGAGAATGCCACGCCGATACAGCTCAACCCTTGTCCCGTCAGCCCGATCAGAAGCACAGTCTTTCTCCCAAACGACGGAGAATCAGCCACCCGCCCCCATAGGATGCCTGTAAACACCTGGGCGGCTGTGAAAACACCCTGCAACACGCCGGCCTCGAAAGATATCTGGCTGTCCGGCGCCGAGGGCGAGAATGACTTGAGTTGATAAAACATATACGCCTGCAGGGCGGCCTGTTGGAAGAAATCAACCACCCGCACGGAGCATATTATAAAGAGTTGGAATTTGTTCGGTATCGAGGCCCATGATGGGGGTGGCGGAGGCTTGCCCGGTCGGGTCTCGACGTCGTGCCGCATGATTGACGAGGGTCTATGGGTATGGGTATGGGTATGTGTATGTGTATGTGGATGCGTATATGCGTCACCGGAGTATGTTCTTGTAAATTTTCATATATGCCAGCATGATACGCTCGATCGAACGGTGTACGTCTCCAATGCGGAGGGGTGTCGTCGACTTTCGTAGGATGTCTCGCTAAAGGTCGTGACGAGGGCGCAGCCGGCGTTGTTGGCTGTACGAGTCAGCAACAGTGCTTTTTGGCGGGATACAAGCGACAGTCAAGTGCTCGTATGAAATCTCTGCGGTATGTGCAGAACCCAGCAGGCCCTATGTCGAAAGAGAGGGCTGGATATGGCAGTATCGGTACCGTGACCAGGCCAGAAGAGAGATCTGATAAAGGATATCCGAAGTCGGGGAAGCAGACACGAGAAAGGGCCTGTTGGCGCTGGGAGCGAAAGGTTTGCAAGACGTCAACCCACAGTAGCGGGAGGTTTTCTTGGTACTACGCACATTGCCTAGTCGGTACATAGTGCCCGGATGGCGGACGCATCAGCACCGTTTGGCTTGCGCAGGCCTAGTTCCTCCCTAGAAGGAGATACGAGCAGCGGCACTAGGCCTGCAAGACGCCCCCCCTTTCGCCCCGTAGCATCGGCATGGGCTCAACCGAGCCAAGCCTGACAAGCGTTTTGTTCGTCAGTCGGACCCGGGAGTCGGGCCCCCAACCCAGTTGCGGGAAGGAGTGGCATGGGGCCTATTAGTAGTCGCCTGGGCACTTGGCTGGCACTGGTCACCCACTTACGGCAGCTGCAGCATACCTACCATTGGCGTTTTCCTTTAGGCGAGGTGGCTCTGACTCGCTCCAACCCTGCAAAGTAGTTTCGCCTGTAAAATGCTGGGGCGCCTCTGCTCGTATGTATGTAACCTGTCAGGGATTCGGATCAGCGTCCAGAGGAATCACAAGGAATCACAGCGGCTCATAGTGCGGAGGGGCGACCGGGGGAGATGCCAGGACTCAACTCGTACAGGTTGATTGCAACTCTTCGATCCACGTAAAGTAGAGAGATCAAGAAGGGGAGAACGAGGGCAAGAGCCAGAGAGCCAGAGAGAGTGTGGGAGCACGAGTAAGGGCGTTTCGGCCATGGGCATATCAGATCCCACTTCTAGTGCTTCGCAATCATATTCCAAGATTACCAGCAAGCTGTCATTCCAGCCCAATACTAATGAACCACTACCCAAGGTGACCTACAACCAGGGTCAAGGCCCTTCCCTTCATTTCTGATGTATTCGCCGGTCGCCTTTTGTCCCCCCTTTCGGTGATTTCCTTTTTCCTCCCTTTCTTAGCCCCCAGGGAAGCGAGCCTCGTTTGATGGGAAGGCTGAGGACAAGCATTTCACTATACCAGTCCTTGTCCCCTAGAGCTTACACGTGGAAATTTTCTTCGTCTTCCCCCGGCAGCTGCATGGGAAATATCTCGAGCAGATCCAATGCTGCATCTGGCACGGGTTAATTGCGGTGCCCGGCAGCCCATGGACCTACAGTATTGTACTGCCCCAGCTTGCCGTATGGGTGGTGGGACACGATGCAAGTCTCCGCGCAAAGCAAGGTGTGTAACCACCCTCCCACCCGCCTTCTGCCCGTCGTCAAACAAGCCGGGTGTCTCCTCGTGGCCTGCAGGTACTCGTTGCATATGTGTCCTTCCCAACCAGCTCTTCCCTGTCCGGCTGGATCCCTGCGACAGGCGGCATCTCGGTTGTGGCACCCTAATCTTGATACACGGTTTGGGTTTTCGCTGCTTGCTTGCTTGCTGGCTGGATGGCTGGCTGGCCTGCCTCCTATTATGTAGGCACTCATTGCATGGAGGAGGGTCAGCCATGTGGCCACTCTGCAAATCTGTTCCTTTCCATCCAAAGAAGCCCTATCAGCCAGTTCATCCGTGCTAAAACTTGGATGGTGGGCTTGAACAACCAGGGCCAGCACGGCTAATCGGCATGATCTCGTCCCCACCGTGGCCTCCCCGGGGGCAAATCCAATGTAATATACTCGGTGAAATGGGCTTGTAAAGACAACAAGCTATTACTAGGACTTGCTTTCTCTCCCGTTCTTTTCTCGGATCGTGATAGCTGCCACAAGCTTCGCTTAAAGGCCTTGTTCGACAGAAAATGCTGTCCCGCCACCGGAAATGTGAAGTTAACAACACCCCCATAGCCATTGCATTCCCAGGTGGTGTTGGAGACAAGACGCCTCTCGTCAACTCGCATCTCTTTTTGACACAAAAGAGCAGACTCTTCAAGGTCAGCCATTGAATACCGGGCCTTGGATTTTCTTCTCTGGAGCCTCACGTTGCTCTCTCTTCCTTCCCGGATCGCCGGTAAAGATGGTGGCTGCAAGCGGTTGCAGTAGTGCAAAGTCTGTAAGCGGGCTGCCCGGAAGCTGGTGATTGGAAACAGAGGACAAGAAGAGAGTGTCGACACGCGACAGGAAATTTTCGAGCTTGTCGAGATGATTCTTTGGGGGGGGGGGGGGGGGGTTGATAAAAAATACTCGTATTAATCGTTCGTGACATCATTCATTACCTCTACTCGCAAGAAAAGGAAGATGCTACATAGATATTCCTGTGGCCATGCCCGATGAAGCGACACAAGAACATCCTTTTCGCAAAAATGCTCATGACATGACATCTAAATCCCGATAATTCAGCAGGTTTAGGGGCTCTAATGCAATGCGCCGGAAAATGTCAAGACGGGTCTGTAATCATGGGCGTCCGGTCGCCGTCCTGCTCTTCCAGCGACAGAGCCTTGTAGCCAGCACCGGCGCCGACCTCCCTCCCTCCTTTTCTCTTCACCGCTCGGTAGACGTTGTGGGCCAGGACATGGACCGGCCGCGAGACGAAGTTCCTCGTCGCCAGCACGATGATCAGGATGATGAAGACGGCGAGCCCAGCGAACGTGCCCCCGTAGATTTCGGCGTTCTTGATCCTCTCGGCCCGCTGCCGGTCGGCTTCCAGTTTCTCCTGCTCTTGCTTGAGCTTGTCCCCGTTGTCCTTGTCCTGCTTTGCTGCCTGCTCTTTCTTCCGCTGTTCGGGCGAGGGCATGAAGCGGCAGGCAACGTCGTCGCAGTACTCCCGCAGTTGCTCGTTGGGGATGAAGGTCGACTGGACGGCGGACGCCCCCAACACCTGGCCATCCTTGTCCAGGGCTTCGGCGTACGAGTACGTATACGTCCCGTCGTGCCTGGAGATGGTTTCGAACCCGTTCTTGGGCACGGTCGAGATTTCCTCCCACGGGCCCTGCTTGGATTCTCCGCCGTAGAACCGCCACGACTTGACTTCCGTGGCGCCATTCCACGAGGCATAGATCATCATTTCTCGGCCGTCCTTGGAGTACGTCCACAGGGCAGGCTTCGTCAGCGGCATGCCCACCCAGTTGTCGAATTTGTGGACTCGATAGTTCATGGTGTTTGTCCACGCAAGCGCCCCGTAGAAGATAATCTCGTACGTGTCCGGGGCGTACTCGGTCCAGAAGGCATCGTTGCCCCAGCCCATGACGATGCCTCCGTTGGGGAGAATTTGCATGTTGCCCTGGGATTTGGAGATGTGCGCGTGGCCGTCGACGAACGGTGGGTCGAGATTCAAGAGACACGTCGCTACTTTCGTCCGGTGGTCCACCACAATGATCTGGCCCGTCGAATGCGGCTGGGTCTGGTTGAAGCCGTTAGTGCCATTGTCGAACAGGGAGAGCACGGTGTGCGTTTCGTTGTCGGAAATGAATCGGGCGTCATGCTGGGAAGAGAACTGGAAGCCCTCGAGTGCGTAATCCGATTTCGCTCCGTTCAGACGCCAGATGACGTGGCCATCGACTCCTGAAACCTTATACACCGCAGAGGTGTGGCGCGCCGAGATCAGGTAGTCGCCGTCCTTGTTTTTGTCGATGGAGTTGATGTGGAAGTAGTCCCAGGGACTGTCGGGGTGTTCAGCAGTTCCGCTGATCTCGGTGGTACTCGGTCCAACCCAACTCTCGCTGGGGTGGACATGGTCCAGGCTGTGCCATTCGAACAGAACTTCCCCCGTGTCGACGTCGACCTCCTGGAACGCTCCTTGCTGGATGTAACCAAGACCATCGCACAGATTCCAGGGACACATGTCGTAAACGCTGCGGAGGTACTGGGTCATGAGCGCTTGTTTCCCGTCATTGATAATCCTGAATTCGTGCATGTCGGAAGAGGCCTGGTAGCTGCCCGGCTCAATGGATTTGACGATGCGATAGTGTTTGTCCATGATGAGGCCGTGGCCGTGGCCCCAACCGAGCATTTGCACTCCCTGATAGAAGCATAGATGGATCTCGCCTTTGTACATGCATGTCTGGGGCGCGTGAGAGACACCGGGTCCAGCGCTGCCAAAGCCCGAATATATCAGGTTCTCGTGGGAGATTAGCAGGCCAGACTACTTCTTCAAAAGATGGCACTAGACTTACAGCATCGTTGTCGTATATATGGACGCCTTCCTGGGCTGCTTGGTACGGGGCGACAAAGTAGTAGCCCGGCGCGAGTTTCTCTGCCTGTCTTCGAAAGACGCTGAGAATGGGCGCAAACAAATCAGGCCTCTATTATTATGCGACATTTGGTCAATCCGGTGCGTCCGAGCAAAGCGAAGCAGTATTTGCAAAAGGGGTGTTGCTTACCGATCGAAAAATGGAGATGGGTTGAGTCTTGTTGTCGGCGGCTATTCTCCAGGCGAACAGGCATATTAGCCAGCACTGCAAGGATAGCGAGAGCCTCATCGCATCAGCCTTTTGCCGGTCTCGGTTCAGCAAAGAACCAAGAAACCAGCAACGAATGTCTTGTGCGAGGTCAAGAAATCAACCTCCCAAAAGCAGAATCCCCGAGAGAATCGAAAAAAAGGCTGACCCCCTCAAAGTAAAAGCCTGGAACACCCGCTTATCCAGATCTGCACGGGGCGCGAGCACCGGAAGTCGCTGCCAACTTGCCAAGAGGCACGCGATTCTCTTCTGGTCCAGCAAATATCCGACGTGGCGGAGAGGATCCGAGTTTCAGCTTTCAGGCTTCCCCCGTATCTGACGCTGAGGCGGTTGGACACCCCAAAAGGGTTGGAATATAGCAATTTCGGGCGGTGGGAGGCCCCTTCGTACAGGTTGCTCGGTACCAAGTCCAATGCCTGATTCGAAAAAATGACACGAGGACAAGAACAAGGTAGTGATATGGGAAAGTCGTTAGCCACCGGCCCTGTGGGTACGGCCCTTATGTGGTTCCTTTGAGCTCCCGGCCCCCAGCCAGAGCAAACGCCTACTCATACCTTGTACACCTGAATTGAAATGACAAGGTGAGCAAGTCCACAGAACTTTTAGCCACTGTGCCGAGACACTAGTTCAAGCCTTGAACGGGGGGTGATGGTGTGAAGTAATAGTACTTGTAGTTAGTCCGTTGGCCACTAAGCGGAACCCCCGCCTGACCTCTGTACCAACCAGTTTATGTCAATGATAGGAAGGCAGGTGCTGATCTTTGGGATTATCTAGCGGCACGGTTGCAATGTATCAAGTGGGTTAAGCTCAATGCTCGAGCTCGAACCCCGGCTAGCTCCCATCTTATCAAAGATCATATCATCATATCTAAAGTGTCTTTTTTTCTCTCTCTAGGTGAAGCACGAGAGGTGAGAAGCATTGTCAGACTGCATCTTGTATGGAGTATATCGGTGACACCGTGGTAGATTTGTTCTCTAGATGTACCGATAGACCTAAATGAGGTAGCTCCTCTGTCTCCCCCGTCTAAAGTACTCGTGTTCAATAGTCCCAATCAAGAGTCGGAGAACGACCGGTAGCTATGATAAAGCTTGATATCTTGTACTGCTCGATACTACCTGACGTCGGCAGGAGCCGACGACCTCTATCAGTACATACTACCTCAGAATGTGTCCAAAACTCCCCTACCACTTTTTTGGTCCAAACCCATTGCCAAAGCCATTATGTCTAGAAGAGAACAATTGCGCCAGCGCCCATAGCAAAGATTAGAACAAGTAATTACACACAAAACCCGCCAAAACACCCAGGCTATGTACAAATCTTGCCCTGCATGTGCGTTGGACAGAGTCTCCTCGTAGTGGTTGAATCAGGAAGCTGCCGTCCAGAGTGGGGTGTTCTGCGCAAACTTGGGCAGGTAGTGGGTGTAAGCAAACGTCGCCGACAGAGCAGTGGCGACCACGGGAACTCCCACCACCAGGGCTCGGAAGATAACGTTCATCATCTGCTTGCGGTTTTGTGTTCTGCATCGTTGCACAAAGTTCTCCGCGTCATTGGATCTTGGGAATGGCTTATCGGGAATGGGCTCGCCGAGATACTCGCACAGAGGTCGCCAGCCAGAACTGACGCGGTACTCGAGCAGCTTCCCCGGTGGCACCAATTCTCGGATCTCCTTATAATAGTCGTGGAACCTCTGCTTCCCCTGGTTCTCGAAGTCGTCGTAAAAGAAGTACTTCCAGAATTTGCGCAGCATCGGGTGGTACAGGCCGGCGGCCCAGTCAAAATTGGCAACGGCCTTAAGTTCAGGGTCATTGGCGCGCCAATTGACCGTCTTCATGACCGAGTTATGCCACGAGTCCACGTCTCTCGTTGTGATAATGACTTTGGCGTCAGGGTACGCCTCGATCAGTTCTTTGGCAAACGCCACTGCAGGCCAGTCGCAGACTGCCTGGCAGTGGCCGAAGAGTGCATCCCACTCTTCACGGCCAAACTTTCCTTTGCCCTCGAACTTTGCAGCAAAGGCGTCCATCCAGCAGAGACAATCAGGCGGATTTTCAACACTAGCGGACATCATGTGGTAGGTGTCTGTGTAACCCAGCTCTTTCAGGGCGGCTCTTAACGAGGCTGTACCCGTCCTCCCCAGGCCGAGTGCCAGCACTCTCATCGGTACGATTCTTTTGCATTGCCGGCGATCGATGTCGGTTTGGTATGGGGTGAATATGTCGGTGGCAGGCTTGGGAGTATATGGAATTCCTGATGCCATTGCGGAAGGTGGTTTAACGAAAGATGAGGGTTGTTCCGAGAGACTATGTGCGTGAAGTCAATGGCGCGGAGACACTGGACGGACGAGCACAAGCTTGCGCAATGGAGCTCAGTATTCGGCCAGCACCAAAGATATAATGATAGCAGACAAGGCTAGGTAGGTGTTCTGATCGTTGGACCGGTGTTGGAAAAAGAACGGAGGGTGGAGGAAAAGATATGATTGCACAGAGGAAACAAATCTTGGGAGGCTCTTATTCAGAGGGGCCGAAGTTCGCAGCCCTGGTAAGGCCTATCAGTATCCCAACGGAGACGCAACACGGGCCTTCGATCTTAGCCTATTGGGGAGGTGCGTTCGGAAAGAGACACGAGAGAGAGAGGAAAAGGTTGAAGAGCGACCGGGGAAACATGTAACGGGCACCTCCTTTTTTTGCCCGCAAAACCTGAAGATAGGAGGATTCAGCCGGGGAGGGGAGGGGGCAATTTGCCTGCCGGTCATTTCACTGTTTGGCGAACGAAGTATCAATCGAATCTCTCAAACGAGTATCCCATGCAACCCAGTTTCTGGACAATCTTTGGCCTTCTGGGAATTGGGGCGATCAAAGGTGTGCCAGGTGCCAGGATGGGCGCCGTGCGGTGGGCCGCCCACGCCGCCACAAGCCAGGGTGGAGGATGGGTGGATGATGCAGGTATTACCGCACGGCCAATCAAACGGCCCTGTTCAAATGACCAGCGGACTCTGCCAAGAACGCCACTTACGACGCCTCCTCGCCAAAAGATATTGGGGCGGACTTGCGTCTCGGGCGGGTGAGCCAGTCAGACCGCGCCATGGCCAAAAGGAGGTGGAGCTGGTTGGCACCCGAGTCAGACGGAGTGCGTTTGCCAAGACCGGCTGGACCCAGAAACGCGTCCAAGCAGCAGCGAGGAACGTGGGAGGGCGGGAACGGGGGGGAGGTGGAGAGGAGTATTCGTCACGAAGATGCACTTTTGCAGCAGGGTACACGCAGACACGGGGCAAACACAGCTCAAACACTGTAGAGAGGGGAGGGAAGATTGCCACGGGTACCTGGCCAGCTGGTCTCGCAGCATGTGCTCTAGTTCCCGCGACGACAGGGACATATCGCTTCACGGGATTGAATGTAGTGGTGTGGCTCTTTTTTTTTCTCGCATGGCCAAGCGAGTCCTGGTAAGTGTAGCGACAGACTCGGCGTGGCAGCTGTCCTCAATGTCTGGTACATGTACTATGACGACTTGGATGGTTACTTAGCTCCGGGTACACGGGCCAAGGAGAGGCGTTGGCCAACTTTGATTTTGGCGGAAAAGAGAGAACGACTTTTGACGCCGATATCCGGACGCTTGAAGATTGGTTAGTTACCAAATAGCGACGGATTGAGATCAATAGAGAGATTATGAAGGCAGCCAAATCGGGTGTTCCATTTGCCTCGGAACACCTTCTTGATAAGGACGGCTTGGCACATCCAAGCTGCTAAGAAGAATTACAGCGAGGATGCCAGTAGGTAGAAAGAGGAGTGATACATCCACCATTTGAACCCCCTCTGTTCTTGTCACAGATACCTATCGACCTTGGGAAGTGGTCAGCTGTCAAAGGAAAATGCAGACAGAGAGACATCGACATCAACGTTCCGTGACTGCTCCGGAATCCGGAGTGCCCCTTGAAACACAGTCCGACATTTACCGAAGCCAAACCCCCTCATAGAGAACACCAGACTGGAAATCCAGGTAGCCTGACGAGTCCAGAGGAGTCCATCTTGTAGGAGGTTACTGTGAAGCTAGAACCATATGCAGCTACATGGGCTCGCAACGTGTCTCACATCTGTTCTACCGGCAGGCCATCACCGACAAACCCCCCCCCCCCCCCCGGGGTGCGTGGACAGGACAGTACCGGACACCAATCTCCACCAATCAACCAAACATGCAAATTGCGACACCCCTTCGGTTTATGTGAAGTACAGGATCGCCTGGACGAATATGCCTGTAAGAGATCGCTATGCACCTCATACAGAAAGATCGACAGGGGTGCTTGACATCGAACGGCGGGTCGTGTCTGATATGGGAGACCTTGGCAGTTGACAAGCAGACGCATATACACATTTGGATATCGGACACCTCGTACACTGCACACGCATGGAGAAGGATGAGTCTGATTTCAGGCACTGCTGCCGAATAAAGACCAATCGGGCGTCGCTGCATGCGATTGCGTTCCTGGATCGACGTTTTCGCCGCTGACTTCTGACAACAGTACATGTCTGCAGCATTCACAAGGACCGGAAGTCGTCGTGTGAGCAGTGATTAATCTCCGTATTCATCTCACTAGAAACCCTGACCCCCATCCTTTACGGGCAAGGAGGCATCTCTCAGCTTGCATATCGCCCAGAGCTGACTCCTATCCTTTGCCATACCCCGCAGTTTGCGAGGTACCAGTATTCAACTCTAACTCGTATGGTCAGCCACGTGTCACAAGCACATCTCAAGATAGCCCAAGGCAGCAGCCAGCGGCGTACTAGCTACCTGTGTACCTGGGCCCTGGGATGGATCCGGTTTAGCGATAAGCACTATTCGATCTGCTGTGGCATGAACTTTGGCATCAGGAGCCCCTTTGGGGTAGCAGCCTGCCTTGCAGAGTTAAGTTCGTCTAGAACTAGCCCAGAGCCGCTTCCTTCCCCTGGGCCGGATCGAGACGGAAAGGTAAAAATTTAGAGCCAGGCAAAAGAAGACAACATGTAAGAAGGGCCACGGGAATAATTGTGGATGAGAGCAGGTATGTTACCTAAGGAGGAATCAGCGAGACTAAGCGCGTGGACCAGGTTGGTCAGATTTGGCAAAACTACCCAGGCTCTTCTTGGAAGAGGAGACGATGTCGCGCCATAAACCCGGTAAGCCAACAAAGATGGAGAGAAAGAAAAGAACCACACCAGACTCTGGCTCTTCGTCGTATGGACTTCCACCGATTGAACACTACGCTACTCTCTGGCCAGCTTAGCCTACATACCGCGTATACCTCGTCCACGCCTCATCGCTCTCCAAGCCGTCAATATCCGCTTTGAACAGACACGCCCCGAGAGCCATATCTCCCTCCTTATCCTTTGGCATAACGTAGGACAGATCAGGCAGTTCGTCCAACTTGGCGCGCCGCACAAAATCGGGCTTCCCACCCAGAAGCGGGCCAAAGTCACAGCTTTCGGCGAGATCCAGCTGCGCCCACGACGAGATGAAGATGTCCTTGGCCAGCTTTTTCCGCGCCCCATAGAAGATTGTCTTTTTGTCTTCGGTGTTGGAGATCAGGGTTGCCAGGCTGCGGACGTAATGGTCGTCGACTTGCTGCAGAGACTGGCGGATATCGTTTGCCACCGTGGAGAGCGGTGACTCGGCAACCGTACGGGCAGCGGGCCATTCCGTGTAGGAGAGCCCAACAAGGTGGCCCAGGTAACCCTTGGGTACGGGAGGGTTCAGTCTTGCTCTTCCGTCCGCGGCCCTGAGACAGTGGATTGCTTCGTCTGGCGAGACTCGACCGGCGGCGATGCGCACGACGGTAAGGCGTTGGGTGTAGAAAGCAGTGATGGCGTCGTTGGTAGAGACCTGCTTCGTCGAACCCGATGTGGCAAGCCTCTTGAGTTCGACGACCTTGTCTCGAGGAAAGCGCCAGTAGACCCAGCGAGCGGCCTGGGTCGGTTGCTCCTTTGCAGGCGGTGCGGGAACCGGACTGGCGGCTGGAATCTGGCTGGAAGGCGCCCGCATCTCATCATGAGTAAGTGCCGTTTCCCCTTCCTTTAACAACGGCACGATGCCGTCGGCATCCTGGTTTCCAGCTGCTACAAGCTGCGGATCAAAGTCCTCGCCCCTCATTGCTGTCGCGAATTGTCTGATCAGAACACCCTGCCCATTCATGTCGAGCGCGTTGTGCATGGAGGCGAAGCAGAGCAACAATCCGCCGCGAACGAAATTCGCCTGGACGATGAATACAGGCTGCTCCACCGACTGGTCATACACATAGCCCATCCCCCTCATGGGGCAAATGACACTCCCATCGAGCATCGAGAACGGCGCGTGGGCTCGAACGATCTCGTCATATGATGGACACAGCCGAGTGCAATCTTTGGGTCGGACCGGTGATTTCCCATCCGAATGTGGAGCGTATGGCACAATCCTGTATATCCCTGAGCTCGTGGCTGATCGTCCTTCGTTGATCACTTTGCCGGTGAGAAACGGGTAGGCGTCCAGGAGTCTGAGCGCGGCTTGGTCGAGGGCCTTGGTGACCGTCTCTGGTGTCGAGCCGGCTGCTGTACGAAACCCGAGCACTACTATGGTGTAGGTGTCCCAGCACAATTGTCCAAATATGCCCGGCTGGCGCATGTTGTTGGCTGTCATTTTCGTTGATCCTAGTCGGCAGGGTGTGATGTTTAGGTCAGACCAACAACTTGCACGCCGTCCTGTTGGATTGGCAAAGGAGCAGGAGGAGTTATCTATATAGAGCACTCTTCCAGGGTCGGCCTCCTGAGGAATATCCAAGGCTCTTTCTTCACTTGCATTTGATGCTGTTGCAAAAGGGCCAACAGCATCGAGTATGCTAGCTCGTCCAATAAACCTTTTCGTCGTATATTCGCTTTGCCGCCTATGCCCGTCTATCCTCTAGCACCACCGGCCCGGATGACATATCGGGCGTGTTATTGGCCACGCTCCTCTACTCAGCAGGGGCCTTACGTATGACGCGGCATGCAGCTTGAACATCACGGGCAAGGATAAGCTGTGTCAGGCCGGCGATGAGGGCCTGACATGCAAAGCCATAATTAGCGCGCACATCCCTTCTCTCTGTTAGGACTGTTGTGAGGGGGGGAGGTGTGACAATCGTCCCAAAAAGTGTAAATTTTGTGGGGAGTAAATAATCCGCATGGCTAAACTATACGGACGTGTAACTGAATGATCTTGACCACGGGCACTGCCACCGGCTACCGAACTGTTGACGAACCCACTCCGCACCCCAAATCCCATTGCAACACCAATATCCATACCCCGGTTGTAGACTGCTTTTCCCGTCTCTGGTCAAGCCCGATCAATAAAGGCGAAAATCACTAATGTTGGGGCTTGCCGATTGGCCGGTGGGTTCGCCTGGTACCACTGGCGCTGATTGCGTGCTGATGGCATGTCCTGGTCGTCCTCAAAGCACTTCTAGGGAGAAACGTTAAAAAGTTGAGTCAGATATCCCCCGAGCAGATCACTTGGATGCTTTTGCCTTTCGGGCATATTTATCATGGATGGCATCTTTGCTGACCTTTCCCCGTTCCTGTTCTGCCGTGAGATACCTGATGGGGAGCGAGGGTTTGCGGTGTTCTAGAACATTTGCAACGAGAGATTCGTCTGGGTCTCGCCGTTGTGTCAAAAGGGAACTGCGCCACCGGATTCTCGCCGATCTCGCGTCAGAATCGGGTTTCGACAACTTTGATCGACAACAACCTTCATGCGCACATCCGTGAATGCGTCCCCGGCGAGACCCTTTCACCAGAACAGCAACGCCGTTAATAAAGACAGGCGCCAAACAGCGCAAGGTCATCTTCGCCGTCGCTAAAATTTGCGTGCAGACGACCTCAGAACAACGCTTGAGAGCAGGGCTACAAGGAGGGTTCTTCTGAGGTGCCGGCCTCCAACGGGCAGCTCAAAGGCCACAACGGACGCGGACTTGGTTGCAAGCTCACGGCTAGGCCTTACAGTATCGATGGAAATGCAGAAATCACAAGGACAATGTTATTCTACCGTCCATTACCAGGTGGGAAGTCTCTTGGGGAGATCAGAATAGGACAAGTATTGAGATTGTCGGACCAACTTTTCTCCGATGCAAGGCTACCAACCCCTTTCTGCCCAACAATAGGGTCTCTCCCATACCGTTTCACCAAGCTTCCTCCTCGCACGTCTTTTCATCACTTACACTTACTGAATAACGGCCTTTAAATTCCCTTCTCTGCCTTACTTACGAGACTGCGTGACACCCTCGTGTACCACTAGATTCTCAACCCTCGATTGTCCAGGACCTAGATCAAGTTGCCACCCCGGCCACATTCGACAATCCAGCCAGCATCAAACGATGATCATGTTCCTGCCGCCGCCGTACTCGACGATCAAGCCAGCCTCGACCGACGTCTCTGTGTCGGGCCGTTTATCTTCCTCGGCGAGGTCACGCTTCCCATAGACTTTGATATTCGCCTCGCACTCCACTATCAATTCACCAGTGAGAGCCCAAGCTCTGTTCGGGCATTGGCTGTACTGGATGGTTCGTCTGGTCAACACAGTAACAGCAGCATGAATATGGTCTACATGCAAAAGGTTAGACTGCGGCTTTGGGGGCAACCAATGTGATCCGTAGCGTCTGTGAACGCCTTGGTGCTTGGAGCAAGTGCATCGGGCTGTGGCATCGGGATTGCCAGGGTAAGTGGCCCAGAGGAGATGAGGAGCAGAATGAGGATGGATAGGAGCTTGATCTTGAAAGCGGCTGATGACAGACAAGTCAGGGCAGGAAGGAGTTGGAAGGGTAGTGCGTTTTTCGGCTGGAAGTCTTGGCTTGTTGAAGGAGGTGCCTTGGTCGCTTCGAAGGTGGTGAGCAGGGGCACATTACCATGATCCTCCCTGCTCTTCAGAGTGTCCATTGCCACATCACAGCAAGCTTTGATGCCGATCCTGCAGCTCAAAGCACAAGGAGTCTTGTGTCGCCGAGAGGTTTATGAAGAAGAGTCGACTTCCTCGAGGTGAGCAGGGCCTAGAATGAGCATATGGGCGAGAGCTGCAAGTCCTACCTGTATACCGTTTGGAGTTGCTTCCAGGGAAAAGCACAAAGGAGGAGTGTGAGGTATGCAGGGACCACATTTTGACGAACCACAACCAAAGGTGGCGAGGTCGACGTCTGAACAACCAGCAAGCGGGAGAGGCGGCGAACCTCCGTCGCTCAGACCATGGGCAACGAATGAATTGAGCACGTTTATCATCTGTTTTCGACTGCTTCGTGTGATTACGAGCACTTCACCGAGGTGGGCAGGGCGTCCATTTGCACGAAACATGGCTTGAGCAGGAGCGTCGGCGTGTGAGTCAAGTCAGTAACTGAAATTCCATTGATGGGACAAACGAGTGAAATGTAATTGCCTTTGCTCAAAATCGCCACCCCAACACCCTCTCAGTGCTTCGGCTGCATCCAGCCAATGAACTCCTTGTTCAGTTTCGAAAGCACATTGTTATAGTCAACATGATCCATCTGCTTCCCACCAGGACCTGCCCACGGACCCATTGTCCATGCCGCCTTCACTGCGTGATGCATGATGGAGTTGGGATCCCAAGTAGTTTCAGGGTATTTCGTGGCGTCCACTGGCTTGAAATTGTTGAAGTTGAAGCGAGTCTCGCTCTCCGTCCATGGGGGTTTTTGTTTTGAGTCGGTGGACTCTGCAATGACCGCCTTCTCGTTCCACTTGAACAGGATCCCAGGGCTGAACTGTTCATGGACACATCCAAGCATATGTCTAAACTCGTGCACTGTTGTCCTGCCAAATTCGTCTTCGGGAGTGGTGTCATCGAACCAGCCAAAATCCATAGTCGCTCGGTTTTAGTCCTTGCGAGTCAGGCAATTCTTGCCCACCATTGACCAGGAACGTCCTACAAGGAGTGTGAGTGCCTGCTTCGCTTCTAGAATTCAGTTCACCCTTCCTTGGTCGCTGAACCCAGTACGGACCATAGCGTCTTCCTTGCTTCCTTGTGGCAACCACTTGTACTTTGGAAGACCGAATGTTCCTGCCACTCGTCACCATATTTCTTGATCATGTTTTCGACCTCGCCTGAACAAGGCTCTAGGAACTTGATAGAGATCTGAGTTCCATCTTCCCACTTGAATATGGCCTCAGCAATCTCGATTGGTGTTAGTACGCATTCTGAAACAAAATGGTAGAGGATCTCACTAATGGCCTTTCATCGTTGGGAAACTTGTCAGGATTGGGAGTGTTAGTCACTGGGACACCATCCTCAGCGATGGAAGGATCATCGCCAAAGAGTTGCATGCACACAATGTGGTCCCAATGCGGCGCCACGCCGCATGTTGGGCTTTTGGCGAAGCTGCTATGAATAATGATGTTAGGCAAGAAGCGGTAGGGAGACTATTCCGTGGTCAAGTGTCTGAAGATTGATGAGCAGGTGTGAAGATGAGCAGACCTTATACTCTTTTCACGGGTTGAAAATAGCGAGAAGTGAAACTCTCTTGCAGCCAGCCACGACCATGGCTGCCACTCTCAATTTTTCAGCTCGGTGAAATGTGATACACCTCGAGTAGTAACTCAGGTAAGCCACTAACATACTGATGTGAAAGCACCAGGGACAAGTAGCATCGAATGCGCCATGCAGCTAGGCGCATGTAGTCCATGGAGCATAATAGCAGGGTGTACGATGGCTTGGGTGTGTACTGAGTTCTGCAGGACGGAGGTCCGGCGTGGACTGCTCTCGGCCATCATGCATCCACGACCTGGGCACCCAGTTTGACCCCTAGGGCGGAATATCCAGCTCATCCACGAAGGGTGATTGAATTGCGTCTGCATCCTGACCCTGTCCGATCCTTCATCACGTACACAAACGCCTTCTCGGCTTCATTCAAGACTTTAGGCCAGGCCAATCCTAAGTGTGCAGATTTGCTTGCCCGAAGAAGGACCAAATTGACCGTCAGAGTCACTTAGACAAGGGGCATGTTGGGGTCTTTCAGCGATGAAACCAAACAGGGATAGTCGATGAAGCGTATTCGAAGTCCTCTTGTTGAAGTGTCGTCGAGTTTTCGGTTCTGTTAGCCCGGGCCTTGGAGGCCGATTTTCATGGATAGCACTGATCAATTTCAAGACAGCATAGACTTTGCATAATATCGTCAATCCTAGCAGAAATCTCCAGAAGGTGATTTCGTTCAAATTGAGGGATGAACCGATGCAAAGTAGAAATACGCTCGCTGGTAGTGTTGTGCGCGAAAGACACAGCTCATAAAAACGGGGCGTAACTGTTCCATTGTCCTCCTGTTGAGCCACGTGCCATGGAACAGATACGTAAGTACAGGGCGGCACCGCCTTCACCTCGCTCCAGATGGGGGCGCTAGCTGTTGAAAATATGGTGCGACGCCCTCCGTCGAGATGAAGTGGCTGGCTATGGGAACATGTTGGCTAGCTGAATGCTTGCGAAGAATTTGTTCTTTGGTGGACCTGAATCGGAGCAAGTGTTTCTTGCGGCAACCTGTTGTAGTGAGCTAACACATGGTGGGGATGCGCAGTTACGGGGCAGAATCTTGATATGCTAGAGAATGATATCCCCTCGGCGGATCGGAGAGGACTCTTTCAATGGCAGTCTTAATGTGCCCTGGCAGCCCACTCTCAGCTCAGATAAGCTTGCTGGGATTGCCCTGTGGCTAGCTGACGACGGATGATTTTGTCCCTTTTTCTCAAAGCTTACATGATATTCTTCCTGCTGGCACCTTTGTGGACGAGATGCACGGGCTGTGTCCTGTGATTGCGTGAATCATGTGGCAAAAGGTACACGAGCAGATCTCCCCGGCTTTCATCTAAAACGTATTTGGGCGCTCTGTGGGTTCAGGAGGTACCACATGTATCATTGTGCGTTCATGTGGCGAAAGATTCAACCGACTTGTTGGCGGGAAGGGCAGTCAATGAGTACCTGGCAGCGCATGCCCATACGGATCACTGCACCACAGTATTGACGAAGAAGGTTGTAGACCCGGGCGAGGTGTGGTCGCAATCAATTGAGGAATTTCCATGTCAAGCAGTCCAAAACGACGGATCGCTTTAATGTCGTCGACGATGAGGGAGGCGAAGGGGGAATGTCAGGAAGTTCAACAGTCGAGAAAGCTGAGTTACTTTGTTACTCAATAGTCAGCCGTGGTTGTAGCCCAGAAATGTCTTTTGTCCAATGGTGTTCAACTCCATTTGAGGATCACGAAAGAGGCTTCCTCTCAAAGTGTTTAACGTCGGCAGGTCAGCCAACATGCATCGTTCTTTTGACGTCTAGTTTCGACAGATAGCAGAGGAGATATCTGGAACGATATGCCGGGGCGGCTGTTACTTGCCCTGGCGTCGATGTTTCGATCAAACGTCGTCACTTGCGATCGCAAGAGGGTGTGTTTGCCTCTGATATCACGCAATGGTATAGGATCTGTCGACCTGAGGCTCTTGATGGACGAATTGTACGAGGTATGTCTCACATCTTGCCGCAGTCGGCAGTGGCGCGAGCCAACAGAGAGCGGGAAATGCTACAATGCGTCTATGCTCCGCCGTTCTCTATCGATAAGCCTTTTTCGCCTGCGATCTGGAAATTTTTGTGTCGCAACAGTGCGAAAGCGGTCAACCTAGGGTTTTGGGCCTTTCCTCTTGTATTCGGGAGTGCGTGGGACGCAATTTCTAATACGTTGTAAGATTCAAAATGCTGCGGGAAATGTGAGTCTCTGAATTGCCTCGAAACAAAGCGGACTGACATTCGCAGAAAACCTCGAAATGCTCGGACCGCCCGCATCGTCAAAGCGCGCGAGCCTCAACAGCTGGAATCGAGGAAACGGGTCTTACTCCTGCATGGAACGAAATGCCCACAGCCTGTCAACAGTGTGCTGAAAACGGTACACACTCTCACCAAACCCGACTCCGTGATGCTCACCAAGAAGAACGACAACATTCACCCATTCGAGAACTCCGAGTCCTTGGAATTTCTGGCAGGGAAGAATGAATGTGGAGTGGTGGTCTTTGGCACGCATTCCAAGAAGAGACCGAACAATATCACTGTTCTGCGGATATACGATGGCAAGCTTCTTGACATGGTCGAGCTGCTCCTTCTGGTGCCCTCGGACGAGCCACAGTCAGAGATCAAATTGCAGATCGGAGTAGGAATGAAGCCTTTAATATTGTTCGCAGGATCGCAATGGGATGATACTTCCTCGTCAGCGCAGGCTACGCTCTATCAGTCCCTCAGATCTATAATGCTGGATCTTTTCCAAGGGGAAGAGGTATCTTCGATTGACGTGGCAGGTCTACAATATCTTCTGATGATCGCCGCGGGTGAAGGCTCCAGTTCTTCGGCAGACCCGAACGACCCAACGAACAAACCTGTCCTTCATCTCAGATGGTATCGGGTGCGCACTATGAGATCCAATAGCCTCAAGATTCCCCGAGTCGAGCTTGATCCAATCGGACCCAGCTTCGACTTCCGAGTTGGTCGATTCCACGAAGCGGAAGCGGCCGTAATGAAGGATGCGTTGAAACATGGCCGTCGGCCGAATGAACCACGGACAAAGAAGAACATCGAGACAGACCTGGTGGGTGACAAGATCGGCCGGGTGCACCTCGGAAAGCAGGATCTTTCGAATCTGCAGACGCGGAAAATGAAAGGGCTGAAAAGAAATCGTGACGACCTCGAAGATGAAGAAGAACTGGAAGACGTGGACGGCGAGGAAGATATCATCAGTCAGGACGAAGACATGGAGAACGGCGGAATGGACGTTGACGATATGTCAGAGGAAGGAAGCAGTGGTCTGGGAAGCGGGGATGAGATTAGCATTGGCGAAGATGACGACGAGGAAATGAACGATGCGAATGACAACGACAACGACAAGCCGAAACGACAGCGAACCTCCTGAGGTGGACTGGGACTCGAGGATGTCAAGCCCGGCCTAAGATACCCTAGCAAGGCATCGCATTTCCAAACGACTGATCTTGCGGATTGCAGTGAAAGGCCATGACCTAACATGGAGGGAGCAAAGACGACATTCGCCTTGTCCAGCCACCAAGCATAGTCACGTCGCATCTCCGAGCTTGAAGCACCGTCAAGCCTAGAAAGGCTTCTGTGCACGCGACCTGCATCTGGAGCAGGATCCCATGGGCGGCAGTTCTCCTTCAACAACCGAGGAGAATGAGGCCCGCACGCCCTCTGACACGGAAGACCCAGGCCGTCGACAAAGCTTCTGGCACAGCGGCAGGGTCATACTGCTGAGGGAACATGGCACTTGTATATGGAGAAGGAGCTGGAGGAGTATTTCTGCCAAGGCAAAGTAGAATGTCACGGTGGGCGAGGATTTGCCGTACCGAATAGTGGTGTTTGCTTTGTATTCATAGCATCGGGAAATGGCACGGGAAGCCAACGGTGGGAAAAATAAGACAGCCGAGGCACAGCGCGGCGGTTGAACAAAAAGTCGGACTGTGGGGAAGCGAAGCCATTGCCTTGCCCTTCGCTGACCCGCCCGCGGTTCACATGCACCGAGAAACGAAGTCCAAGATGATGTCGTCGTATTCCTCGTTCGCCGAGGACTCTTTCTCAGTCTCTTATTGCTCCCTCTGATCTCTTGACCTGGCACCCAGGCACCCAATTGCTCTGTTGCTTCGAGGAGCCCCCAAATTGACACATGCCAATTGCTCATTCCAGCCACGCCGCTCGATGCCCATGACGTTGGCTGCCATCACCGCGCCCTCTGCCTTGTAACTCTCCGGTGACCTTGCTCCTCCCTTCGTCCTTGCGCTCTTTGGTCATATCGAGAGAAATCTGCGTATTGCTCCAACAAACAGTGGTCGTCGGATAGGCGAAATGGATGTGCTGAAGGTCAGTCTTCTATGCGCGGCCACTGCGCTACTGAGCTCCAACTGACACCCAGCAGGACACAGTCGAGTCCATCATCCTCAACCCCGACCTCGCCCCTCTCCTAGCCATCGTCAAAGCCGCCCGCAATGGCGCCGTCTACGGTGCCAAAGTCCGATTTCCTCATGCTTTGGTTATGGTCTTCCTGTTCCGGTCGGGGACGATTCGAGAAAAGGTCCGCCTTGTGTTACGAGCAACCAGACAACATGCACGAAATCTGGCATTCTTCGCGACCGTGTACAAGTCCTCAATGTTAATATTGAGGCTTCTAAACCCCGCCACCCCGGGAAAAGAAGGGCCATATGATACCTTTTTTGCTGGTCTACTGGGTGGATATGTTGTCTTTGGACGAGGGAAGCAGGGCAGGTAAGGCTCAACTGCAATGCCCGTACGCAGGTATGCCAGGCTAAAACTTTGTCTTTTCCACAGTGTCGAACAACAAATCGTCATCTACGTCTTTGCACGAGTGATTCTCGCCCTCGCGAGGCTCAGCATTGAGCCACCCAGTGCCACGAGCACCACACCAACCCCGACGTTCTGGACCCAGAGATTATCGCCCGAGGTAAAGGCAAAGATCCAGAACAATGCCTGGCCCGTTTTCGCGAGCTTGAGCTGGGCTTTTGTCATGTACATCTTCCGATGGCAGCCCGAAAGCATTCAGCCGAGCTTGAGGAGTAGCATGAAGTACATGTACGTTGCGGAATATTGCTTTCTTCTGGCCAAGTTGCTAACCTGCCTGTTAGATATGTCAATTCGGACTATTGGGATAGCTTCAAAAACTTCCTGATTCACAATACCTAGAACGGGGAACGGCTGGACGGTGCTTGCATTGGAGACGGCGTTTGGAATCTTTGGCACTCATGGGCTACGCATATACGAAAGTTCAAGTGTGATACTAGAGGATGTTCAGTGTCCTGCTTGGAAAACGGCGGTCCTGGTCTCGAAGAGGCGGAGCGGGCAGTAGAACATGCTTAGAGGTAAGATTCGCATGATGTGAGCATTCTCCGGGGTCTCCTGAAGCTCGAGCTCCTGATAATACCTCGTCAATGGACCATAGCGGCGAGAGGCCTGTGCGACAGAATATACCCTCTCGACTACAGCCTTACCTCACAATCGACGACCTGCTTTCCATCTTGTCTGCATTGTCTGCCCTGTTGCCAGTGGCAATCTGCGGGAAATCTCGTGTTTGGATTACGGCATGCTCTTGACACACCACACGGGCCGGCGATGCGGCTCAAGGTTGCTATTCTGAACCGGTTCAGTCTCCCAATCACTGGACTCCGCAGCAACGAGTACGCTTTCTTCTCGCAAGCGAAGATGGGCTCTTCATCTCGAACCCTGTCCAGGTTCCCATGCATTCCCGTACCAAGACACGAACTCGAACTAGTAACCACTTCAGAACCCCCTAAATCTGTCCCGCGGAGGCTCTTCTCCGTTCCTCAGACTGGGCTCCTCATGGTCCTCGCGTTGTAATTTTAAAGCACTGGGGGCAGCAAAACATCGCCGGTTACCGTGTATGTACCCGGATAATCGATCTGCCGGGGCGATGGAGCAAGGACCAAATGCTTCGAGGGGGAGAAGTAAATGCCTCCCACTGGCCGGGGTACCTACCTATGTACCCTCCCTACCTAGGCATCTAGGTCCTGGAGGGCTATTCGCGTTGGTCGACACTCAAGTGCGAAGCTCTCGTGTATGGTAAAACCTTCACGTTCCAGGCCACTCACTCATGGGCTCGTTTGTTCCGGTCGCTGCCACTCGCTAACCTGTCCGATCCTCAACGGGGGTCCAATGGAGATGTGGAACGGCGCCTATTGCCTGACGAGACGTATCCATGGCGATGTATATGATGCCTGTGAACATGCAGGCATAGATACTTAGCAGAGAGGCTCGGGGAGGTCCCCCCAATAGACGATTAAACGAGCGCTGCCGGAAGCGAAGTCGCGTGACTTTGCGTTATGTATTGGCAACCACCAACGCATGGGAATATTCGTAATGTAAATCTATATAGGATATTGATTTCGATATCGGTACCAAAATAAATCTGGAACCGCGAGAGAATCTGCTCGCTTCCATTCATCGAGTAATTCGAACCGCATGGTGGTGAAGCGAGATAGATAGGTGCTCTCTGACTATACCAAACCTCCCTCGTTGCTGCCGCTCGTGTTACATACATATACTCCCACGGTATAGGCACACACGGAACAAATGGCCAAGCATCGCCTCTTTCCTTCTCCAACCTAATCCAACCCAATGCCTACCGACCGTTGATCCTCACGGCTTTAAACGTACACTCCCGTGTCCCACGCAGCGTACTCGATCCCGCCCGGCCCGCCCGGTCCACTGTCCCAGCCATACATGGACATCCCGCCGCCCAGCGTGGCGTCGAAGAAATATTCCGCGTTGTAGGCTTCCGTGGCGCTCATGTTCGGGGACGCAAACGATGGGGGCATCGCGTACGGATTCTGGTGAGCTGACGGGGTCTGGCCTTGCGGCTGATATTGGGGGAGAGGTTCATTCTGGAGGCCCGGTTGTTGTAGTTGGTGTCCAGGCTGGGCCTCTGCTCCGGGCGTGGGTATCGGGGTGCCGAACAACTCATCGCAAAATTCATCCACTGGCGAGTCGACCCATGATGTCGTCGAGGCGCTGGTCCTGGTGAGGCGGGCCCCAGAGCCGTGAGATAGAGATGTGCCTCGTGCGTCTGAGAGCGGCGTCAGCGGCGAGGCGGGTTGTGCGAAATACGTCGAATGTACAGGCCCTTCGTCTGTGTCGAGTGCGGAAGACGGCGGTCCACAGGCGGTCGACGTCCGGCTCATGGCCGTCGCCGTGGCTGATTTCGGCGATTGCGCGATGAAACTCCGTTGCCTAGGCGGTGCCGTGCCAGGTGCATGGTCGTCCGGTTCTCTTCGCATTGTGGCTCGAAGCGGTCTTTTTGTCTTCGGCGCAATGACTGGCGGAATCGATCTCGCGAGGCTTATGGGCGAGACAGGTTCTGATCTGTTGTTGATCGAGCTTGAGTCGACGTGGCTGTGGGCGGCGTCTTCGTCGTGGTCAAGCACTCCCAGTCGTTCAAGGATGCCATGCACGCTGGGGGTGCCATTGACTTCCTCAATTGGGGCGCCATCCCATTTCTGACCACTGGCCAGCCGTTTGTACAGCTCGACCACCCCCGCCGTCAGAGCCTCCTGATGTTGAAGGAGGAGGTTGGTATATCTTTGGAGCCGTTAGCAAGAGGACTTTGAAATGTTCATGGGGCTCTTGAGAGTTCTCCCGTAGAATCTAATTGCTTACCTTTGGTTTGTGCTTGCAGATTCCGTCTTCCTTCGTACTTTATACGAACAAGGTGCCTGATCTAAATTACACCTCCTGCAAGGCTTCTCACCATCGCACTGTTCAGCGAAGACCATCAGCTCGTCCGATCTGCTTTGGTTGCCAACTTCAAGCACTCAAGATGGCTATAAATAGATGAATTCGACTCACCTTTGCCTTCTTGACACGGCATCTCTCACAAGCCCGCGAAACTCGGGGACGCGATCGTACAGTCTGTTGGTCCATATTCGGTTTGCTGCAGGTAACAAAGCCTCACAGTGTGAGAGGGGAGAACAATGGGTTGACTTTTGTATGGTTGGAAGTACTGCTCCGAAGATTGAGATGCTCTCGGCGGAATCATGCGCTAAGTACTTGGACAATAGTTTGGATGCAAGGACGCTTTAGGTATTACCGTCATATCTTCTTGGGACCTCTTGCGCAAGTCTGTATGGAACCACCAGCATCGCCGACCGGTTTTGTGACGGTCACGTACCGTGGAGGCCGCCAGAACCCTTGTCATAGCATTTGTCAATCATGTGAAAATGGAGCGACACTCCCAGGAACGGCCAAAGTCGAGAATGTGGCATGGTGTACTCGGGAATTGGTGGGCAACGAATCGCTCCCTCGTAATGCTGGTGCCGCGGGACCCGAGTTGCAAATCAACATTGAAGATGGGTAGGGCTTGCGGACCATACGCAAACTCTCCACCGTGGATCTCCCCTGATAGGTATAGCTCAGAAGTTTGTGCATAAAGCTGATGCCCAGTCGCAATAGTGATTTTGCATCGTCTGATGGTTATTGTCTGTCGTAGCAATCAGATCTTGAGGCTCGAGGCAGGAGAGAGAAGCTTTGAACTCAAAGCCATCAGAGTATCAGTGACCGTGCGATGATAACTTGCTCTCTCTCAAGCACAAAGAACTTTGGGGCTCCTTATCCGGAGCAAGGAACCAATTGCGATTGGAAAATCGTGATATGCTTTTGTGGGGGAAGTTCCTGGCAAGGGAGCTTGAAGCCAAGGCGCATGCAAGTGTGGGCTGATGATCACACAAGCGTGCCTGATTGATCAACCACCACAGGCATATGGTGGTGCAGAGATGTACAGTCATGCTGTTGGGAGGAGAGAGGACCCAACTTGGGCAAGAACTCGTAGTTGTGTGCTCCTCTCCATGCTTCACAGTCCCATCCTAATCATTCGCAATCATACCAATAGTTCCGGCGTCGCATTATTGGCTGGCTTCTCAAATGATCGCGATCCTCCTGCACACCATTTTGCACATGAGTAGATGCTAGCTGGAGAAGGGATTCCTTTCGGCGATAGATGATCTGGCCGGTGGCCGAAAGGGATTCATGGTTTCTGCTGAAGATGCCATATAGCCGCCAGATAGCCGACGCAACCAGTGATTCAGGGAGTAAAGCTCAATGTGAAGGTACTCAGAAATCGAAATTGCAAGGGGAGAAGGAGAGCTCAGAAAGAAGGCACAAGGAGACACAACCGTGCCATGGAAATAGATAATGGATGAAGGGGTTGCAGAGGCAGAGGTCCAAGTGGCATGATTTGGTCTGACAGAAAGATAAAGTCAGATTGCTTTTATTCACTGCGCGAAATCCGACGTCAGACACGCGGATCTCCTCTGCTGTCAACATCGAAGCCCGAGAACTTTTCAATTCACCCCATCTTTTCTACCTCTTCAACGCAACCAGAGGCATCATTCATGAGGACACACCTACGCTTGCTCAAAGTCAGGGAGATCAGGCGAAGGGGACGCTTCTGAACTGTGTGCCTAGGGTTTCCTCGACCAGCAGCGTTCGGTAACTTCATGTCGATACAAGTTTGAAGGGCGCAGTTGAGGTTGAAGCTTTGTCGATCCTGACTTATGGCAGCTCGTCAATCTTGTTTCATCACGATCCAAGTTATGTTTACTTGACAGAGGAGATGACGTCTTCCTCCTGGTAAAGCGCCACAGTTCAGTCTGTGCTTATCTAACTCAGACGCCAGCTGACAAACTGAACCTTTCTGATTCGGAGCAGTGGCACTTCCTGAAGCGGTCGATGTACAACACCTACTTGCATAGAAGTCTAGCAGGCGGGGAATCAGGACAGAGCTCATCCGCACGGAACCGATCATGCTAGAGCCCTTCAGGGAAATTGCCGCATGACTGATGCGATGCAAAGAATAATGGACGCCTCTTTCACAATGCTGCCGGCATGACGGCAGAAAGCCCCCTCAACGCTCACAATTACCAGAAAAGGGGGCCTCAGTTGGCTCAAGTGACCTCGCAATTTGGTAATACTCCATCCCTCAGAGGTGTTGTTAGCGCTTCGTGTGTTCACCTGGAACAAGGGATGCTTGGTGGATCCAGGTCGATTATCGATACCATGAACGACGCCACTGCCCGGGGCTTTCCTGCAACTATTCGAGGACCAGTACATCAACGGTCGGCAACCACTTGATGTTATTCTGGCCAAGGTGAATAATATGCTATCACCGTGATCACTTTCGGTGGGCCCAGGCGGGGGTGGGTTGCTGGCTTTATCGCGGTCAGCCTTGTCGCCTCAGGCGCCTCCAAAGATTCCAACACACTGGCTGTCGCCACTCCCTGCATTTGTGCAGCTCAACCCGGGAAAAAACGGGGGAAGAGGTACAGATCCGAAAGACGGAGCACGTGCAGTGGTGAGCAGTGTGAGTTCCCCTTTGCTCTGTGGGCGATACTCGCAGGCGCCAATGGATTGTCACGGTTAGAACCAGAACAGAAGTTGCTGACGACAAAGGATAAAGTAGTCGGTATTTCAAAGCTATCCAAAAATAGCACAAGATGTAACATGCAGGCTGCTTGCCCGGTACATCTGGGGTATTCAAATCATTCTCATCACAGAGTCGTGTCATGGTGAACGCTGCAGTGTTATCCCAAGCAACTCCGGCAAATTCAATGCGAAAGCAGACTGTCAAGGTGACTTGAAATTTGATCAAAATGGCCGCCAATCAAAAAAACACACAATCACAGAGTTCCAGCTCTTGTTGCTAGTGGCTTATATGCCCTCGAGTTTCAATTCCTTTGCGATGATATCCGCCCATTCGTCAATCTGAGCCCAGTCGCGGTAATCCCCCCAACGCCCACCGATGCAGCTCCAGAGACATCGAACGGGCGCGGGAGTCTCTGAACCGTCATCCTTTCCCGCGAACAGACGGTGGTCCCGGACTTTGGGCAACTTCCTCAGGACGATCTCCTCGATCTGGCGTGACTCGCGGCGCACGGCTCGGTCTCGGATCCATTTCGAGCCGACGGCCGGGGCCATGCCAACGCTGAAGGTCCAGGTGGGCTTCATCTGAAGACCCATGGCTTCGATGTCGAGGAACTTCTGCGCGTCCAGCAGCCACTTTTGCCCGTGCACGGCGCTCCCCAGGATGACGGCACTGTAGTTCTCCACGCTGTACACGTGGTCCACAGATCTGCAGTCGACGGCAAAGCCATCAGCGTGGAGACGTGAGGCAATACGCTCGGCCACTTCTCGCGTCGAGCCATGACAGGTCGCGTAGGTGATTAAGATAGGCATTGGGAGAGAGGAGGGGACAGAGGCCGGTGGTAGATGGTCTCGGTCCTGGTGATCGGCTTCGAGTCGAGACGTGGTTGTAGGATTTAGCAATGGAATATTTTCGGTTAGACTTGAAGGGTGTGTCCACGATTTTTCCTTTGGATGTATCTTCGTGGAAAGATGGGCGAGGTGTGGTTGTATATATGCGGGTTAAGGACGCAGTGGGTTGGTGTCTTGTATGTAATATGCGCGTTTGTGAGTGGGTGAGAATTATCTCGGGGTAAGGCTGAGAGGTTTCGGATAGATTGCTTGCTAACTTGGGCGAGTCGGATGGAAGGATGGATTGATATTCGTTCAATGATGTAGAGGGGAAGGCGGGATCGCAGGTGGCAGATGGCAATAATGGATGACATACAATGGGAGCTACCCTTTTCGTTCTTTTGCCTTCTCTCACAATGTCACTCCGTTCTCTGAAACAAACCTCGGCCACGAAAACAGCACGCGAGCAAAAGGCGATGGGATGATGATGATTATTATGATATGTGAACTCGTGGTCTCCACAGACTCACCCTCAACTCTCCCACACCACTCAAGCGCACCGACAAACGTACGAGTAACATCGCAACATGGTGTGGTTGGCGCCCCATCATCTCACTCAGTTCTGACTACGACCTCGGACTCCCATCTCTGATCACCGCACCCTTTCTCCGTGCACAACAAGTTCGTACGCACTTAACTCTAACCCGTCGGCCCAATCGAGGACCTTGCCCTGCCGTGGCCGGGTCTTCGGGGGGGACTTTGTCGACGCATCATTTGACAGGACCGAAGACGCGAACGAAGAGCCCGATGGGCGAAAGAGATGGAAAGAGAAAGCTGACGAGACGAGTATAAGGCCGCACCACACAGCCTATCACCGCATCCGCTTGATACGTGCCGCTACCGCGCAGAATTCCCTTGGTTCTTTTCCATTCCCTTGACCCTGACTGGGCTCGTTCAAACTTCGGGATCCGACCACTGAATTTGCCCTCCGAATTCACCACGAGGCTCCTGGGCAGCTCATTGCTCCTCTCGCTCAGGGTCTGTTCCGCGGAATCCGGGACGATGTTAAGCTGCGCTATGCTCTTGCTGGCCCTAGATACACCATTATGCATTTTGGGGGGAGAGATTTGCGAATAAAAGTCACCGAGCCCCCGAGGGAGCGAGCGAATCTTAGTAGGCCTGGACGCTTTAGGCCCAACATGGGAGTGGCGGTTTAATGGGCCTTATTCACGCGTTTTGACGTCTTCCACTCTGGTATCCTCCTCCGCATAGGAGCGATTGATGATTTGGTGGCAAGGCTGGCCCGTGCTCGCTCCCTTGGGCGGCCGAGAAATTCAAACCGGTGTCTGGCCTGCGCGCCTGATGCCGGCCTCATCCGGGATGATGTATTGTACTTATCAAGGAGCATTACTTGCCGTCACTCGGCTGCTCGCAACTAGCTTCATCGAGGATGTCTGGGGTAGCCATCGATTCGACTGGAACTATTGGATATCCGGGGACAGAGGTATGAATTTGTTCCGAGCCGTCCATGCACCCTCGCAAGCTTCACTCGATACATAATGATCTCAATGAACGCTTTTGCCCAACACTTACGGCGTACTCTCACCCCGAAAGCGCGAGTGATCTGGGCTAACAAGTCTGTCAATGGGGTCCAGGTCTGGGCTCGCGCATTCGCCTCGGCGAACGAAAAAAGTCCACGGAGCATGTGCCCGCGCTGCGCGGTTTTTGATTTTCGCCCGCCACCCGACAGCTTCGTTGATCCTCTTCACCTTTCTCACGCAGTCACTCGGGCACTTCGCCCAGGCACTTACTGGGCGGTCATTCAGCCGGTCAGTCGGTCAGGCACTCGCTCGCTGGAGGCACATCAGTCAATTAGTCAATCAGCCAGTCAGTCATGCCCTGGGTTAGCGACTAAGGCGCTCACCCAACTCCCCTTTTCGTTTTGGAAGAAGCCCAATCAAGGTTACCCTTGGCAGTCAAATCAAAAGCATACTGGTAGATATTGGACTGAACACAACCGAACAACCCTGAGGTTTGTGGGCCGCCGCAAGCTATTCGTCTACACCTAGGCATTTGCGTCTTTGTTATTCACATTTCCGCTCGTGAGGCAGACAACTGGTTCGGGGACCAGTCACCCAGGACCACCCCCCGTCAGGCAGGTCGTACTTGGAAGGTAATGAACCCCGTGAAGTCTGGGGAGCTAACCGTCGGAGCGGCCTTGAACGATAGAGAACGAGAACCTAACCGACGTCTTCGGCGATCTACAAGTACACTGCTCCGCACGCGAGAACCATCTGGACCAGAATCCCGGTGACAGCATTACTTGTGCAAGTGGGTGGAAAGATGGAAAGCCCGCAAATCCCGCAAAGCGGACTGCCTCCCCGTCCGGATTTCCTCATTCCGAGTGACCTCGTGCCCTTGTTCCTTTTCGCGAGGAGATTCGTCCTCGGGATTCCTATTGTGGGATTCCTTTGCTGTCGATAATAGCGTCCTTGTCTCTTGAACTAGTCGCTACTTTGTGCACTCGTACGTCCGAGTATATCTTGTATGTACACGTGCTGCTGCACCCAACGAGGCCAGGCAGCCAGGCAACCAGGCAGCGAGCGAGATGTATCTCGACCCGACTCGAAGGGCCGGTCCCCCTACAAGGGTCTGCTCTTTGGCGCATTCAGGATGGACTGGTGCCCCCCTGACTCTCGCAAACCGAGTTCATGTTCGCGCGTCCGTGCGGCCAGTCACCCTAAATGGCCTTGCTCTGAGACAGCAGAAAATGATAACCCATAACCCATCAATCCATGAAACCTGATCCGATCCCCTTTTTCCCCCTAAACGCCGCTTTTCATCCCCGAAAAATTGCCGTCGTGAATCGTGAAAACGTGTTATACAGCCAGGAAATCCGTCAAGTCTGCATTTTGGTCCTGCCGACACCGGGAAAAGACAATGTCAGCATCCGCAGTCCGAGAAATGATGGTGTTGGGCGGTGGTGGTGTTGGTGGTAGTGGTAATGGTCCTTTTGACCTCGCAATCCGCGCCGGTGAGGACGACTGAGAGATGCCTGATGCCCACTTCTCACTCCCAAGGGGAGCAAGACCAGAGAAGACGCGGGGAGAGGGTAGATGGAAAGGGGGGGGCAAAGCATTGATTTGAGTGATTGATTGATCGATTTGACAATGCCGGTCAACAACGAACTTACTCAATGCTTTGGCCCCAACACTTTCTTCACCCTCTCTCAAAAGTCGCACCTCTCAATCCACGGCACGGGTCGAAAGGGGAGCGGCTCAGATCGGTAGGAGGAGATATTGCTTACCCAGCAATACACCAGGAAGGCGGCCTCGGAGGTCAGCGCCCCCAGGGCGAGGTAACTGGTCACGTCGCGGATGGCCTCGGGCAGCGTCGCCCAGTGCGTCCGCGCCGTCTGCGAGGCCTTGGAGAGGATGCGCTGCGACGCCGCGTGCGGCAGCGGGAGCGGTGCGTGGTGGTGCGTGACGTGGTGGCCGTGGAAGTGCAGCGAGGCGGGTCGGCGGAGGGCGCCGGGCGTCGCGGAGGAGAAGGCGCGGAGGGTCGTCGTCGGCTGGGCCAGGCGGCCGAGGGGGATGCGCATGGGAGGAGGCATTGTATTGTTTCTTTTGGTGCTGAATAGATTGTGGTTGTGTGAGTTGTGAGGGTTAGAGGAGTTGGTTGGGTGTTGTAGGTGGAAAGTGAGATGTTGTATATGGTGGATGGCTAAACCTTCAAGCGGGATTTGAAGTATCCTGGGGTAAGAAGGCGAGCTCAAGTAAATTCGTGATAGGTCACTTGAGGGCTTGCGTATACGTATACCGTACAGTCCAATCTGGTCTTCGGTGTGTACAAGCGTACGGTGGTTATGTGTGATCTGTTGTCCGTCTGTGTATGGTGTATGTGGCCACCCCCTCGCGGAACCAGACAGCTTATATCTTGAGGCAGACATTGTTGGATGGGGCAATTGCACTTCGTTTGATACTGTCTAGAACGCGGAGAGACAGAGACCCACTACCCTCTTCTCACGAATGGCATGAAGCCAGGTTGGGTGTTGTGTGTTGTGTGTGTTTCGCAGTTCCGTGGACGCACGGGTGTGGACACTAATTACTGAGCAGTCTTGCAAGTCACGCTATCGACGAGGCGGAGGTTGTCTGCCACCATCAGCTGACGGCTGTTTTCTCGTTTTCTTGGGGCTCCTGGCTCTGGGCTCCTGGCTCCGTGTGTGCTCCGTTATTACCCCGAACTCAACGGCCCTTTAGGCGCAAAGGGGGCTTGCCTGCACCTTACAGCCTGGGACATGAACAGCGGAAACCGCCGACAGCGATAACATCGATAAACGGGGCGCCATGGGACTTGGAGCCCCGGTAACACAGCTTACAATACCGCCATCATCACCTTACCGTGCTTTGCTTCCTAAGCCAAACATGATCACTCAACCCGTCGTTATCGCGTTATCGCGGGGATCAAGGCAGTTGTTCTCGGTTTTCGTCTCACATGCTCGATGCTGAGTCTCTTGTTCTCAGCACCCGTATCTCGCCATACCAATTGCTGTTAGAGGGTCTCTACTTGCAAGTACCTGCTGACACTTCGGGTTGATGCTCTGCTCCAGGCCACAAACACCTCTCACGACTGCGCTTCTTGTGGTCCTGCCTTTCTTGCAGATCACATCAGTCGTGGCGCTATACCGGAAAGCTGGAAGCACAGAACCTGCCCATGAGACCATGCTCCCACTTCGGATCCCAAGCGTCTTATTGGGCCCTGCCAGCTCGATTCAGACTAGATTTCACACCTCCTCATCAGCACGCCTCTCGCGTCGCTCCTGTAATACATGCATCGTCCTGCGATACCCGAGCCTGTAATGCATGAACATAGTGTCGATGAACCGATCCAGTTTGTTGATGGGCAGAAAGGTGAATAATACCGCGCCAACCATGGCAGCCAGCGACACAACCCAAAAGATCCAGAACGACGAGCCGCCTATTCCGTACTTGTTTTGAATGCTCACGATGCCTGTAACGACTGTGATTGGGAGGAATATGAAACCCAGTTGAGCCAGGCTCCCCGAGTAATGGCTGTCCCTGACCCCCATGAGGCTGGGTATGTCTTCGACCGTCTCCTGGCTAATTTTGACGTGATTCTCGATCATTTTCACAATGTGCTTGAAATCTTCGCCGAGACCGTAGTCAGCCGAAACGACCTCGTTGCGAGAGCCCTTCCCTGAATGCTTCCGCTCTGGTGGTCCGAAGGGGCCAGGAAGCACCCGAGTCAGCACTTCATTGGCAGGCTCGGTCATGTCGACAGACCGTATGAAATCCTGGACGTGTAGGATCTGTTTGTATTGCCCCTTGAGGATGTGTTTCAGCTTGAGTGCATCGTCCATGTAGTGCTCCAATGACCTGGCCGTTTTGCCTTTAAACGGCGATTCGGCGAGATCAAGGTTTCTGAGATCCCACAGCCGTGCGTCTGCCGACGCGTCCAGTGCCTGGATGATCAGCATGCATTCGCTCGCGGCGATAAACAAAGCATGGCGAGAGATATCGAACAGAAACCGGCGCGTCTTGCTAACGTCGTTTTCGCGACTCGGGATGCCGGCCGCCGCAGGCCTAGCGGGGTTTGGTTGATCGACGCTGTTCTCTCTCGCAGCCTTGGTCCAATAGTAGATCAGGTCTTCAGCGGGAGACAACTTGCTATTTCGACGAGCACAACCCTCTCTTTCGAGGCATTCTAGCCAGCGAGGCCCAAAGTCCCCGACCCGAGGAAATGGCTCGTTCGTTCGTCGAGGCTGTAAAACTTCGACATAGCCGCCTTGGAAATCCCAGACGGTAAACTCCTCTTTCGGGCCTCTTGGGGTGCGAAATCCCATGTTCGCTTGAGGATCGAGTCTGTGGAATGTTGCCACGTCTGAATACGAGGGCCAGACCCCGTGGAACTCATTGTATGGGTCCAGATCCGAGGTGTGCTTTTCAAATTGGTGACGATGTTGTGCCGTCATTCGTCCGTGTCGGGAGTGAGTTCGACAGCAATCCAAGACTGATGGATCAGTAAGTACCAGGACTAATGTTTCAACGTCAGCGACTTCTGATCAACCGCCACACACAAGTGTACCGAAAGAATATACCTCTCCATTGTTCTCTTTCGCGTTGTACATAGAACGAAAATTTCCGCCGCACAAATGCCACGTGGTCTAGGGCTGTGTCGCGAAGATCTGCACGACGGACGACATAGTGGAATGTGTCAATGATGCGGCGTACATTCGAAGAGCAGCAAAGTCGGTCATTGGTGCGCTTGTCGAGGTTGATAGGATGAAAATATTCGATGCAATAGAATGACTTGATATGTGACACAGAGGGAAGATGAGGACATCGCCCTGTGGTGGTTCCAGGGTCAAGAAATGCGTCGCTGATGTGGTTTGCGAAAAACTTCGGCTCGATGGCGAGTTGAAGTCCAAATGTTTCGATGATGTCTGTATCAAGATCTTCCACGATGAAGACACGTGCCAGAGTCTTGTCCGGGATGTCTTCATGGATTTTCTCGCCGACCTTGTGTCGAGAAATGGGAACTGCTTCGTTTGGTAGCTCGTCTCTTCTTATGTCGACATACTGAACAAACACGGTATTGAGATGATGTTGAGGAGAATCTAGGAAGCTGTACAAGGGCGCCAGATTGGAATAGCCACCTTCAACAAGCCGTTTCACGTAGTCTTTGTACGTGGCTTGCCGATGAATTCGGTGCCCACCCATTCTGCCGCGATGCACATGACGAACCAGGGAACTCTTGCGCGATGGCGACCGCCTTTTATCATGGATATTGGAGAGTTGTTCTGTCAGCGTCCAAGGCGGCGCAGCTAGACCTGGCTGATGGGCCAGCTGAGACCTCCATCTGCAAGTCGACAGGCATGGTCGCTTGACGGTGAACGAGGAATTCCCTTTGTCGCATCAGCAGATTCTCACCTACACGGTGGCTTAGAATACGAGTGTGAAGGAGGGGCAAGTTGCAGGAGCTCGCACGAGAGCAACAGCAGCAGGTACGAATCAATCATGCCAGACGCATGAACAAGTAACCACAAAGCAGCTCGAGATTGGACAGCCGCGCAACATATCCTGAGGCTCGCGTTCGCCAGAGGCATTGTGGCTTGAAAATCGACTCTCTAGATCCTGCATGACACGAATTCGGGCGTTCAAGGAAACGAGGAAAGACAAGTCGTGCCCATGTGAACGGACAAGGGGTTGACGACGAGGTCGCTCTTGGGCCCCGTGAGCCCCATCAAGCCATGGTCCATATTACTCTCCCCACACAGACTGATTGGGGGAGTCGAAGGGCGAGATCACGCCATATTTCTCAGACCGAAAAGCGCCTCCTGCTCGGTGGTTGGCAAATGTCCTGATTCTCTCCATCATCCCATTCTCATCCCATGCCAATCTTTCAGGGAGGTCGATGATTCCCATCTTCAAGACCCCGAAGAAGTGCCACAATGGGGGGGTTGGGTTGGTGCCCGTCTTTCCAAACTTTTGATGGCGAGAACCGGGGGGACGGGCCCGACCCCGTAATCCAGCCTGAGGTCACAGGCGAGGCGGGAGGTCCTTTTCTGGATTGAATCATCAGACACGGATCCCGTATTTGGAACTCGGTTAGCAGGATTATACGAAAGCAGGTGATGGAAGAGCCTGGAAGGGGGGGGGGCAGTGGAGGTGAGTGAAGGGGGTTGTGGAAGGATGTAAACACCAGCGCGGACCGGTCCTTAGCGAGTTGCAAGTCTTGATCCCCAAACCATATTCTCCGTCATTGCTATCGCCACGACTTTGGAAGAAACATGTAGCATTCGAGACATGGCGCATCCCGAACTTCACACGTTTGCCGCACACGCAGAGACGGCCGTCGCGGCGGTGGGATCCGTCTACGCCGCGAATGAACTGGGCAAGGCGCTCCGCGACGAGTCCAAGCACGAGGCGTCGGATCACTATCTCAAGGCCGCAATCGGCGCTGCGGTGGCCGTGGGTGCCTTCCACCAGCTCTCCAAGAAGGTCGAAGACCACCAGGACGACAGACATTCCATCCACCCTGAGAAACAGCCTGCTGGTTCATCCCGGCATCATCATCACCATCATCACCATCAGAGCAACATGCCCCATCAACACCATTACCCTTACCAGCATCGACAGATTCTTGATGACGAGCACGACTCGGTCGTGTATGAACACTGGACCTATGAAGATGCCCCTCGCGATCACCACGGTCTGCTCGATCAAGCCTCTGAAGCATATCACCTGGGGCAAGAGCTGCTAGGCGACGAACGCGATCACATCACTCACCTGGTCGCGGAGGCGGTTGGCACACTTGGAGCTCTGAAAGACGCGTTGCTCCAGAAGTTGAAAGAGCGCAACGAAGGTCCTTGAGTTCCAGGCCGCACGAGGTGTCGAGCGACGGGATCCTGCGGCGTGGAACTCGGGACAAAAGAGCGACGCTGGCATGAGGGTTGCCCTGGATCATTGTGCGGCTGGAGGTTTGATTTCCAGCCATCTCAGCCTCCTGGCTGAACCGCAGGGCAGCAATGGACAAGATTGGAACAATGGAGGGAATAATACCGAGCACATAGGCACGGGTCCTGCGTTGCATATCATGTATGCACTAATTATACGGCTCTTTTAAGGCGAAGATGAGATGATAGTCCTTATCACCCGCCTGGCGACCCAATCTCTGTATCCTTTGCTGCTTCCACTGACCCTCGAGCAATGCGTCCCAGCGTACTCGGTACAGAGAACCCATCCCATTCCCTAGCGGCGACTCAAGCCCAGCAAGAGGGCGAGTCATAACCAGCCTTTCTTTCCCACACCGTGACTCCCAAAAGAAAAATGAGGAACAGCAGTCGTAAACAAACACACGCTTCATACAACTTTTTTTGGCGTGTAGTTGGGGGGGTATCAAAACAATTTCCCCTTTCGCGGGAAATAAAAACCACAAAAGGTGATGATAAAACCAAACACAATTACGGGAAAACCCTCTTGGGTTTCTCCATCTTTCAGACCATCTTTGACCCTTTTTGCTGTTGTAGCGATGTAGCTTTTCGGACATTTCTTCTCTCCCTTCAAGCCAGGCAGATGTTATAGCACACCTCCAAAACAAAACACGTTATCTTCGCCCCGTATCTTGGTGCTCATTAGCTTCTTGTGTCTGCATTTTTGGTAGGGTTGTCAATTTTGGGTGCCCCATAGAATCCAGTTCCGCCGAGGCGTGAGAGGGGGCTTTGTGTCCCTCTCCCTTTTCACCACAGTGTTTTGATTAAAAAGACAAGTCTTGCAGTTGCGACTGGTACTTGATAGAGTCGTGATGCGCTTGTCGTCACCGGATGATGGGGAGGGTGGTCCTGTGGTCCTGTGGTCCCGTGGTTGATGTTGAATGGATACAACAGCAAGGCAATGTTGCTGGCATGGAACAATCTTCTGATGATCCGCAGTCGGTCAGGGTCGCTTTGACGACCGCTGTCATTGCTGCGGCATCTACATCTGCGCCTGCTGGGCCTGCTGGGCCTGCTGGTTCTGTTGTGAGTGAAGCTGGAGCCGGACCATCTGCTTGAGCAGGGCGCAGTCTTCGCACTTGACGAGCTTCTCGAGCGTCCGCACCCGGTCGCTCAGTCTCTTGATCTCGTCCGTCATGTGCCGCATCGACACCTCGCTCTGGTGCACGTAGTTGACCGCGTCCGTCATGACGTCGGACTTGCGCACCCGAGTGCGCTGGTCGTTCGCGCTGGGCGGCTCGTCGGTCGACAGGCCCGCGATGCGAGCGGGCGAGCCGATGGCGCTGAGGGTACGGTGCAACTGCATGATCTTGCCGTTGAGGTTGTCGCGGTATCTCCGTTCGACGATCGAGTGGGCTTGTTTGGCTCGGGCCTGGGCCGCCTCCTCGTCGCTGGAGGAACTCTTGCGTGCCCGTCTGCCTCGGGGTTTGGCGACACTGTCGTCGCTCGCCCTTCTCAGCGGCCTGCCATTGCCCGAACTAATCCGTGACGGTATTCTCATGAGCTCCCCGTCTGCGTTGGACAGTTTGGGCGACAGCGGAGACCCTGGCAGGTTGAAGTCTTCCATCTCCGGGTTCTCGAGAAGCTGCAGGCATGCTGGTACGGGTCCACAGCTTTGCGGGGACATGTTGTTATCCTGCATCAGGTTCAACCCACATGAGAAGGCTGGGTCGTTCTGTTCGAAGCCGGGCTCGGTCTTGATGGCAAAGTCGGCATATTGTGGAGTGTTGTCGGTTGGGATAGACGAAGGGTTGAAGAATTGTTGGGAGGAGATGGCATTGGCGTTGTCTGTGCCTGTCAGGCTGGCATCCGGCCCAGCAGCATCGAAATTCAGAAACTGTGAATAGACGGGCGACGGCGCATTCTGCTCGCTTGAAGGCACGGCGTTGGAATCATAGTAAGGCTGTTCTTTGGGATACTGAGGGTAGCTCCCAAAGGAGTTGGGGGTGGCGAATTCAACACCGTTCCAGCTTGGTTGCTGTAACATCTTAGTCAATGCGCAATGGAGAGATGGCATATAAAATTCCACGTACTTGATCCGCGTATGAAGGCCTTTGGTACTGGGGATAGGCCTGTGTATAGGACATGGTAGCTCAAACCTTAGAGTACCGGTGGATTGACTGTGAGATGAGATGAATGATGTTCTTGAAGAGTGGGTTGATTTGCATACATAGTGGCACAATCGTCTCTTCATGGTGGAAATGGCCATGCTTATGAGATTTCTTTCTACAAGAATACATGGTTGCCCACAGCTATCCCATCCGAAATAGCCACGCGATTCTGTCGCAATCGGCTTCGCGAAAGCTAGGTCCCCATAGACGTGCAGGGATCCGGAAATCGAAACCAGCTGTCAGGCCACCATGGATACAACGCCCAGGACGGCCAAGATGCCCACGGGAATCAGAAAACGGTAGTCTCCGGAGAGGCATCCATGGCTGCTATTGGCGAGGACGAGGAGAAGAAGGTGTTTGCGGGTCAGCTGAGAGCCGCTGGCAGCGTGGGCCTTTCTGGCGCTTTGGCCATCAGGCAGGGTTCTGCTCCGGGTTTCCTCCTTGGGCCTCCGAGGCGCGGAAATCGTGCCCTTGGAGGGACAGGTTCTAGGCCTCTGTGCCTTGGGACGGGGCTTTTCGGGGCTCGGGGACCTGAGGGGCCCTGGGACCAGCCTCGCTAGGGGCTGGTAGGCTGTGATTGTACTCGGTAAGCCAGGGACAGCCTGGTGGAACACCTGCTAACACTCACCGAGACATCCACGGGGCCCTGAGGCACATTGGCTACTCGTCGTCGCACAAGTTATACGATAGAGGGCGATGGAATTTCCTCAACAGGCAATTTTGACAGTCGTCTCTAATGTTGTTTCGAGATCGAATGGGAAGTACCATACGCACCTTGAGCACCCACCTCGAATGCCATTGTGGGACACTGCGCGTCGGTCCAGCGGACACTGCTCGTATATCGATATCGGGTCCTCTCGCTAAGGCCCCAGCCCTGACGCAGCAACGGCAATGTAAGGCTGGGCTGGCGTATTGTACCAAGGACGAGGCACCTACCCAGGTGCCTTTGTATGTATGGCATTAGAAGGTTCTCATCCTGCACAGGACGAGGTAACTTGCCTTGAGAGCGGGAAATATAGTTCCCCTCCGACTTTGACCATCCACACCAGTACATCAACAGGGTCTCGAAGGAAAACTATTCCTGGGACAATGGCTTCACACTATTGCCTTGCCCTCCCCCCATTAACTTCGGAGACGCAGCTAACTCGGAGATGTTGACCCGTGAGGCTAAAACGCCAATGTTGCGTCGTAGGCATTTCCCGCGACGTCATCTCACAGAGTTTGCGATGCAAACTTTTTCGGTATCTAGAGGCACATCATCATGGAGCTACCTCGATTTCAATGGGGCACAGCAGTCCACCGGCCCAGTGCTCAATGCACCTTGGTATTACTCAATCGTACTTTGCATGATCATATTGACTTTTCCTGCGTGAATTGACTGGCCATTTCGCTTGGCGTGTCGACATACAGGCACTCACCTGATCCGCGCCTCACACCATATCCAACACCAACCAACACCACGAGGACAGAAATGTACGGACATTGCCGGCGCGGTGACATGCCCAGAGGAGCAACACCACGTGTTTGTTGATGAGGGCTAAATGGGCCCAGCAAACCTGGTGAGCTTTTCGTGTGCCGATATATAGTTGGCAGCCACACAAAGGTAGGGGAGGGCGCGATGCAATGTCGACAACGAATTAGAACCCCAATCGATATACAACTTTTTCTGGTCAAACGAAATCCTCCCACAAAACACCAACCATGAGGTTCAGGACACGGGAACTGGACTTGGTCAGGGCTCTCGATGAGACCTTCCTGCGAATTGCCGAAATCGGCCTGCGTGTCCTAGAAGGCGCCTGGTCCATCATCATCATCGGCTTCGTCGCGGCCGTCATGAGCGGTCTATCAGACGCAGATGCAGACGTGCCGCGGAAAGCGACGGCGACGGTGGTCATAGCCTGCATCTGCACCGTCTACTCGGGCATCACAATCCTGCCCATGTTCTTCGGCGGGGCGCTGTTCTTTTCGGTTTCGTTGGTTTTCGATATCCTCTTCGTGGCCGCCTGGGCCACTCTGATCGGCCTTTGGGATGGCGACGCCACGGACTCCTGCCGCGCCTTCAAGACCAAATACTTCGACGGCCAGCCGTCAAAGGCGCATTTCCAGACCGACTGCGAGCTGGTCAAAGCCATGTTTGCGTTCATGATTGTCAATCTGTAAGCACAACCCCCCTTTCCGGTGTTACTTTTTCCGTTGGCCTTTTTCTGTTACTAACCTGGCCAATGTAGCGTATCCTTTCTGGGATCAGCGGTGATCGCATTCTGTCTGCGCCTCATCGAACTCGACTATGCCATGAGCTGGAGAGTGCCTCCACTGGTGGACAAATTCGACAAGCGGGGAAGACAAGCACACTGTAGCTGCTGCACGCACAACGCGAACAATCCTTCGCCGCAGCGGACCTCCACTGCAGAGAGTACCGCACCATTGGTATAACGATAAGGAAAGGCTCGGTGTCTTTGACATTGCTTTTGTTTTGGCTTGGGTTGGCGAAAGGAAAAAGCGTGGCTCTGCGCGGGAACAGTGGTTTGCTCATGGGTGGCAAGAGATGTATTGGCGTTGGTGCAAACGAAACCAGACGGCGGCGGAAACCCTTCATTTTCCTCCCATTGTGGCTGCCCAGTGTAGTAATACTGTAATACTATTGCTTTGGTCTATCATTCGGACGAGTTATGGTGTAGCGACAGCGGCGCTCTTGCGGCGGTGGTCGGCCCCCCTTGAATGCAAAGTCCTGGGCCTGCGAGAGCCAGCTACGCACAACTCTTCCGCCCCAGCAGGTACACGGGCATGACATGAAATGACATGTGGGCGACAACAACATCCAGCTCGGCATCGACTCGACTCGGCACGGGCCCGAACAGGCCGTCGACGCTGGGCACCTTATTGTAGATTGCAATCAAAGATCCAAGAAGAAACATTGATATTTGAATAGTTTTTCATGATTTTTTTGGCGACTTCTTCATCTTTGAAACTAAGAGGGTATCATACAAACATCCAAGGGTGACTGTGTGACTGGTGACCCTTTGACAACTGCCATCCTCACAGCTGCCTGATATACTCGTTATTGCGCCCCGTGGCACTCCACCTCGTGATCCACGCCTCTAGCAAGTAGCGAGGCGGAACATTGAAACCTGGGTCATAATGTAGACCAAACAAAAAAAACCACACTAAAACGCTCAGTTTGCTCGACCGATCGTGGGCGAACCCTACAAAGAACGGGAGCTTTGCAGAGGAAGCAACAAATCACAAAGAAAAATGTCGTAAGCGCGATCTCAACCGAAGGCCTCCACAAACAGATGGGCCTCTTGCTGTCGAGACCAGACGCGCGGCTGCTGGGACCACAGCAGCTGGTCGTCGTCGCTGTGGTTGTAGGTCGGGACGGGCGGGTGGGCGCAGGCGCGCGCGCAGTTCCAGTCGGACTGCTTCTCGTATTGCCGGTAGTGGTAGGCCGACTCCATGCCGCCGTCGAAGTCGCAGTCGTAGTCGTATTGGAAGTCGAAGTCGAAGTCGTCGTCCGACTCGGTGCTGCTCGAGTCGCTCTCGACGTCTTCCCAGTGGCTGTCTCGCGAGCCCACCACCGTTGTCGTCACCACGACGCCGCACAGTCGCGGGGACTTGAGCTGCGCGTAGCCGTTGAAAGAAGCAACCTGGGCGGTTTGCAGGGCCGGCTCGATGTCGTCGTCGTCGTCCTCGGGGACAATGTCGACAATGTCGTCGAGGGTGAAGTCGTCGTCCACGTCTTCGATCTCCTCAATGGTCGCCAGTGGAGACTGCTCGATCTCCGGGCTGTAGTCATGCATGTGGTCGATGATGAACTTGGCCGCGTTGTCATATACTGCGGCGTGGCAGACGAGTCTGTGGAGGTGGGGGACAGTCTTGGCCGCTTCTTTCTGGATCTTGGACCTGGACATGGTCCCTATTTGGTATGCTAGTTGCCGTGCTTGGGAGACGGAGCATGGCGACGACCGGGTCGAGGAGGTGGTTTGGAAGGAATAACGACCCTTGGAATAGTCCATTGTGGTGGTGATTGAGCAAGTTGCTACAGCTATAGGATGAGACAAACGCTGGTGGAATGCAAGGACAGATTGCTCGAGACCGCTCACTGACTGATGTGCAAGAGGAACGCAAAGTGCTGGTCGAGGTCACTTATTAAGTCTTTTTCTTCCTGAGGCTTGCAACTCGTGCAATTCGCATGATATGATTTTCTATAACCACAGTCATCCCACGGTAAAGGCGGGGGATACCAATCGGATGATACGCAATATGTCCGAATTGCACACAATGGCCTGCACAGTCGCGCACGAAGCACGGAGTAAAGTGGTTTGTGCTAACATAAGGCAAGCTCGGAGCTCCAACGCCGTGACAAGCTGTCAGCCTACTGCTCTGCTGGCCTGCAAGGTAGCAATTGCCCAGCAGAGGAGGTCGTGGCGTGACGGGGCAGTGGTGTGACAACCCTGGACATCTAGCGTTAGTAGCAATAATACTAGCCTCGCTCGGCCACGCCCAAGTTCGGAGTCGGTGTCAATCCCTGGGCACTGTCAGATGGGCAGGCCACTTCTCGGCACGATCAGGCGTCGAGAGGCGTCTGGCGTCTCGGACATCTCCAGGCTCCAGAGTCTGGACCTTGGAGGACTTTGGGTCGTGCAGATCGTTTCCCTGGGGATTGTGTCCAACTTAGTTCCCACCGTCCTTTGCTGCTGAGGGCACCACATCCCATGAGATCGACTGCAAATTGCTATGATGACGAAACCGACTTGGTTGTTCCTCTCCGGAAGGAGGAGGATTGTATGTCGCTATCTCTGAGGGCGCCTTACCTGGAGACCGTTTCAGCTGGGCCCTTGAGAAAGACGGCATATTGGCTGGTGATTATACCGGGGTATTCCTCTAGGCTCTGGAAGTAAGTAGCGAAACTGCCTGTGACTGCCATCATAACCCCGACGATGACGATGGGCAAGGCTCTCGCACCAAGTCGCTATCTGTTAGACGCTTCGTTCGGCAAGGCTGATCTGTGCACCGAAGTTGGATCGAGATTCACGATAAACTTCTTCTGGGGAGTCTCACGGGCGGCCAGGCTGCGATCCATGTCCAGGTAAGCTCTCGATCATTTAAGCCCTTTCAGGCGTTAGGTTGCTCCCCATTCGCCCTGGCGCCCTGTCAGCACGCCTGAATGGTCCTTGGAACCTGGTTAGCCCCTTTGTTCTTCCGTCCTGCTAGCTGTTTCTCAGATTCTTCGTCAAGCAGGCTCCTCCTCAGCCCGCTTCGGCTGGGGGGCTTTGTCACAGTGCTCCTCGCTCTCCCTTCATGAAGGTTTGACACCAGGTGAGGACAGAGATTTCCAAGGGGACAATATCGGCTCATAGCATCTCTGACGTCTCCGGTCTAGGCCTTGGGCCTCGTTCCTTTTCTGCTCGTTGACAAGAACGCCCCCGAATCTAACCAGGACTGCCACTGCACACATGCCATGGGCCATGGCCAGTCACTAGGATCGATCCAACCCGCTTTTTTATGTACCAGACGGGCCTCCGTATTGACTGATCGACGGAAATCAGATCCGTGGCCGTCTCAGTCGCCAGGGCGGGTGGTGGTGAGCGTAATTTGGCGCACTGTCAGGCCACATGTGGCGCAACGGGTCGAGACATTTTCAGACTATTTTCCCTTGCAGGCCAAATGGGCGTCCTGATTTCTCTCACCAGCAGGCCCATGCCATTGCGGGGAGGGCCAGCAAGTTGTCCCAGTCACGCAGTGGCTAAGACCACCGCATCGCAAGGCTTATTATGCGAGGCAAGAATGCCGGCCGCCTTTGAATCGTCCTTGCCTTTATTGTTCATCGGGTTCCTGAATACCTGAATACCTGCTCAAAAGCAGACAAAGATCCATCGATTGATTCTTTTCCATCCAGCGACTATCCACAATGTCGCGCGCTCTCGGTTTCAGCGGGAGCCCGTCTCCCACCTCCTTGGCCGAAGCGTGCAAGTTAGCATGGCATACCTTTTACGGCATGCAGAAGGCGTCCGAAGACTTTGAGAACCTCCGGTTCGAAGTCTGGACCATTGCCATCAGCCTCGACTCTTTACACAGCGTCGGGAGCACTTCCCTGCTCATAGATCGACAACCCGACCACAAACGTTGGGCCTTGACCTTCTCCAAGATCTTGACCTCGCTGAACGGTGCCTTACGACCATTGTACAACCTGGTCAAGTTGTACCTCTCCACCTCGACCAGGGATCGCACCGCTGTGAAGCAATGGCTTACCAACACAGACATGAACTACGAAGGCCTCACCGTGCAGGATTTTCGACGGAAACTGTCCATGCTGGTGGAGAGCCTCAATGTATTTCTTTCCAGTCTGACGCATGCCGAGCTCGCTCGAGCCAGAGCCGCCAGCGAAACCGAAGAATACAGAGTGCTCTCGGAAGTCACAAGGAACGTCCTTCAGAAGTGGGACCAAGACCGGTCGATCGCGGGGGCCCACGACGCCGACCGAGCGGTCAAATCGATCGAGACTGTCGCCTTCGTCAGCAACAACTTGCAGCAGGAAAGCAGCACGTCTTCGCTGCGTGGGGATTCGGCGAGGCCCAGGCCGCAGGATGAATACCCCACGCTCTGGCCTACACACCAGAGACCTGAGCATCACGGCGGCCTGGTGGGTCACTCTGCCGAGACGTTGAACCTGGACGGCATCGAAACCGGGTTCCGCAAGCACATGAACGCCATGCGTCGCATTCGGGAACAGCTTCGCCTCCAGAAGGAGAACAAACACCATCTCTCGGACCAAAAGTCGACACATTTCCCCGAAGTGCACGGTGAGACCCCCATTACTCCCATCACGCCTTCGCATCGCGCCGCCGCAATGCCCGAGCCCAACCCGTCGTCCGATTTGGTTTCGGACCACGGATACACGTCGAGCAGTGGGATAAGCTCGGCGCAGACCTCCGAGACCGGCAGTGTGATTTCTGGCGGCGGCCAGGAGGACAGACCCGAAGGCCTCTTGCCGCCATCGAGGACGGCGAACCATACGCGGTCGTCGTCGGGGGATCTTGGGAGGAAGCGGGTGCGGACGCAGGACATCCACCTCGGCAAGGACAGCGACGACTGGCAGCGGCACCGCAAGCCTCGCAAAACGGCGTTGGAGGAAATGCTCACTGCCGCCTTGTTCTTCGACAGTTGAGAGCCGCATGACGCCGTGAGCCGGAAGGGAAGGACGGTATAGAGGACAGGGCTGCAAAGTAAGTGGGACGGACAGATCCGTGGTGCCGGGGCGGATCAAGGGGCCAACACGCAAGTTACGATGGTGGGGGGGGTTACTTTTCACGTCATCGCATTGTCCACGGCGTTCTCTTTGGTTTCGGGGGGGGGGGGGGGGGTTCCAACATTTGAACGGCGTGCGGTTGGATTGGATTGGACTGGGCCTTGGACTTTGGATCCCGAGAATGGTTGAGTAATGCGCTGATCAAAAACACACGGGACCCGGTAGCAGCAGGACTGGAATTTGTAGTTTGCTCGACGCAGGGGGGTTTTTTTTCTTCTCCAGGACAGACACGAAGGATACGAATCAGAGAGATACACCAAATTTGGCGGTTTCCTAGGGCGGGGGGATTAAAAAGTGTAATATTCATCATCTACTTGTAGCCCTTTCTTATCCATATTGTCCTTGCAAACAGGGTTGTTTCGAGATGGTCGAGATGGGAAGTATAGTGTGGTAAAGTGAGGTAAAAGTGCCTGTTGCTGTCGTTGGTATGTTCAGTTCTCGCTACCCCCGCCTGTCCTGCAGGAGACAAGGGTACTGCCTTGTCTTGTCTCGTCTGGTTAACAACAAGGGCAAGAGAAAAAGGTTACAAGTACGGAGAACGTACATACAGACGCATGTAGATAGAATGGATGGATGGATGAATTGATGGATTGATAGGGATATATCCGTACGCACGAGGCTGGAAACGTCCATGCCATTCATTCACTCCGCGGAAGAGTTATATCCTGTCCCATTCAACAAACGTAGTCGAGAAAGAGCTGCGGGTCTTCAAGCGAAGATGGACGCTATGTTATGAATATGTGTATGAATGGATATGTGTAAATTTATTTCATTACATCTGTCTGGTCCGTGCCCTTGCGTGGCCGTCGAGATTATGCCCGCTCGGGTTGGATCTCGGACCTCGATATCTCGATCTTCTCTATCTCGAATCTTGGGATCTTGCGGTCTTCTGTCTCGTGTCTTGCGTGTATTATATCGTGTATTGCCGAATCTCTCAAGCTTCGTTGGAGACTTCTTCCCCAGAAACAGACCCTTCAGCGCCTCATGTCCGTAAAAGTCGCAGTACAGTACAGTACATGCCAGCAACAAATGGGCCCATGGGTCCATGGGACGCCCTTTCCCTTTCCCGAACTCCGCCCCCAAAAATGAATTAATATCCCCCGAATCGAATCACCCGATCCGTGCGATCTGTGGTTTCGCTCGCTTGTAACGCATCAGGTGAAAAGAGTAATAGTGTCGGAGCTTGTGAAACACCCAATCTGGTTTGATATGATGTGACGGCGGGCGACTAGACCAGCTCCATTCAGATCTCATCTCATCTCATCTGATCCGAGCCGATCTGATCCTCGTCGGTTCTGCTTGCCGGTCCTTCCTCAGGCGTGTCCGCCTTTCTTGGAATCTTGCCATTGCTCCCACATCTGCTCGAAGCCATCGAACCAGGTGGCCCCGTAGTTGTGGGGTTGATGTGCGGATTGGTATTGCTCGAACTGCACTCTCTGGGTATTGAGGTTCTCAAACCACGAGTCGCCATAGTTGTGGGGTTGGTGTGCCGCTTCGTACTGCATCCTCTGGCCGTTGAGGTTCTCAAACCACGAATCACCATAGTTGTGGGGTTGGTGTGCCGCTTCGTACTGCATCCTCTGGCCATTGAGATTCTCGAACCACGAGTCGCCGTAGTTGTGCATTGACGAGGTTGCCCTGGCCGCGGCGGCTTCTTTCAGAGCATGTTGCTTGACGTATTCGCTCCCCAGGTTGTTCATGTTGGTGAACCAGCTGTCGCCGTATCCGTGCATGGTCTGCATGTCTGATGAAGATTTGCTGGTACTGGAGCTGGGTGATGATGCCATAAATAGATGTGTGGTTGGGTATGAGCTGTTCGGCAGTTGAGCCTCGCTAGGTCAAAAGTCTGTCTGTTAGATGGTAATTGCTTGTTCTGGATTGTTGTTGTCTGTTGGTATGGTGAAAAAGCAAAAAGGCCAGAAGGGGGGGAAAGAGGTGGTGGCCATCTTATACTCCTGGCAGAAAGTGATTCCACAAACCCTCAGAGTTACATGACTTGCCGTTTGTAAAGCCTCGTCCGGGGCAGAAACGGCGAAACCCGAGCGACAATGCATGACAAAGGAGACCCATCACCATGGCCCAGCAGCCTGTGTAGACGACACGTTGTAGATCCATTGAGGGTCAACACTGGAGCCATAGGGTGATGCGGCCGATCGCAATCGAACGTGGACGCGCGGTTTGCCAGTGTTTGCTTCAACGTACGATAACGAGTGCTTAGCGAAACCATGGGACATGGGACATGGGACGAGGGACGAGGGACTTTGGAGAGGAGCGGAGGAAGCGAGGAAGGTGACGGTCACACCACGAGGGGCGCCGTGGCCGGGTGGTGTGTGTGTGTGCGCAGGTGCGTACAGGTGTGTGTTGTGCTGGTCTGTGCTGGTCTGTGCCTGAGCCTGGGCGCAGCGCAGTTGCAGCGAGAAGTTCCGGTGCGGGCGAGAAAATGCCGGGTTGGTGAGGTGAGTTTGAGGCGCTTCCTTCACACTCCCATCTCCATCTTGGCTCATACTGACTGACACACCCAGCTCACACCACCAGTGCCTCCCACCGCACGCCTCAGCCTCCGACTACTGGTAATCTTCGTATCCTCGAAACCTCTGGTGTTCTCGCTCCCCCTCGCCCTCACCGCTCTTTACCGTCTCCAGATTACGCGCCAAGTCACAAACATTCTGCCCTGCTCTGTAACATACCTCGTCCTCTGCTGTGTACCTCGTAATTACTTCCCCTATTGAGCCTCTTCTTGGCTTCGTGTTCAAGCCTCCGAAGCTCCTCCACTGAAATCCCTCATACCGGGTCAACCGTAACAAAGTCACGAGCGTCGACAATTATGCCTGACCAGCTTCACTCCAGGCATCTTTCATGCCTTGGTCACCTTCAGATATTGTGTTGTCATCAGAAAAGTGACAGGATAGAGAGCGTCACCAATGGAATGATACAATGGTCAACATTCCGAACCACGGGCTTGAACACACATGCCCAACTGTGAAATGTAGGGGATCAGCATCCGATGCACTACTTTACATCCATTGAGGTCGACGGGGTCGGTGCAGGTGGTACAGGGTAACGAGGAGATGGGTGATGGAGATGTCGGTGCGACTGCATCATTCCTCTCTTCTCGTCCGCTTTGCTCTCTCATTCCCGTGCTTGCCCATACTGCTATCTACTCATCTGGGTAGTGGACCATCTGTGGCTACGTCCATATGAGTCTTGGATGGGAAACGTCAAAAATCTATTAAGCTAGTTAGACTTCTAGCAGTACGAGGAATCACGCGCCGCCTTCAAAACCTGGGTATATCCCCCTCCAATAACCAAAATGTACGCAACGAAGCAGGCAACACGACCAAGCCAAAGCCGACGGAAACAAAAAGGTAAACGGTCTCGAGGAGGCATGCGTATGTACACTGAAAGACTGGGTCCTGTTGTGCGAAGCAGAGCGCACGGGAACCAACCAAGAGACATTCGAAATAGAGCGTGTATGAGAGAGTATTTTTTTTTAACTTTGTCGATGTCCTTGTGGTGTTCACAAGGCAGTCATTACGGTAATGCTAATTGCGCGTGATGGTCCCCTGCTGTTGCTTTGCGTATCTGTGGCCACAAGCCAGAGCCACGTGGGAAAGGGAGATGGTTAGTTTGTCGTAACAAAAGTCGCCAGCGAACGTTTCCTCTTTTCTTTTCCGTACCCCCAAAAAGAGCCCTGGTTCCTCTTGGTATTAATGATGTTTGTCCCAACCCCCGAATGCGGCTGTTCCACGTGGTACCTGTACCACTGCAGCGGAGAATTTCATGGTGTTCCGATTTCATCCAGCACCCGACGTCTGTGCCTTCCAACTCGCCCAGGCGAAACAGAGCGCCCGTTTATGCAGGCGGGTTGGCCATCGGCGGAAGACCGTACGAGTATGCGGTGTAGATACCGATGGGGCACTCGTCCTGGTCCTGGAAGAACCAGAAGTTGGTATCGTTTGTCGAGGTCATACCAGCAACGCAAGTTCCCGCGCCCACGAAGCAAGGGCCAACGTCAATGGTGTAGGCATTTCCAGGCTCCATGTGGATCGGGGGGAACGGCGGGAAAGGTCCTGGAGCAGGCTGGTTGTTGTACGTCGTCTCGGGTCCCGGGCAGCTGCCGGGGTTGTACCCGGTGAAGAAGAACGAGCCACCACCTTCGTAGTCGAAGTTGGAGGTCTTGAGTTGCGATTTGAGCGGGAAGATGAATTCGAGCGTGCAATTGGCGTCGGCACGAGAGGCGGGGACATCGAAGCTGAAGATGGAAGAGATATCGTTGGGCGTAAAGACGCCGTTGAATTGGGGCCCGAAAGCCTTGTCGGGCTGAGACTTTGAGATCTGCGTGATGTAGTGGGGGAATTCGAACTGGCCGGCGGTCAGCTCGGCGGGACAGCCTTCACGCGGCTTGAGGGCTCGTTTGCGCAGGACTTCGCCTGGGTAAGCGGCGGCTAAGCCGGCCAGCAAGACCAGAGCAGCACTGGATCTCATCTTGAGGATCGTGATTCTGTTTCCTTGCGGGGTTGATGATAAGACGTCTACGAGGGAGACGTAAAAAAGGCTCGAAAATAGAGGTTGACTGGTGAGAGCGAGAGGGGGATCAAGCGAGTGACTGTAGCGAGCGATGATATGTATGTCAAACGAGAGGGAGTATTCAAGGATAACAAACCAACAGAAAAGCAAACAGAGAGGTCTGAGAGGGCGTCAAGGCATATAATAGTATGGGAGATTACCTTTGGCACCACTGGGTATCCAATAGGCCAACAGATTTGCTCCTAGCCGACAGGCACTGGGGATATGGGCACAACAAACAAGGTACGGAGTACTGTCACCAAACCCCCCAGAGACATGGGGTGGACAGACACGAGGCTGAGTGGGCTCCTGCTTCGAGCAGTGACACCACAGACAAACTTTGGCATCGAAGTATATTATTGAGCAATTTTTGAGCCACACCCACAGCGGCTTTGGTGAGACACGGGACAGGGAGCCTAGCCTGTTTGTCGGCTGTTCAGAAACCACGATGTGACCTACCACGAAACGGTGTGGGTGTCAGTCGACAGTGAGTTTCCGGCGTGAGTGGCTGAGTCTGCGACAGCCTGGAGGTTGTTTGGATACCCGGCAGCTGCCAAAGGCGGATGTGGATGCAAGGCACCGTTCTAGCCTCTCCATGTGAATCTCATGACTGCGTCTCATTCGTAGAGGTGGATATCTGATCTTCGCGCGGTTAATTTGGGCAAGCGAGAGTGTTTCCCACTACCGGACCAAGCACCAACTGCCCTGTGCTTGTTCTCTTGCTCTGGATCTGGACGATATAGTGAATGACACTTCTCTTGAACCCATCATTGTATAGCCCTTTCATCCCGCTGATGTAGTGTTGTTCTCCCATGCGGACTTGAGGAATGATGTGCAGCGAGGAGCTGTCTGTTGTCGATGCGCAAATTGCAGGTCCATGGGGGTAAACGGCGACAGGGCCAAGCTTCCTCCATCTGCTTGAGATTCAGGTTTCTATTCTGGTTAGCGAGAGCCAAAGCTCCACAGAGCAAAACGATCTGAATGGGCGTCGATTGGGCTGGACTAGATCACGCCACCGATGAGGTCTTGGATTGGGTATTCAGAGGCTGTGTGAATCTCGGGAACCACGGCAAAAGAGAATTCGGTCTTGTGCTGAATGAATCAACTAGTCGTAGTGTTGCGGACGGGGAAAATCAATAGACTGAGAAAGACTCAGCTCTGAAGATGAGGGAAGAGAGGAGGTGGTGGCACAACAAAGGAAAAGATCGTCACAACATCACAGCCACCACAGCGGAAGTCCGAGGTCGAGAACATCTCTGTTCAAGATGGCAAGGGCAAGCCGAGCTGAACAACAAGAGTCACAGGTCGGCGCACGATGGGTGCTGTATCTGCTGGAGCCAAAGAGTGCTCAATCAACGACGGAGGTTGCCGTTATCTAAGACATCAGACTGATTTTGTCGATGGGTGATAGGAAACCACTGTGTCCAAAGGTAAACAGGATATCTTTTACAAATGCATTGTGACCTCTGAGCCCATTCTCAACCATCCAGACCATGCCACTAGTTTGGGATTCAGACTCGAGTGTCGACTCTGTATATTGTTTTCGTGGCCAATCTACCGTCTCTCATTATTCCAGCGCCCGCTCCTGTCTCTCATTAAAGCATATGGATCAATCTCCATCCCAATGTATCGTTCTAACCAGGGTACTCATCAACAATCTTCTTTGACCCCATGGTCCCATCATGCCCATGTGGTTGCCTTGCCAAAACTTCCCCGGACTCCGCGCTTCAAGAACCAAATCTCCCAATTCGTTTTGCATTATCCAGACACCAATACTGGGGCAGGCTGCTTCCTGCCTTCAGCAAGCGATATTAAATCCACATCACATTGCAGACCCCATCGGTCCGCAAACCCCTCGCAGACCTCCTGGCACGTTCGCGCCGCCTGCCGCTCCCGACATCTCCGATCCCAGTCCCCTGCCTGGATCAATAGGATGCTGTTCCCCACCAGCTCTTCCTCCAGCGACATGTCCTCCACCATGTCACGGACCGACTTGAGCTTTCTCGTTGCGGCACTGGCAGCGAGACGGGACTCTTGGAGCAGGTCGGTCAAGGAGCGGAGAGTATGCGTGAGTTCATCGGTTTGCGATGCCAGGATTTGGAGGGAGAGCAGTGGGTTTTGTGGGCGGAGGAAAGGGAGCGTCGAGGACAAGCTCGTAACATCGTCAAGGAGTAAGTCAATCATCTCCTCGGGTAGCTGCCATAGAGTTCCTCCATACATCAGGGAGTGCGACTGGGAGAACAAATCTCGAGTCTTGTGTGTCCGGTGAGACGCCATCGACGTATATGCCGTGATCAGTCGTGTGACGCCGTACTCAATGTTTGCCTGCGGCCCGAGATCCTTCAAGCCATGAATGACTCGTCGGACAGTGCCACCACCTTCGCTGACAGCGTCCTCGGGGTTGACGCACATGCGTGTGAGGTTCTCGATGTCGCGGATTCGTTTGCGTAGTATCGGTGGAAAAGCGTCCTCTTCCTGGTCCGCCTCTGAATCAGGCCCATAGTCTGAGCCGTCGTAGGCAGATTCTTGTCTCTGGTGTCCTGACTTTTTGTTCTCCTGAGGTTGCGAATTCCGTTGAGGCTGCGGAACGCGCAATGTGGGAGACTGCCCGTGCGGGCTCTGGACGACCATCCCGAACCCAAAATCGTGCATGTCGTTCACCTCGTAGGGGCTTCGTAGGTCGCGCATCATCGAAGAGTCTTGGTCGACCTCGCCTTCTCGTAAACCCTCGAGGAAGTTGGAGTGACCTTCGGCGTCCTCTTCGTCGTCCCAGGCCTGCTCCAGCTCGTCGGCCAAGTTCCCCAACCCGTTACTGTCACCGTATTGTTCTATACTCCTGTTGCTATTGATACTTGTCCGACTCGGTCTGCGCTGCTGGGAGAACGAGGGAGGTCTGGACGACTTGGAGGACATGGGGCGAGGTGTCACCGGAGACCGAGGCTGGTAAGAGGTCTGCGATGTCCGCGATGATCTCCTCGAGTACGCCGTGCCATTGGTGGTCCCGCTGGTGTAGGGACTTGGGGAGGTTGCGTCTTGGGACTGTATTTCGACATTGGAAAGTCGCAGCGACCTGCGCTTTCGCGAGGGCGTTGTCGGGGAGGTTGGTGGAGATAGGGCGGTCATCCTGCGGCTCCGTGCGCAGGGGGTTTGAAAAGGTGGGATATGGGTGGCTGATGGTGGTTTATGCTCGTCTAAGCAGAGGAAGCTCTATCATGAAGGTGGAAGCATGGCTCGGGATGCTCTGTATGTCCGTAAAAAGGGCTTGATGTTCGAACAGCTCAGTTCTTGAGCAAGCAAGTTGGAAGCCGACCATTATTATTTTGGCCCGCGAACCGGCGGGCTTGTTGGAGAGTGACTCGCGGGACGGCGCGTTTCGTCGGAGTCACAGATTCCTCCCCACAATCACCAGCAAAGTCCTGGATAAATTAATTGATTCTTGCCCTCGTCAGGTTCAACTCGGCCGGAAAACAATCCTCGTGGTGACAGAGAAATGAGTTGCCATGCCGACCATCCGCAGAGTCCAGCCGTCGGACTTGTTCCATCTCAATCTGTGCAACCTCGATCCGTACACGGAAAACTATGACCTGAACTTCTATCTGACATATCTTATGAGATGGCCTTCGCTGTTCCAATGCATCGAAGAGCACGGCCAGATTGTCGGTTATATCATTGGCAAGGTCGAGACATCGCCTGCTCACTTGCAGTAAGTAATCTGCTTCTCACCTGAACGCGACAAAAAGCCCTAAGAGACATTTCTTGCAGAGGAACACCGCATTACTTACCGTGGCATGGCCACATCACGGCCCTGTCGATAGCACCACAGTATCGGCGGCTGGGATATGGGAAACTTCTGAGCGAGTCCCTCGAGAAGGCTTGCAATCAACAGGACGCCTGGTTCGTGGATCTCTTTGTTCGGGCGAGCAACAAGAACGCCATCAAAATGTATCACAGCATGGGCTACTCGACCTACCGCACGGTGGTTAAGTACTACTCGGATGATCCAACTGGAGTATCGAAGGAGGGAGAGGACGCGCTGGACATGAGGAAACCTCTGGATCGGGACAAGGACCGAATTCATGTCAGGGAAAATGGGGAAAGCTTCATGGTCGATCCGGAGGATGTCTTTTGAACGGCTGGTATGATGAAGAACGAATGAGACAACACGAGTTGAATGTTGGATTTCCAGCCATATGTCGAAGAGACCACTCTCCCTCTTCCCGCGTTCGATGCGCCTCGTACTGCCGCACCCATAATTCACCTGCACCTCCTACGGTCAGTATCACTCTCCCTCGCCAAGCTACCTACATACACACTTCAGGTCTCCACTGACAAAATTCACAGTGATATATTTTATGTCCTCGCAAATCTGGTCAACATATAACCCAATCTGCGAGGAGTGCAATTAGCGATATAAAAGAGACCTTCATAACTGCTACCACTTCGAGTCGAGGGATATGTGTCCGTAAAGGTTCACATTCTATCGGGTTTGGCGGGCGGGGCCTTCCCCCCTCCGTTGATGGATGATATGGGCTTCGCTGCTTGCCAAAGGGTAGCAGAAGGTCTCTCAGCCTATATCGTCCATCAACAATTCACACATATGGTACGATATGCGTATTGTGGCTTCCTCGCTTACCCTAATGGGTAAGCTGGAAATATCAGAAAATAATTTCTGAATAAACACAATACCATACATGACTACCATAGAAAAACAACCGGTTCCCCTGAGGCTGCTGTAAGATTGCTCGAGAACGCTCCCCACCGGGGGGAGGACAGGAGCCGCAGCACCCACAGGCGGAACTGGTTGTAGGGGGGAAGGTAAGATAGACGCCATAACCTGGGAATTCAAATCTTTTTGTCGTTTGACCGGACTGAGCCCTTTTCTTTTTGCAAAGTCACTAAAGAGGAGAATCAAAATCATATTTTTATCCTAATTTCCAAGGGAGGATAGAATCTCCGTAAACTTAGTGCCGGAGGAAGGAAGTACAAGCTGAAGGAGGCCTCCCTCTTATCAGTATACTTCTGACTACCCTTCGACCATCTTCCCTAAACCTACCACTTCCTTCTTTCCCGGGTTTCTCTCAATATCATTCGGCCCAAAACTCATCGGCAACAGCTCGCCAATAGTCATTCGGAAGACCTCCCCGTCCAGCCCGTCCTTCCCATACATATATATCGGTAGGTCCCGAGAAGTGGCAAACTCGTTGATAAACTGGCGACACATCCCGCAGGGGGAAGCTGGCGGGAAAATATCCGTAGCCACGCCAATGGCTCGGATGACGGGCATCTCTGGTCGAGGCATGGAGGCCACGAGCGGGGCGATGGCGCACCGCTCCGCGCAGATGCCCACAGGGGTCGAGGCGACTTCGACATTGGCGCCGGTGTGGAATGTCCCATCTGAGAGGAGGACGGAGGCGCCGACGCGGAAGTTAGAGTAAGGACCTGGGGGAGATTGGTGATATGGTCAATGGATGATGCTCTGAACAAACGTTTCGCGAGCTTTTGGTGGCCGGAGAGATAGCGGCGGGGGTATTCTCTTGCCCGGCTTAGAGCAAACTCCTTTTCTTCCTTTCTTTTGAGCGAGCTGAATCGTTTGCGATGCCTGTTGCGGTAATGCCGCGCTGCCGCCATCCACTTTGGGGTTGTGGTTCACTCACAGTATGCTTTAGCCTTTGCCTCAATTGCCAGGGTGGCCAGCTTGGTCAATTCAGCGTCCGATAAGGGCGCTAGAGCTCTATTCGCCATAATGATGATACCTGGGACTTTGAAATCGTGCAGTTGGCTTCGCCTCAAAGGACAACACAGGGGCAAGAACGTATTAGCTAAGTATTTTACAGATTTTGTTGAAGGATGAAAAATGGTGCAAGGTTTGGAGTGGTAGCCTTGCCAAGAGTTTTAGGATCCCACAGCCTTGCGTACCAAGAGTCCAGACGGAGGTGCATCGCTTTATCAGCTCCTACGAGACGTCTCCATTTGGACTACGCGGGTCCATTACGAGCAGTAACGCTGCAACCTGCGTAGTCTCGCGGCTTAGAGCCTTCCTTGGTCGCGGTCATGGGCATCCCTTTTTCTTCTTCGTCGGCTCAATCAGCGGCAGCAACTTTGGTGTCGGCATGAAAATGATGTCGCTCATGCAATCCCGGATGTACACGAAGCTATTCCAGGGATTCTCCCATGTGTCAATGACATATGGAGGGAGGTCCAAAGAGGTCCACCCAACCACCCCCCGTAATCGGGCCTGTAATGCGAGTGTTGTTTTGCCGAATCTGTTGGGGTCTGACCCGTCCATTCTATATTTAGTTGCGAGTAGATCAAGAAGCATCTGTTTCTCCTCTTTCGTGGGCTTATAGACCATGCCGCCAGCTTTCGAAGCCTTTTGTGGCGCGTCATTCGGAGCGTCGACACCTGGAGCCACCACCACCGTCACGAGATTGTACTCGGGCGAGAGAGGGGTGATTGCCTTCTGAACCCGATAGTCTTGGTCTGGCGTCGTAGCGCCGCTCGAATCGGCGCCGAAAACATCCCCGCCTGTGTCTACTATGAGAACAGTCTGTATCCGACGAGTAGCCTGACCTAGCACGGCATGAAATTGATCTGTAAGATCGGCTTTGTCGTCGTCGGAGATCTGGGATCCAGATTCGCCCTGGTCCAGCACCATAAATATCTGGGAATGATATGGGAGGGGAATCGTTTCAAGATCGCGACCCTCGGCGGTGGTATCGTTTTTCACCCGAAAAGTTCCAGCAACAGGTCGCCCGTGCGCTTCCACTGCTCCACCGTGATTGTACACTTCACGCTTGATTCCCAACTTGGAGCCGTTTTTGCCTTGGGATCCTGTTGCCCAGGTTCGAGTCGAGATCAAGAGGTCCATTTGTTTCTTATGTCGTAGCAATAAGTGACCCAGCAAACTTGCACTGATGATGTCCGACCCTCCACCACCGCCAATACCCGCATACTCGTCGCTGGGCGACTGCTCACCAGGTAGGAGATCAGCAAGAGAATGCAGTTGTGATAGATGGTCAAAGGACATGGGCAGGACAGGCTTCCACGTGGCGCGTAAGGGCGCCAGGTTGTCAAAAGTTGATTCGAGCATTATTTGGTCTTCAACAATCTCCTCGCGTAGACCAATTTGGTCGGCAAGGGTCCGGAGATCCACGCACGGATTTCGGTTGAAGCCTTCGTAAAGATCATCACCTTTCCGGGCCGCCGCCATCGCTCGACACAAAGCAACGTGACATTCATCATAAATCCGCGCCAGAGTGAACAGAGCTAGTTTCAATGACAACAGACGGAGGGCTTTCATCAGTTGGTCTTCGCCAAGCAGTCGGCATAGCGGTCGAGTAGAAATCGGATGGACGGTGTTGATATGCTGTCGTCGCAGGACTGTGCGCACATTGCGAGATCCGGTGGTGTAGACTCGTTCTACGTCGCCCACCAGCTGCTGGAGACGAGTTGCGAGGTTGGATATCAGGGTATGGTCGACATCGTCGGCTACTTGCACCATGGCCGTTCATCGGACCAATCTAATCGAGAGGATGCAAAACCGGTGAGATAGAAGAGGATTCGGATGCAGGTGGCTTCCACAGCGTCGTGGAAAGCGCTTTAGTATGCGATGGGAAGAGACACAGTTGAATTCCAAAATTGCGACAATGTACGGAGTAAAGATGATGGAAACCGGCCGTGTGCTCAGCCACCAAACGGGAGGGATGACTACTGCACGCGTTTGACGGGGGCAAGGGGCCCATGACGCCCATCACTTTCCTTTGGTGTGAAGGCGCGGTGGGCGTGAAAGGGGGAGGCCAGGCTCAAGAAACACCGGCTCGTGACTGGCTGCGTGGCTTGGACGCGCCGAAGTTCCCTGCAGGTCTTTTGGTCAACTCCCCCAAAGGTCGAGTAGCCGCCTGTCTGACCCCTCGGAGTTTTTCAAAGTCCCCTGCCACCACCGCCCTTCGACAAATTGTCCATCGTACAAGAGGAGGTCGAGGTGCCCGATCGACGGGTTGGTATTTGCTTTTTCTCTCGGAGAGTTGAACGAATCTGTCTGGAGGGGTTCAGAGGTCTGTAGTAATAATGAGGACTAGGACCAAGAGACACAAACACCTGGGATCACAGCAAACAGCGGCCTTGCACACAATGGACTCGCCTGCAGAGGGTGAGAAATGATGCCTTGTCAGACACTGCCACATGTCGCTGCTTTTAGCTCGGTTAGGTCATGTGCGCAGCCCATTGCAGCAGCATGTCGCTAGTGCAATTACGGCTAAGTTAGTCTTGGCAGACTTGAGAGGGAACTTTGGTCAGCCGCATCTCGAACCTCACTTCTTCCATGTCCAACCCCTCCTCGACATACAACCTTGCTCCTGTGCCTTGTGCGACTTGCCTGTTGAGTTGAGCGTTCTCGCGGGCCCTTTGGTCTTCGACGTTTTCCTCTACGGGATATAGCCTTGTATGAAACTAAGCCTGCCGAGCCTCCTCTGGTCCCTTCTTTTCTGATTTAGTGCTCGATTTCGCCTTCTCGACTTTTTGCCTCCCCATCAACTCTATGACTCCGCAATCGTGTGCGACTAACAATGACTGAATCGATGGCATCTCCCAGCAAAGACCAGAGGCGCGCTCCGTCTCAAGCTGAGTGGGAGAAGTTCCGACCTGTCTTCACTCAGTTGTACATTGAAGAAAACCGTCCCCTACCTGAGGTGATGGGGATCATGAGAGAGAAGCATGGATTATGGGCCAGGTGAGCTCCAGCTCTAGACAATGCCACTCCTTGGTGCTAATTGTAGTTCCACAGTGAGAAGATGTATAAGAACAAAATTAAGCATTGGGGTTTGCGGAAATACCTCAAGGAGGGCGAGGCTAAGCAGATCATGGAAGGCGAGGTACCGACAGCCAGCAGAGACTTAGATTTGGATGCTCTGAAGAAAAAGGCCGAACGTGCTTTAAAGCGGAAGCGAAATCGCAAGTCATCGTCATCCAACGCACAAGCTTCTCCGCCAGCTTCGCCGCCCGCATCTCCGACAGCATCTCCGCTAGCTTCAGAGCCGTCGCCTTCAGCCTCGTCTCCTCCTCCACCTTCTCCAGTTTGTGAAGCGGTGGTACAATGGTCAAAGCCAGCAGAACCGCTCCCGACCATCGTCGTTCCGCCGCCCGAAAGATTTCGGGTTGTTAATGTCGCCGAGCAATTTCTCTTCAACCTGCGCGGATGGACCCACGACGCATTCGTTCATGGTGATTGGGATACTCTGTCTTCTACCCAGCATCACCGCGGGCGCCAGGCATCACGTCTTCTCTCTTCGAGTCTAACCGCGGGAATTAACCTCTTCGACAATGGAAAGCCGACGCTTGCTTGGGCACAATGGGGAAAGGCCTTTGCAGGTTTCCAGAATCCCGAATTGTTCAAATCTTGGTATTACGAAATACCAATGGCCTTACTTTTCGAAGTCGGTCGAGTGGCCGTCAGTGGCCACCATCAGCTCGCTGCGGTGCTCCTCAAGAATGTCAAACGGTGGGCGCATACATTTCTGGATCCAAAGGATTCACGCCACGCCCTCTTCAGCGTCTTTGGTGAACTTGAAGTTGATCAACTACAAGACCTATACAAACGTGCCGCCCGCTCTATGTACGATGGTCTTGAAACGCGAATTGATAAGCGCAATAAGCTCTTATACGAGGTTCGACTTAACCGAGCTCTGGACCTTCTGTGGTACGATCCAGAAACGGACTTGACCGAATGGCTTCCACAGATCTCAGAAGTTGACGCCGTCTCCCCAGGATTGTCCGTGTACTTCCTGCTTCTACAAGCTTACAGACTTGTCGCCCAGGACCAGTACGATGAAGCTGACGACATTTGTTCGCAAGTGCAGCGTAGGCTTACAATCTTGAAAGAAACTCCAGGAAGCATAGACCTTTGGCGAGTAGGACTTGCTTATCGCCGACTTGGGCGACAACAACATGCCAAAGGCCGCATTGCCGACGCACGTCGGAGTTTCAACACGGCGCTAAAATATGTGCAGAATAACAACGACCTGTCAAAATCCGTTCTGATCGAGATCTGCCAGCGTCAGCAAAGCATGGCAAACATGATGCAAGACGCTGAGGATGTCTTCTTCTGGACCAAAATGCTTGAGTCCTTGGAGCAGGACACCAAAGCAACACAAGTAATCGAGGAACTCGACCCATCCAAGGATGAAGACGAGAGCGAGAGTGAAGACGAAGGCGAAAAGCTTCGAGGAAAAAAGAGGCGAATATCACCTAATCCCGGCCGGAGTTCCACGCCCGCTCGACGGGGCACCTGGTAACCTTGAAGTTGGAAGACCAGCGAAATCAAAGCACCCTCTTCGACTTGAGACTTTACGAGACCATGAATTTATGAAGTGACGATTTCTACCCTGTTCCCCAGTTGAGCGAATTTGAAGGAGTTTAGGATTGAAAAGAATGCAAGCATGATTGGGGGATCTGCAAGTGACCGGTTTCTCTCTGAAATTTGTGAGGCATTTGTCCCGCTCGTGAGGACGAGAGAGCCTTAGGCACCCGTGACCGGAAGTGATTGTTCGTTCCATTTACACAGCAGGGAAAGAGCAGGCGATATTATCAACATCAGTGTTTCAAAGCGCGAGTTGCGTATCTGATGTACTTATACATATTCGGTACATGTGATTTGAGTGAGAGGACTCCAGCTTTTTTGAATTGGGAAGGAGCTTTTTATATAGCCTTGTAGTCAGTCACCTTGCTTAGTTCTCTCATCAACCGGTATTGCTCTCCTCCAGCTTCTATCCTCTGACAGGTCTCGTTGTGCATCTGCTTCACAATCTCGCCATCTTCCTGGCGGCCTGATCATTTCGTCCATTTTGGTGAGGGAAGAGTCTCTCTGCCGTATGCGACTCACTAGTCGTTCCTGATTTCGAGTGGTGATTTTCTGTGATACAATCTCCGACAACGCTGTTGAGCTTTGAGAGGCGATATGCGGACAGGAGAAAGCCACCCTCCCAGACCCTCGGTTGAGGCGTTGTCATTATGTTGTACAGAAGTTCGACTGCCTGCCCAAGTACCGCTATTCGAGGACACGAAGCCAGGGGGCTGTGGGCATCTTCAGTATGATCCACGAATTCCTCGAACCGGGCCAATGATTTTCATCACGTCTCTTCGGTCGTCGTTGTCTCGGGCTTCTTCTTCCTGCTGGCCAGGATCTCATCGACGACGCCCAACTCCAAGGCCTCCTCGGCGCTCAGGAAGTAGTCGCGCTCCATCATCCTCTCGATCTCGTCGACCGTCATCTTCTTCTTGCCCGTCAGGTGGCGCTCGTAGATCCGGTTCAGCTGCGTGCGGATGCGGAGGATCTCTTTGGCGTGGATGGCGATGTCGGCCGCGGTGCCGTAGTGGCCGCCGCTGGGCTGGTGCAGCATGATGCTCGAGTGCGGCAGGCAGTAGCGCTTGCCCGCCGCGCCGCCCGCGAGGAGCAGGCTGCCCATGGAGGCGGCCTGGCCAAGCACGAGCGTCGACACCTCGGGCACGATGTAGTTCATGCAGTCGTAGATCGAGAGGCCCGCCGTCACGCTCCCGCCCGGCGAGTTGATGTACATGGAGATGGGCCGGTCAGACTCGGCCTCGAGGTACAGGAGGGACGCGGTGACCGTGGCGGCCATGCGGTCGTCGACTTCGCCGTACACGGCGACGATGCGCTCCTTGAGGAGCCGCGAGAAGAGGTCCGTCGTGTGCGTCAGGCCCGCGATTGTCTCGGTGCTGGTAGATGCCAAAGCAACGACACCCACGTCAGCTCATTTCCTCTTCCAGACCATTGAATAGAAAAAGAAAAAAGGCACCTCGAGTGCTGTAAAGGTAGCCGAGAACACTTACACGAAAGGCACCGGGAGCCAGGACGTCGGAGGGGCAGATCTTGAGTATTGTCGTCTCTGCGCAGGCAGGTTTTGCAGCGTGGCGCCACTCCATGCTGCCCGCACTGGTAATCGTGCGGGCAGCTGTGGTACTGCGCGGAGGAGGTGGCGCATCCTTGCTCAATATGTGGACAGCGCAGGAAATAAGGCTCGCTGTCGAGGGAAGGGGAATTGAAAGCTTGCGCCCTCAACGGCGATATTTTGAGAGGGTGCACCTCGCAAGGCTGAGCACGGCGGAGCAACTAGACAAAAAGGGACGCGAGGCTGAGGTAGGCGAGGGATGCACTTCATAACATTCCGCACGTGTGCTATGGGTAGCAGTATAGGAGCATATATCCAATTCTGATTGAGTCTTATTAGGTTCTACACAATGTACTTTTCTTCACCCGTTGTACTGCTGTTGGTCCATTACTTGGTAAGGAGCAAATTATGCCGGAAAGGTAAGGCTGGTACCGAATATTGAGTGTAATCTTGCTGTTGGGGTCTTATTTATCTTGCTGTGGAATTCGGGGTCACGCTGTAAATGCACAGTAGTCCATTTTGCGCCTGTGATCTAGATCCGTAAGACCCGGGATCCGAGTGCATGACTCCAACGCAAGGTCACCCAAATAATATCGCTCGACCAGTCCGCTTACAAGCCTTTCGGCGTGAAATGATGTCGCCGGCTCGGTGTTGCTTTGCCTCGTTTCGCTGAAGCAGTGGAGCGCGCCAAAATGATGGGGAATGCCCATTCGGATGTCGCTTTCGCAAAGTCCTATACATTCACGGAGCTCGACCAAACCGATATTCGCCTCGGCCAAACTAGATACTAGTCCGCATTTTGTTGTTGCAGAGCGTTGCGAACAGGAGCAACGAGAGATGATCTCGCAGTGTCTCGTTCGGCAGCCTGCACTGGAATATGGCCCGATACTGATTGCTCTCTTCTCATCTATGAATGGAGCAGCGCGGCTCGCACGGCGTAAAGTTGATATTTTGCCCTTGCGGCGCCCATGCATTCATCCGGCCCTTGCTCTTGCGGCGGCGAGTCTCAAGAACGCAGCAACGCTTGCCCGAGCTTGAGCATTTTCAATCGCGGCAGGCGAAGCACCGGGCACTGGTCTTCTGAGTAAGTCTTTGACCCCCTTCTTCAAATCCAGTAATATCACGTCTTCATCTGTTGTGGTTTCGCTTCGTTTCTGATGTGTTGCAGCGTCTTCCCTCGATCCTTCGGGCAAAAGGCTTTGCAGTTCGATCCCTTCCTCAGGCATGTCCACTTGCGCTTGAGCACGTGACCTTAACTGCCCGGCTTCTTCGGACTCCAGGTCCTGTGGCTGTGACTCTTCGTACGCGAGAGGATCTCCTGAAGCAATTTGCCTCTCATGACCAGCCACGAGCATAACCAATTGCAGCGAAAAGAGTATCAGGTCCAATATCAGTACAGATGTCCTCGATCTTGGAAGTTCCCCGACGAAGTCAACGATGATGCCACCATAGAGTCGCTTGGTCCCCGACCTGTTCTGTAGAAGATGTGTCAGGACACAGATGAGATTGACCACGATGACGGGTGTGATAGCCGCCGGACGATGCTGAACGTGGACCACTTGGTTCAACGCGCGTAGTACGAGGAGGAAGGTAAGATTGTCGCAGATATAGAGGATGCCTAGATGGAGGAAAACCAGAGCGTCCAGCAAGCGGAGGAGAGAATCGAGATGGTGTTTCTTTTGCTCTGGAATCTCGAGCCTGCGGTCCAGGGTGAGCGAAGGGACAAAGGCACCGTCATTATCGGCCGTGTTATTCATTCCCAAACCTGCGGAAGAGAATGATGGAGACGCAAAAGTATCATTGTTGCGTTCCTATGAGGGCCCTCTGTGACGAAGAAGCTCGCATGTCGCACGGACGGGATGTTGATGCTGGCCTGTTGCTGTTCGACTGCGCGGTTTCCCAGCTGCTACAGCGACTTGGTCGACGCTAGTTCCGTATTTGGACGTAAGTGCTGCTGCCCTATAGATTATCCGAACTTGTTCCACCTCGGATGAATTTTGGCTGTGATTCACGCCCAATATGGATCCATCGGCTGGCTACTTTAACATTGTTGCTATCCTCGCAAGTTGGCAATTGATGCTGGGACTCATGTCGGTCGTTCAGATGTTACTGCAGAGAGCTGGAGCGAAAGAGACTGCACCCGTCAAATCTGCCCGCGTCCTTTGCCTTTTAAGCCCTCGCCAGATTCCGGTACGTTCTTCGTCTACATACAGGAATGGAATTTGCTGCGACTCCCTCGTTGCTAGGCTCCTTGGTCCCGACTTCAAAATTTAGTTCTACTAGCATTCCAAACACGCTGGACAGGTTGCCAAATACCGCGTCACCTTGAGATCTTCTAGCTTGCAGAAACCATAAAGCACTTTTGCCTTCTCTTCTCAATGCTAGTTGCCATCAACTGGAATCAGTACGTCACGCATACGGAGGCCCATCCATTTGGACGCCCACCCATGTGTTTTCAAGGGGGCAAGAATACTAGTGGCGCTTCCATGAGAGGGGCACACTCAGTTGCTGCTAGACGCCAAGGGCCAGAATTGAGGAAACTCTTTAGGGTCTCGAATAGCCGATTTCCGCTGCTAGGACTTCTGTCGGAGATAAAAAGCATTCGTCATCACAAATGCGTGTTCGAAAGGGGGCTATGGCTGTAACCGTGATGGAGGTCAAGTAGCAACGCAGCGGAATGTCCAACGCCAGAAGAGAAGTGGAGAGCTCGCTTGACGTTCCCCTGATTTTCCTTTCTCTGTCGACATGCTGATGACTCCAGCGCGGGAGTCAGTGACCATGCTTAGATCAGAATCCTCTGTTTGGTCTGTTCTCTGGCCTGGTTGCTTTTCGTGCCTCGACAATGAAGCCACTAACTCGGCCCCCAATACTTACTTGGGTAATTTAATGTCACTCTAGCTACAACCGTCGTGCTCGCATTGCCAGTCATGATTGAACAGTACTAGCTCTGCCATCGATGTAGTCGCTTAATATAGCTAACTCTTCGAGGACGTTGGTAGGGCGTAGTCGTAATACGCCTTGGCAGTACTCTAGTGTACGTGGGATCCCTACACTAGGAGGGCGACGCCGAAGGTGTCAGAGGACTCGGAACAAGCAGAACACAGTGGGCCTGGTGTACATAAGGCAATGTCCAGAAGAATTGAGCTCGTTGTGATCCCTCTCACGGTCTGCGGAAAAATGGCTCTTCTCTGTTCGCCGCTTCCAAACATCAGCCATTACCTTGACCAGAGTTGATGCGCTTCGCGAATGGTGTTGATGGCCTGTTCACCGCTTCTCGATGTTAGGCTCAAGAGTCAGGAACCGATATAGCTGGCTGGCCACCGCTGCGCTCTTAGTTTCTATCATTTTGTTTTTGTTCAACAAGCATTCGAGTTTTTTGAGCCTGTGGATCAGGTTAGCCGGCAGCGACAGGGCGTGGATTTATAAAGGTCCTGAGGCTGGAGACAAAGCTGTCATTCTTGCAAAGATCAAGGCTGAAGATGTTAGTTGGGTGCTCAGCGAGCTGTCAGAGTACGATATCCTTGACCTCCCTTCTAAAGTTTCTTCCCCGGCTAACACTGTCTTCCTTCCAGTTGGCAACAGGCCATCTATTACATGGACGATCCCACTGATGGAACCTTGCATCCGCCCAAAAACAAAGGCCGCGAGGCTATGGCGTATCTTACCTTCCTGATCGATCATTATGACAACCTTCCTTCCTCCATGGTCTTTGTGCACCCGCACCTCGAAGGTTGGCCGTCGGCCTGGCATACGGACGATGACGGGTACAACAACCTCAAATCCATCCGGTCCTTGAGGCTCGATTATCTCCAAGAACATGGATATGTGAACATGCGGTGTCTTCATAACCCAGGCTGCCCTGCTGAAATCCAGGTCCTACGAGATGAGGAGGATCGCGCCGCAGAGCATGCGATGCGCGACGCCTGGCCTTACATGTTCGGAGGCAACCAGTCAAGTATTCCGGAGACAATTGCTCAGCCATGCTGCTCACAGTTCGCCGTTTCCAAGACTCAAGTGTTAAAGCGCAACAAAGAGGAGTACAGACACTATCGGCAGTGGTTGCTTGATACTCCGGTCGATGATGCGACGAGTGGACGAGTATTTGAGTATCTGTGGCATGTGATTTTCGGCCGAGATGCCGTGTATTGTCCATCCTTGCAAGAATGCCGGTGCGAGCAGTTTGGACATTGTTGAGTTCTATATGTTGACGTTGGAAGATGACAGGTCCTGATTTTGAGGGGGCAATGCCAAAGTCTCCATTTAGGCTCGCTACAAGCTGTGATTAAGGGAGACGACACTGAGTCGAACACTCAAGAAATAGCCCAAGAAATAGTCTGGATGGATTGAGAGATATAGAAGCGAATGAGCAATGCGTGGTCCAGCTATATACAGAACTACTGTTTTGCCGCGTAGATAGCCTCATATTGCCAAGCACTGGTGGATCCAGGGAAGATTGTTGTTCCGTCGCCGTCCAAATGTTAACCACATCCGTGTTTCAACCTCAGCATCTTGAGCTTCTTCTCCCTCACCACAGAGCCAGATCCATGCTCAACGCGCAGCACGACGCGCCGCTTGAAGTGCCAAGCAGATGCTGCTGTATAACAGCCAAAATCATGTTGATGCCACTCCGGCCCCGCTCCCAAAATCAGTGTCATTCAAGTTTTCCAAAGCAATGCTCAACGTCTCTCGGCAAAAATAAAAGCTCCCCTTCAGACCTCTGAAACGCTCTGATCAACTGAAAGTTCTGTTATCTGCTTGAGGCTCCTTGCCTTCAAAATCTCATTTACCGCGTTGGCCTCATTCGTCCTCGTCTTTTCGAACGAGACCGTGCTCCCATGCTGGAGCTGGAGCGTACGTAATTGTCGTGGATCCCACTTTGGTGCGTCCAATTTTTGCAACTGCCTCCAGAACGCCTTTGGTGCTTGACATGGTCAACTCAATGTCGACATTAATGGCAATGTAGGCGGGATAGGTCCGAGAACCCGACTTCGCTTCTGCGCGTTTGCGACGTGCTATGTTGGTGATGTCCACTCGTATCACACCAATCTCCTCAACACCTGCGTTGTGTTGGCATCTTTTCCACACTCGAAGAGGAGGAACTTACCAGGATCATCCACCCGAGATGGCGCAACATCTTCTGCACATCTGTACAGAACCTGGTTGATCACAGCCTTCTTGATCTCTGCGCGAGCGTTTTCCACGACATGATAACATTTCACTCTTACCTTCATATCAGGCTTCAGCTTCTGGCCCTATTCTGTGGTTAGCATAATATGAGGCTAGCAAGTCGCTGCTCACTTTTTTGATGATCCATTCCATTTGGTTCTTCGCGCGAGAACCACTCTCGGGGCATTCGAATCGATCCTCCGCCCTGTGTGTCCCCCCATTCCAGGTGCGATGGACGTGCGTGCCAATGAATTCCCGGGACCGCCTAGAAACAATGGGCGAGCATCCCTGAGCTGCCAGCACTGCTCCTCGAACCACAGCAGTCAATGGTTGGCGAGGAGTCACGACTTTGACGGAGTCATTTTCGAAAAATCTGACGGCAAATTCTTTGACCTGGTTGAAGATATACGTGTTGCAACTAAGTCCTCCGCACAACGCGATTATCTGTTGTGATGATTGTTAGCGCGGATACTTATCCAGCTATTCCATGACTTACTTCAAGAGAACTGGCAGATCGCTTATTCTTCGCCAGTCGCCCGACCTGCTCACGGATGATCCGGCATATCATCTGAAGAATTGGCTCGAACATGCGTTGCATTTCGGCACTATCAGTTTTCAGCCCGCTTCTCGATCAAACGATGGGTTGTGACAGGAGCGGAGCGGGGAGAAATACCTTGTAATTTTCACAGCATGGTCCACGAAGTCATAACGGTTCCGAATATCCTCGTCATCTTCATCCAACTTCTTCATATTGATCGGAAGCCAGATATCGCTGCTGTTGTCTTTTGGACCCTCATATACGTTTTTTTGTCTTTCAAACTGGTCCATGAAGTTGCTTGTGGCCGCTATTTTACCGATTGGAAGTTCGCTGAATGCAACCCCAAAATGTTCTTGCATTAGAGCGTGGAGAGCTCGGTCGAGACTTGTACCGCCTATTTTTGCGCCTGATATCGTGGTCAATAACAAGCCATTGATGAAGGGTTGAGAATACAACCTTCGCCAGCACAAGCCTCCTCTAGTTGCAGTGGCTCACGAGAGGTTATTTTGTACGACACACTGTCGATCGTCCCACCTCCGCAATCGATGACCATGACGCACGAGCCTTCCTATAGTGTTGTCAGACCATACTCGAATCGACTCGTCCACGACCACACATACCTTCAACTTTCCAACGTCAGACGACTTCTCCAGCGACTTGATCACATCAAGAGCTGCCGCCTCGCTCTCATCGATGATGAATATCTCATCCCGCTTGTCGTTCCCGAATCCGGCCTTAATCACTGCTTGACGTGTGGCTTCACGAGCCGCTAGCGACCAGGTGGTTGGAACTGGAACACAAACTCGTTTCTGTGTATGCTTGACAGCGGTTTCGAGGATGGTGTCGTTCAAATGTCGAAGGAAATGTTCTCGGAGTCTGTATACAAAGTCCCTTATGACTTCTGAGGCGTCTTTGCCTTCCGGTAAGTGCATAAGACCTTGCCCTATGGCTTGCTGGAGGAGGGGATCGTCAAAGTCTTCTTTGTCCGTGTTTTCGTCGAGTCGGAGCTTTGGCCAGTTACAAATTTGCATTCCGCTCTCCACCTGGAAGCCCCATTTATCTGTCGTGAAGCTGTTTTCTACAGCATAAGCCATCCTCGTGGGCACCTTCACCGCGACACGGCCACCCCAGTTATCAAGGACGGAAATCTCGTCTGGTGAAGCGTTGCTGGCCGCATATGCAATGGCTGGAGATTCAGCACAAAAGAAGATCGAACAGCATAAGCGATACATACCTGAGGCTGTCGTTCCAATATCCAGTCCTACGCTCAAGTATTTCCTTGCTTCCTTGGGCTCCTCTGGCTTTTCAGACTTGCGCTGAGCTTTTGCCGCTTTCTCCCTGGAAATCCCCTTATCTCCATCATAGGTCAGAACCCGTTCGAGATCACATCGGTATTGCACTCACCTTCACGTTTCCTCTTCGTCGCAGAAGGCCTGTTTGCAGTGCCTGAGGTTGCTGTCAGTTTCCATAGACCCTGAAGATGATTGGATCGTACATCTAGCCTGAGTCTTTGGGTCTCTGAGCCCCAAGGGCTTGTATTCGGCCTCCATTTTGCTAATTTCCAATGCCGGGACGATGGATCGTGAGACGGCTCAACTCGACTCGAAATACAGACTCCAAAAGAATTGAGATTCTCAGAGAGATGGTGTTGTCACAGAGGCAGAAAGAGAAGAACGACGAGAACGAAGGTGAGAGATCTGGAGGAAGGTAGGATTGGATTTATATAGGATTGACCGGCGGCTTTCACATGCTTCGAGCCTTGTCTCGACCTTACCTCAAGTTGATCTGAGTCCTGCCTTTTTATCTCTCTTGAGATCACTCTGACACTGTCATCTTGCGTCTCAATTCGACTCGCACGTGCCGATTCCATCTGGATTCTAGCTCACATTACCAATCACTTTCATGATCTTCTGATTGTTCAGTTACATCTCAGCATCCACTCACAAGTATTCTGGGTCGCTTGCATTCCAACCTTTCATGATATCACAGTCACCAATACTACAGCAAAGGTCAGTCTTTAACCAACCATGGAACAGGCAGCGACTCAGCGTGAGGTGGAAGTAGTGATACCACCTTCGAGAACCGTTAAGCCCACAGAACCCTCGGGGCCACCACCCACTCCCCGGAGGTCCAGTCGAGTGAGCAAGCCTACTCCTAAGAAATCAACCTCTTCATCGAGCACTGCCGTTGGGTCCAATGATGAAGATCCTCGAGATGCTCATGGATCGGACCCTGACTACGCAGGAGATCGCTCGAGGAAGAATCGGAGAGCCACTAAGTCTGGAAACCGGGCAACACGCAGTAGGGGGAAGAAAATCCCCGGAAAACTGCCTCCTCCAGAGACTCCTGAGGAATTTAAGCTAATAAAGGAAAATTACCCATCTAAGATTCCCACAAAAAGAAACGAAGATGCTACAGCTAAACTGCAACAACGCAGCACAGAGCAGAAGGAAAAGGATCTTCAAAGTGCGAAGAAGGAAATCAAGGAGCACAAGAGCAGATTGGAAGCAGCGCAGACCGACATCGCAAAGTTGACGCGGCAGCTAGACAGTTATCAGAATGATCAGCTGAAGCTTGTGGCTAAAAGCAAGGTCGAGGCTGAACTGGACGCCGATCTGCATAACAAGTTCCAAGGCATATTTGGCGGTGCCCTGGACATTTCCAGATATTGGTGCATTCAAGATTTGCGGAACGCCGACGTGAATAAAGTCGAACAGGTGTTCTCATGCTTCTTGAAGCGAAAGTCGAGGCCTATCGCAACTGACCGGTTCCTGCTCGCCGTCAAACACGGAAAAGTCTCGCCTAGGCTGGTGTTGAGCACATTCATCAATGCTGAAATCTGCACCGAAACATTTGAAAGGCCCTTCGCACACCTACAGCTGGGCCTTCCTGGTCCAGATCATGCAGAGATTGAGGTCATATTGAACAGAATCATGAAATGTGCCGAAGAGAGTAGGTTTGTGCGGTCTGATATACTTTATCAACCCGCTGACGCGGAACAGAATCCTCAAATTCGCAATATAAGCTGAGAGCCACCATTCTCCGTGCCATCGACGACCATCCCGTGGAGAAGGCTCATTGGGTCGAGTCGCGAGCTCAACGAGACCTGTCCTTCGCCCATGCAGAACGTTGCAGAGAGATTACCAACGGTATCTTCGACAAAGTCGGTATCCTCCTCAGGGAGGTCACAGACGGAGAGCGACACACGAGGGACGCGCAAATGCTTCGTGTGGTGGAGCAGGCTATGCGATTGTCGTGCATCCTCAATATGCAGTATCCGAAGGTGCAGTTCTTCTTTCTTGATGATCTGACCGAGAGGAAATTCTTCCTGAAGGACGCTTGGTTTCGATTACACCATTCCGTTGGCATCGAGGAAAATGATGAGAACTACCTCTCTGAGGTGCAAGCGCTTGTTGGCCAACCCATTGACGTGGTTGTGGCCCCCGCTGTTGCACGATACGGGGATAAAGAAGGCGAGAACTATGAGACGGAGAACATAGTATTCCGGGGGTCGGTTTGGATCGTAAGGAACAACGAGTCTTCACGAAATACTCTCGATTTTCATTCAGGAAAGCAAATTCCCGACGAAGACGTGGCATGCATCTCAAAGAGTAGCCATTCCCTCGCACCGAACCAACAGATGCCGGAAAGTACAATCTTCGATACCAGTGAAGCTGGTCAACAAACCAAAAGCACGAAGACAACGGTGGCTTCTGGAAAGGCTTACAACTTGCGCTTTCCTGTGGAACCTATCATGAAGGTGGCTGAAGAGAAAGGGGAAGTTGATGCGCAGAAAGACTTCGAACACAGTCAAAGCAAGATCAGAAATCCAGAAAATTCGGAACCTAGAACGAGCTGTTCAGCAACTTCCGAACAACCGAAGGTACCGTTGGACGACATCAAATGCCTCAATCCAGGAGATAACGGAAGCACCTCTGTGAGGAGGGAGAGAGATGAGCAGCAGCAGCAGCGAGATGTACGGAAAGAATGTTCCGACAACGAAGCAAGCTCACCTCGTGACAACGGTGCGCCATCTAAGCAACTGCCAGCGACAGTTTCAGGACCAGAAGATCCCAAACCACCTCTTAAACGGCTGCGCATGAAAAATAAGAAGAACCAGGGCCCTGAAGGAGAGACGTCGGCGGAAAACCAAGCTGGAAAGGCGGAAGCCAAATCTGGAGATACTGACGATTCCCAGACCAAAGAAGCAACCGGGCATGTGCCTACATTGCCAGCCACACCCCCGCCAGCACTGGCTTCTACACAAGATCCAGCGAAAAGAGTACTACCGGGGCAAAGCGAATCAGATCAGGTTTGCAAGAAGCGAAAGTTGTCCAACTATAAAGTCGACGACCAGTTTGGGGATGGGGAGAATGTCGAGCATGACCAGCCCCCGAAAAAACAGGCAAGTTCCCCTAATACCCTGTTCGGCGCCTGCAAATTGGACTTGCTGATTCTCAACGACTGCGTGGAAAGCTGACGAAAGCATAGAAAACAGAAGCGTCGAAGAAGCAGGAGCCGTCGTCCTCGTCGGCGTCGAGCCCGAAACAAGCGGTCGACACCATAGGGAGGCCGAAGGACGAGGTGGCGGACATACCTTCAGAGCTCATGGATCAAGCCTACTCGAGATCCAAAGAGGCAGGGGAACCAGCTTCGCAAAAGAAGCAGCAGCATCCACGGACAATGCCTACAACTCCGGCAACACAGGGAGGTCATCAACCACCGCAGCCCAAGAAGAATGCGACAGAGAAACCCCAGAAGACTCATCCAGCGAAGTCGACCAAGAAGGCCCCAACCCAGAAGAAGGCGGCGCAAAGTGGCTCACAATTGATGGGCATCTTGGACTCAATTAACTAACCCCCAAAATACTAAAAGAGGTGGTTCTGACTATCAACCCCCTCAAACCCTCCCTCACTACCCAGAAATGATCGTGACATCAAATCTCCAGACAAAGACCGGCAAGAAAGATGTTAGTGTTATCATCAGAGCATTCAACACCGGCACCGAATCAACCACGAGCGTACACGTCCCGACCAATTTCCACCGAGAAATTCACAAATACCGGATATCAATCCTGTCACCGATCACCTCGCACATCTCCAGAAAAGACAAAACACTCCAGAAACCCAAGATAAGAACAGAGAACAAAAACCAGAACAGCCGAAGTGCATACCCAACACCTTTCCAAGGACGAATCCCACCGCGCAGCTTCGCGACCGCTCGAACGTTCTGATTCAAGGCTCCAGGTTCGGACCTATACATCGTTGCTTGCCAGAGGAGTTCACTTTCCCTGGCGAATTCTCCCAGGCAGAAAGGGAGAGGGTGCAAAGGGGGCAGAAGTTACATGCGAGACCAATGGATAGCTGGAGAATGAATACAACCGGGGCGTTGTGGTCTTGACTTCTGGACACGGGCACGGGTGTGGGAAAGTGCAGGGACCGATACCGACGAGACGGGACATGTCATGATCTGGTACAACTTGCCCCCTGACACGGCTGAGAGAGTGCTCGTAGTCTGCTTGGCCTGCTTTCCTGCATTCATATATCGTATCTGGGTCTGTCGTGCCCTGGAGAGGACAACGGCTAACCATACATTTGCTGTTCTGGACTCTTGATCCCCGGAGAAGCAGTTTGGACATTCTAGCCGAGTGCTCGATACAGTGGCGAGCAAAAATCCAAAAAATTGGCAATTTTGCCGAGGGCACAACAACAGCACACCGCCATATGCGCGTATAGCGGTGTAGCCCTAGATAGGCCAGAACAGCGTAATTTATCTAGTAAATAGCTATTTCGTAGTACAGTAGCCTACATCGATATGTCTACACGACCTCGGCGTGAACCGACGCCTTCTCGCCGCCTCCTGGAGGCACGCGCCGCAGCCGTTACAACTAGATCAAATCAGCCTATATCGACGCCAACGCCTCCAAGGACACTGTCTCCGACCTCAAGGGAGCTCGCGGAGCCTACCCCAGTGCCACCTAGGCCAGAAACTGCTGTTCCAGGAAGTGCTGGCACGGCAGGTGGTAGCAGACCTAGTCAAAGCCTCAGGTTGACATTCAACGCCTCAACCTGGGCGCGATCGCCTGTGCCTAGCGCCGCCGCAGCGCGCCAGCCTGTGCCGCAGTCTGGTAGACTTACTACGGCGGAGGCGCGATCGGTTGCTCTCCAGGCGCTCAGGGCGAGACCTGCCACCGAGCGATCTCAGACCTCGCGGAGCTCGCAATGGCTGTTTAAATCGCAGTTCCTTGAGGATGAGGATAAGTTTAACTCATCCTCAGATCTAGATAAGCTAAACAACTTGATATCTAGCCAGATTGGTTAGATATCGAAGCGGCCACGAAGTGGTGGTGTTGTTGTTATGGAGGAAGTTGCGGAGGATATAGATGTATCTATCCCACCACCTTCGCATCAACTATAGGCTACAGAACAGCGTAAACGACATAAAAGGATCTCAACAACAAGGCAAACAGAGTCTCCTGATATAGAAGTCTTTAAAATGAGCAAGATTATGTTCAAAATCATCACATCTGTGATAGTTAGAAGGTCTCTTGAACTGTCCGCAGAGGACGAGGGCACTCAAATGTTCGATATCAACATCATTATCCACGCCTACTAACGACGCCTCGAAACTAAGTATCTACCTAGCCAGTTCCATCTCAACCCTCCTACCTTTGGTGGAGAGCTTAGTTTATTGATTTCAGGCAGGAACCACTTCAAACTGAACTGCCAGAACGACAATGACTTTAAGAGTTTCGCGAAGCGATGGTGGGAGGTCCTCCAGGAACCTAGGCGCCAGAGGCACATAGTCTAGGTCTCTCTGACTATTCGCTTCGAGGCCAGGCTAGTTACGCCTCCGCCACCTATCCTAGAGGACGTAACACAGGCCAGGCGCCGGCGCGACGAGGAATAACGATCGAGACTAAGCGCTAGCCAGCGCCAGCGCCAGTCAATCGCGGCAAACGAATCGCTCAATGTCGCCACTGGCGATGTCCAGATATTTGAGCTGACTACTAAGTGGAAGTGCCAGAGCGATCGCTGTCCTAATTACGGCAGAGCCTGCCTACCTACAGACGAGGGCCATATCCGCATCGACACTCCATCTATTCGACAGTGGTTCGACTCAATCCGTAACGGCGCCGCAACGATCGAGGAGATGCTAGGTTCGTTACTCCTGAGACTTATAAAGGATAAGAGTAACTACATGAATAAAAAGGCTATCAAAGCTGCCGTAAATGGGGCGCAAATCGCGTCGAATGGTGGTGGTGTTCATATCCAGTTTTTTCAGGGGTCTAGCGATGCCACAGCTAAGTCTAACCGCGATCAATAGTTAAGCCCACCTTTCCGACCTGGCGACGACGATAATAACGTTATTCTCTACCTCGACTGGCTCGGTAGGCGTTATCCTAGCTATAGAGCTGAATTTGGCGAGATTAAAGGCATTCTACAGGCTGAGGGATGGGGGTTCTTAGATCTTCGCGCAATCACAGATTCTGCCTGGGAACGCATGGAGATTCGCGGTAGATTCGTTAACAAGCTGAAGAAGAACCTTAAGGTCTTCGCAAACGAGGAATTACAGCCAGAAGAGGCCTCGGCGGCGGCGACAGACGACCTGAGTCTCCTACCTTGAGATCCTTGTTGTTGTTATTGCACACAGATAAAAAACCACGTTACTAGCCGATATAAGCAAAATCGCTGGCGATTACACGTAAATGTGTAACGAAACGCCCTGGGAACGGCGCTAGTAAGGTTGTTGTAACGTCGATAAACAACAGGATTTGGTGTGTTTAGATCGATCGATTGCGTAACAGGCTATGGCACGAGATCCAGATCGATTCCTATAGAAGCCTTTTACACAGCTAATTTTACTGTAGGCGCGGCTTTTACAGGAATCGATCTGGCCTTGTAACACTGATTTTACACGCCGATCGACCTAGCTATCGACGGTAGTCATACTTGCGCCCAATCCTCGATCCCTTACAACAGCACTATTTCCTCTTATTCCTCGCGATCCTTATGGTCCTCCTGACTAGTCCTTATAGATAGGCCATAGCCGCAAGATCTAAAGTACTTCCTAGCTGTCCTTACTGGACAAACTGCCTCCATCCCTAGGTGTAGAAAGGTCTCGAATTCATGCTCATATGTATAACTAAGGTCGCGATTCTTCCTTAACCACTCCTTCAACTCGTAAAAGGCCATCTCGATCGGGTTGAGATGAGGCGAATAGGGTGGTAGGTAGGTAAGGATCACACCGTATTACGCGGCGAGTGTCTATATACGCTCGCCGTGATGGATACTGGCATTATCCAGTAACAACACTGATCGAGGCGCTAGGAACGCGTTCATCTATTGTAACAGTCTCTCCACAAAGGCTAGGAATCTGTCTCCGTCGAAGGAACCGTGATAGATCTCGTAATCAAGCCAGCCGTCGATCGTAAGCGTAGGTAGGATACTCCAGCGAGTACTTCGCCTATTAGATGCCCTTACTCTATAAGGTACTCCTCGTGGCGACCAGCCATATTTGCGATCGCCTGTTCTCTCGTTTGCGGCGCTCTCGTCGAGAGACACGAGGTGATCAGGTGTAAACCGTGTCATATCGGCCAGGAACGCTGTAACCAGTGTTTCATCGCGACGGATATTAATCTTAGTTATCCTCTTGCGTATTAGATCGAGTTCTTTCAAGATCCTACCTACGGTAGTGGCATAGACGTCTATATCATATTCCTCTTTAAGGAGATCACAGATCTCGTCCCTTCGCGCCGTTAGGAAGTCCTCGATAAACAGGTTGATAGCCTCCATTGCCGCGGCATGAATCGCTCTGGGACGGCCTCGTACCACGCCTCCTGCCTCCAATCCAAGCGATTCCGCCTCGTCTCGATGCCGCTGTTGCGTTACGAAGGAAGGAGACACGTTGTTTACTCGAGAGACGTCGATTGGGCGCATTCCAAGGGCCAATTGAGTACTCACAGTGGTCCTGATGTCCATGGCCTTGCGAGGGTGTGACCCGCCTGAGGGCATGGTTATCACGTAAACAGGTTAGTTATATAGAGATACAGTCACGAGCAATCTTTTAAGCCTATCTACAGATTACAGAACGTCGTAGTTGTTGAATGGCGACGCGTTCTTTACACACCGCTATTTACGCTGTAGGCCGAGCTACCTGCCATTGCACCGATGCGCCCTCGGCAAAATTGCCAATTTTTTGGATTTTTGCTCGCCACTGTACCGAAATGGACGGAGAAGAGCAACACGAAACAGAGATTTGACTTTGAATATCGAGCCCTCAGGTACCATCCGAGTGCCATACTGTTTAGGTGGATTTTTCCTTTGGTCCCCCATATCCGAACCATCTGCGCATATCCCTCAAGATATGATCAAACCGGTCAGACTTCATGTTCATATATTTACAATTCCTTTCCCCGTGCACGCCCGGAATCTGTGTTTTCCATCCCTGCCGGAACACATGCCACTCTGGAGGAAACCGCAAACGCCATCGCTGATGCAGGCATAACATCTTCAATCCGTCCATATAGTGGTCACATAGAAACCACCACAGCCGTGTGCGTTCAAGCAGCCAGCACCCCCGCGACCTGACAGCTCATGTCCAGCAATGCGAGATGCTCGTCAACCCCATCGACCAACTTCTTGTCAAACTCCGAGAAGATAGCCGTCAACTTGTACTTTTTCCTCATAGCTGCGTCTTCCTTGCTGTTGACGACCACATCTTCTTCGCCAAGCACCACGGCTGCATACAGGGCAGAAAGGACCTCGTTGGCCGCATACCCGCTCGCGACAATATTGGTAATTTCCGACGCAATGTTATTGTAGTTTCGAGTGTTGCCTTTTTGGAGGATTGCGATGAGATCGTCTGTGAGATTTGGGGGGAATGTACCTGCGATTTCGTTGATGTCGGATATCTTGATCATGTTGCTGGACTGGGCAGGTTTCGATTTGCCGGCGTCGACATCTTCCATTTCCTCATCCGATTCATCTGCAATCACCCGCTTTTTGTGGCCGTTCGAGGTGGGTATCGAGGGTGAGGCTCCAATAAGTCGAGCGGCGCTCTGGAGGAGATTGATAGAACGTCGAAGATCCCCGTCCGACACTTTAAGAGTCCTCTCAATAACACCCTCTTCGTATTTCACATTCTCCGTCTTGAGAATCGTCTCGATACGCGCAACTGCCTCGGAGCCCTCGAGAGCCTTGAACCGAAATTTGGAACACCGGGAGGCTATGGGGTCAATGATCCTTGAGACGTAGTTGCAGCACAGCGCAAACCTGGTGGTTGCGCTGTGGATCTCCATCACTCGTCTCAACGCCCCCTGCGCATCCTGCGTGAGCTGGTCTGCCTCGTCCAACAAAACCACCTTGAAGTTGGGGCACGGGTACTTCTTGCGGTATTCATCCGAGAAAGGGTGTGTCAGGTGTTGCGATGCGAACTGTTTGACTCGTTCTCTGATCACGGAGAGGCCTCGTTCGTCCGAGGCGTTGAGTTCGAGGACTCTCGTCTTCATGAGTTCTGGGCCAAAAAGTTCTCGACAGAGGGCGAGGATCGTGGAGGTCTTGCCGTTTCCCGGTGGGCCATAGCAGAGGAGATGAGGAAGATTTGAGGCGTTGACCATACGACGAAGTGTTTCGGTGGCATGTTCCTGGCTCTTGACTTCTTCCAAATTCCGCGGCCGATACTTTTCCGTCCAAGGCTGCGCGGCAGGGGCGTGTTCAACGACCGATTTGGTGGTAGCGATTTTAGAGCTTGAGGCTCCGCGATTGCGGTCGAAGAAGTTCGCCATCTTGGATCTGCTGTAATGGGACTGTCTGTAGTTGGTTGTTCAATGACAGCAGCAAAGTTGTCGCGGGGAAACGCGTCTCTGGTTGTCAAGGACGCGTTAAGTGGCTCTTGGTCTTGGCAACCAAGGCCTTGCACGTGATAGGAGACAGAATCAATCCGACTTCTGTCAGGCTATTACGAGGCAAAACATTTCAGGATATACCAGGTAGCCATCCTTCGGGGTTTTCGCGAAAGTACTATCAGTAGATTTCTCATGAGGAATTCCTGGCATGTGTTCCTGAGGACGAGTTCGACGGCTTGGCAAAACAGGTTGAACGTAATAACACAAGGCTGAACAAGTCAGGAGGTCCGCTTTCATGTCCGAGACAAGAGCACACATACAAGAATAGCCGATAGAGTCTGAGCAACAATAAGTTCATTATGGCGTCAGCTCATAACTCGTCCCTCGCTTGTTGGATATCTACTTCCATCATCCTCTTCTTGGTATTTCTGGGCTGTTCTTGTTGCGCCCTTCTTTCTTCATCCGTAATGTCGTCCACGTTTGTCCCCTCATCTTCCATCATCTTTCCAATCTTCTCAATCATACTGTCAGTAGGTTCTTCAGGCGAATGCTGCTGCGGAATGTCCGGTGGTGATCCTCTCCCCCCTGCCCCCTTCGCCGGCAGTTCCATGCTCTTGAAATAAATGTTGGATTTGTGTGTAGGCATTCCTCGTGCATTCATGCCAGGCATTGATACTGTGAGAGAAGGCATTGCAGCAGGCGAGGTCATAACATCGGATCTGCCGCCCAGTCCCACAGCTCCCAAACTTGTCAAAGTAGCCCACCACATAATCCGCAATGGCCACCAAATAAACAGCATCATCGGCCCATAGAGGATCCGTCTGTAGAAGAGCCAGCATATCGTGGCAGCAAGTAAATAGAAAGAAGATTTCAAGAACCAAGTGTCCGACTTGTTGCTGCGCACTAGCTGGCCCACAAATCCCCTGCTTGCCTTCAATAAATCCGTGGTCCCCGAATAGCTGTGCGTCAAGCTGTCCAGCGCCTGTTGACTTTCTTCTAAAGTCTGTTGAGCAAACTGCGAGACTGAGAGCTCTCCTTCGAGTTGATTATGCACCCTTCGAAGCGCAATGGTAACGTCTTCTGCGGCGCGAAGAGCTAGTTCATCCTGCGTCAACTTCTCGTGTGTAGGTCGTCCTCGCGCTTGCTGCTTCCCATCGTGTTTCCGATCTGCAAATAATTGTTCCCTCTCTTTCCGCTTTTCGGCATCTGCAGTCCTCTTCGCTTGAAGTTGTGCTTTTCGAAAACTCGCCCGCGCGCTCTTCAAGTCTTCTGAGAGTCGCGCTAACAAATCCGCGTTTCTTTCACGCTCGCTTTCTCGATTCGAGAGGTCTCGTCGATGACTCGGAATAGCGCCGTCTTCAAATTCCTGTCTCAGGATTTCTAATCTGTCCTCTTGTTCCTTGAGGCTATCATGGATTTCTGTAGCGAGCTCGAGGCGTCGTTCATCTGGATTGCCGGAGGAATATGAGCTGGCCGAAAACTTGCGAAGCTCTTGAATCTGGGAGAGGACCTCTTTGTAGGAGTCTGCCAGGGCTTGCAGGCGCTGCGACAGGGAGAGAGACATCTTTGCAGGCAACTTGGAGTGGGAGGTTGTGCCTGCTTGAATGTCGACATGTCCAGAGTATCCAGATCATAGATGCAAACAGTACAAACAGTGCAAACACCCAGACCCTACAGCCTCGCGTGTGGCAGGTCTGCCGAAGACCTTGAGATCTAAGCGACCTTTTTGGGAACAACCCCAATGCGACCACGCCTTTTCTCCAAGAAAATATGCAATAAACCATCTATCAAAAAGCAAACATGATAACGACCTACTTGACCTCGTTAAAAACGAGGTTCAACCCCTTCAGTGCATCATCCAAAATTCCGCGACTGTTCCTCACGCTCCTCCCCGCAGATGCTCACAAGACCCTCAAGATATCCTCCACTGCTCTCCCGCGAACCTCCGCCGAACCCAGTACTTTGGAACTTGGATTTAAAGACGGCAAAGTGGTGAAATATTCATGGGGTGCTGAGGCGCCCCGACCGGCCAACCTGGAGGGAAATCCGACGACGAGCGTGAACAAGGGAAAGAAAGGATCCGGGGAGAGAGTGACTCTACACGACATTGTGGAGGAAGTTGACAGGCACGCAAGAGTATTGGCAAGGAAGGAAGAGCTGTCTGGCTGACCGGGTTCTCTGATTCCGAAGAGCACCCAAGCCTTCTGAGGGTACCGCGAGGCAAATAGGTCGGAGGGCAGACATGTCCTAGAGTCAAAGAATGGGAAGCTGATGCGGAAGCGTGCGACACATTCAAGCACGCAGGAGCTTACCAACTTTGCTCCTTACGATGTCGAAATCCGATGCAGCAAACCCGGCACTAAGTATTTGATGGTCCGGAAGGACGGACGTCTATTGAGGTGTCAATGCAGGCTGCTCGGAGGTGTAGGAATATGGTCTCTTCGCAGAGACAGCAGAGACATGCCTCAGCCTCGATGGATCAATTGTGGCAGACAGCTGCGGTGGAAAAGACTTATCTCTTCGGAGGATGGATCAACATGTATTAAAAGCGAGTTCAGGTAATCACAGCTGTGACCTATCTATTCTGTTGTATATATTACTGGCAGTCACAATATATTTGTGAATTGGGTCCTGGAGCAGGGAAAAGCATGCGCGGACTGTGTCTTCTCTATTTGCAAGGTGAAAGACAGGTCGCGATAATCTCGAAATGTTCAGCGTGTCTTCCGAAGACTAAGACCGCAGGCATTGCGGCTGGCTCGCCCCTTGAGTTCGAGTGAGTGCGGCTCTGGCGAGCTCAGTTGAGACCACGTCAAGGCTCTGAACGCCTTTTGGTCCTGCTTCTCTGTAGCTAATGGTGGTAGGAGAGTCACATCTGGAAAAGACCTCTTCAAGTCTGCCAGATGTCTGGCAAATGGAGCGCCTCAAGAAGATCAAAACTGGTCGTGATGTATTCCAACTTGGGAGCCGTTCAAGCGTCTTCTGATCTCTCCAAATCCCAGCTCGACGGCAGTCGCTGCCCTGTGGCACATTTGCGAGACGTTAGGAGATGCAAGATTTTCAGTATATCCTCCAGGAATCGCACTATCGAAGCGCTTATGCCGATTCAGCTGTGGTGTGCCTGTCGATGTTGTTTGATTTTGCGTCAGGAGCCGATCCATATTTTGAGGATTGGCGCCGATTGAGTGCAATATTGCTAACGTCACACTGTTACCGCCATCGCGCCCTGGCCAACTCCATCAAAACCTGAGTTCTCTGCTGCGATTTCGGCCTTTTGCTTCTTGTTCCGCTCCTGGTGGATATGTTCGTTCTCGTCACTTCTTTGTTCCAGAACTCTCTTCTTTTCCAGTTTCTTTATCTGATTCTCCCGGTTCTCCTGTTTATGCTGTCGCTTGATATCTGCTTTAGTTATTTGTGGCATGTTGAGACGAAGGATCTGATCAATCTCTTTTGCCTTTGTCACAATATCTAAATCAGATATCTCCAGAAGCGAAAGTACTTCTGTGTAGCTTCGCGACTTTTGGACTGGTTGATAGGCAGGATTCTTCCCGGGCATGAGCTGAGATAGCAGGAACTTTGTGTTGCCCCATTTGTTCTCGACGCTCATCGCAAGCTGCAGATACTCTCTGACCACCTCCGACCAAGGTGCCAACCCACCCTGCTCCTTGCTGCGGAACACCGATGAATTAGCTTCTGCAGCCGTGGCAATCATTGATCCGTCGACACCATACTCCTTTGCAAGAGCGAGTCCTTCTTCTCGAGATCTCACGTCGCCGTTCATCAGGCAAGCGACCCCATGACTCCTGCATATATCGCCGATCATCCGAAGCTGTTCCCTGATAGCACGCTCTCTCGGTCTCATCGGGGTAGTTCTGCAATGAACGGTCAAGCCAGTAATGCCGGTTTTACAAAGTTTATTGACAAGCTCTGAGGTCAGTTCAGGGGTCTCGAGCAACCGGATCTTGACGCTGATACCAATCTCGTGAGGTTTTCCCACCTTCGTGACCAGAGCTGTCAGGATGTTACAAAGATGATCCGGAGTTCGGAGGAGAGCTGCGCCCATGCCTCCTGAAGTAGAGAAAGGCTTTGGACACCCAGCATTCACATCAATTCCACGAACATAAGGAGCAACGAGCGTCGCGGCTTGAACGGCGTAATCGGGTGAAGCGGTACCGATTTGGTAGATTAATCTGTCCGACTCTCTCTGTGGATCGATGCGGTATATCACACTTATGGAATCGTTGTTGGAGGTGCGTGTCCACTCTATGCAGCCAGTGCGAGGGTTGGTGTTTTGCGTGGTTCCAATCATGGATCGATCGACCGTCTCAGGACCCCATACCAGATCTGCACCGTACTTGAGAGCCAGAAGACGTGATGGAAGTTCTCCCGACCGAACCATGGGAGCGAGAACTACCTTTCCCCTGTAGTCAACGCCTCTCGCAGGGATAGGAACGTGAGGAACATCTTGGAAAGGGAGAGGAGTCGCCATTCTCGGAGTCAGAGAAGGTAAGAGGAAGTCTAGGAGGGATAGAGTGCGTCGTAACAGAGACTGCGGCCGAGCAGCATGGCCGACAGTCATATGGAGCGCAGTGGTGAATCCAACGTGGGAAGGACAAAATGATTTGTCTGCGAGGCCATGGAGATCGCAGTTGCGCAGCCAGCAAGCCTTGAAAGTGTGGAGGTCACGTGAAGATAGAGGCAAAAAGTACTGTCACGTGAAGATAGCTAAAAACTCGGAGTTGCTGGTGGCGGCGCAGTCCCCATTGATATCATATCAAAATTCGATGGCAGTTTCGGAGTATGGGAAGCTCAAGTCCTTCTCGCATACCGAGGTGGTAATAACCTTGGGACATTGCACAGTCAGATTGCAGGACTAGAAAAGTAAAGCCGTCGAAGCGTAGTCTAGTCTGGCCTATTTCATCCTTCATATGCACATGTCTCGAGCGTCTAGCACACTGTCCAAAATTCACACTTCGCGAACCTGCAGCAGCCTCTCCGATCTCTCGTCCATTCAGAGCCGGTCGTCATTTCACCGCCAATTGTCAACACTGTGCCTCCCGCCCCGCGCCCCTGCCTCCAACAAGTTTGCTCATCGTTCCCTCACTGGCACTTTCGCCCTGGCTTCCACCAAGCCGACAGAAAATTCCATCTCTCCTCCCCTCCGTCACTCCACCTCTACAACCATAGCTTCCCAACGCTCAGAAGCCATTGCTCGACACTTCTCTACTTCTGCTTCGTCATTACGTCCAGCGTCTTCCACGATGTCGTACAGCAAGCAGCCTTCGGAATATCAGCCCAGAAAAATCGGTGCTCTTCACACAAACGAGTTCAGATGCTACATTGAGAAAGATGGCACCCCGGTCTCGCCCTTCCATGACATTCCCCTCTACGCCAACGAGCAGCAAACAATCCTGAACATGATCGTCGAGATCCCAAGATGGTCCAATGCAAAGCTTGAGGTGGGATATGTCAAACCCAAGGACTTACAAACTGCAGTGGCTGACCGCCAAGTAGATCTCCAAAGATGAATTCCTGAATCCCATCAAGCAAGACGTCAAGAAAGGCAAGCTCCGATTCGTTCGCAACTGCTTCCCTCACAAGGGCTATCTCTGGAACTACGGCGCTTTCCCAAGAGTGAGTGGCGGTCAAACACAAAGAGATGGCACTTAATTAATGGTTGACAGACCTGGGAGGACCCCAATGTTGTTCACCCTGAAACAAAGGCCAAGGGCGATAACGACCCATTGGACGTCTGCGAAATTGGTGAGCTGGTCGGGTACACCGGTCAGATCAAGCAGGTCAAGGTCCTTGGTGTTATGGCACTTCTCGATGAAGAAGAGACTGACTGGAAGATTATTGTCATCGACGTGAGTTGTCATGGCTATATGTTACCCGCTCATACATCGCTAACATCGCTCTAGGTCAATGATCCTCTGGCCCCCAAGCTGAACGATATCGAAGACGTTGAGCGTCACCTTCCTGGCCTGCTCCGAGCGACGAACGAATGGTTCCGCATCTACAAGATCCCAGATGGAAAGCCTGAGAACCAATTCGCGTTCAGCGGTGAATGCAAGAACAAGAAGTACGCCGAGGAGATTATCCGCGAATGCAGTGACGCTTGGGAACGTCTGATCACCGGCAAGCAACAACGCGGCGATATCAGCCTGGCCAATGTCACAAATACCAGCTCGCCAGATCGTGTCGATCCTTCGCAACTCTCCAAGATCCCTCCGGGACAGAACATTCCCCCTGCGCCAATCGACGGAACCGTTGACAAGTGGTTCTTCATCTCTGGTGCGGCCGTCTGATCTGTTGCGCTCTAGGTTGTTGGCTGATTTCGTTCAGGAGCTGGTGCAACTTCGGAAGACTACATGAAGAAATGAGATTGCGACCCGGAAAGAGCGTGGAATTCGTAGTCTTGTCCAAGACTCATTCGAATAGACTAAAAACTTTACATATGTCAATTATGTAGCTGATCCAGCCAGAATGGACAAGAGTTGCAAAAGAAATGGTTTCGTGATCAATACCTGGCTGCGACAGGAGAACCCTTCCACATCCTTTTCAGATGAGCCAGCAGCTTTTACGAATGCAAGGTCTTAATGCCTCATCCTAAAACCAGTATCGTTGACCTGTGGGAATGCCTTACGTGGCACACCGGTCGCATGTATTCTTGTGTCTCGTTGCCCGGGGGGGGGGGGTTCATGTGTACGTCATCGTGTGTAACTAGAAACGCGTCTCGTTGACATTTAAGGAGTGCCTAGTATGTGACACGCGACCTCCAAGATAATAGCACCCACACCGAGATAAGAAAACCCCCCTTTTCAAGCCATGGAATTTGATATGATCCTGTGGCCGTTGAAAGTGACCCGAGACAGCCTGCGCTCTGCGTGCTCCAGTGCGCTGGTGTCCCATTTCCTGCGGCGGCCAGCACAACAAGATCTCTAACCTTTCCTTCCTGCCTCTCTTCTGTGAGATGGAGAAAACTGCAGCATGGAGTGGCACACCCTCCATCAGAGGCTCAACGGAGGCCATTCGCATGTGCTTGCTCACCGCCTCTCTGGTCGGCATTCAGTATGTGACGCCACCTCCATCTCGGCTTCAATGCGAAACCTGTGAAACTGACAAGTGCTCGACAAAAGATTCTGCTGGGGCTTGGAGAGTGAGTTCCTCTCTTGGACAATCTAGCTAGGCTCCGTCAATTGGCCTACGCTGACGGCCGTTGACAGTGACATACGGCACTCCTTACCTCCTCCAACTCGGCCTCACAAAGTCGAAAACATCTCTGGTATGGATCGCAGGACCACTCTCAGGCTTGATCATGCAACCAATCGTTGGGGCTTACGCGGACAAATCAACGTCGAGATACGGCAGGCGACGACCCTATATGGTCTATGGAGCGGTTATCACAGGTGGCGGGTTGTTGCTGTTGGGCTGGACGTCTGAAGTCGTGGGCTGCTTCATTCCCGAGGGCGATATGAGGAAGAGCATTACGATCTTGACTGCCGTCATGTGCATTTATGCCTTGGACTTTTCAATCAATGCAGTGCAGGCGTGTTGTCGCAGCTTGATCGTCGATACATTGCCCATCTCGCAACAGCAAGCTGGATCCGCCTGGGCATCGAGGCTTGTTGCAGCAGGTCATCTGGCCAGCTACTTCATCGGCACCTTTGATCTGGTCACGATCTTACCTCCGTGGATGGGAGGCGATACGCAATTCAAGAAAATGACGGTCATCGCAACGTTAGCTTTGTGGTCCACAGTGGCCGTAACTTGTTGGGCTGTTACAGAGAGAGTGAGACTGCCTAGTGAGGACGACAATACCTCAGTGAAAGAGGTGCTTGTTGCTCTTTGGCGGAAGACTATTCACCTTCCGTCACGCATACGAGCCATATGTTGGGTGCAATTTTGGAACTGGGTCGGATGGTGAGTCAAAATCCCCTTAGAGGTTGGCAGCGAAAGGAGAGACGCTGAAACGAGCCGGTCCTAGGTTTCCGTTCCTGTTCTACTCAAGCACATTCGTGGGAGAAATCTACTATCGCTACGAACATCCGGCCCCCGAACCAGGTGTGAAGGATGAGCACGATGCTCTGGGAAATATAGGGCGACTAGGAAGCCTTGCGTTGGTATTTTTTTCGTTGACCACCTTCTGTGCGTCGGTCATTTTCCCATCCCTGATTAAATCACCCGATGCACCTGGGGCGAAATTTACCCCTAGGCCTCCTGCTTCGATTCCCAAACCTTTCAAGGTGATTTTGGCAAAGGCATACAACATCCAGCCTGATCTCATCTCGGCGTGGAGCATATCGAATCTACTCTTCGCCATCATTACAATATTTGCCCCTTGGATCCGCACACTATCTTCAGCAACCACTCTGGTGGCTGCTTGTGGCGTACCCTGGGCCATATCGTGTTGGGCCCCGTTTGGGCTGCTAGGGATCGAGATCAACAAGATGTCTTCTGGATCGCATGCCAGTATCAATGGATCGACTGTACCTGGTTACACGGCAGTCCGTGGCAGCCTGGATGAGAACTACGACGTCGAGTTGGAAGATGTCCGACAACATCGCAGGGCCTTTTCCGAGGGTGTGCTGCGGCTCAATCATCCCGATGAAGGCGACGCTCATTCTTCGACAGGAGAGGTTGCCGGCGTTTATCTAGGCGTTTTGAATGTTTATACCACCCTGCCGCAATTCGTCGGGACTTTTATCAGCTGGATTGTCTTCACGATCCTAGAGCCGAGCCAGCGTAGCGATGTCGCTGACGAAGATCCCGACCACCATCGGTGGCTTAACTTGAAGAAAAACGCGCCAAATGCAATCGCCGTGTGTATGTTCATTGGAGCATTGTGCTCCTTGATCTCGGCAGAAGCTGCCAGGCGGCTGAAGTACTTGAGTTCATGATGAATACAAACCTTTTTGCTGCTACGTCAAAGACCAGTCTATTGCAGCTATTCCTTTTGATCGGGCTTGCTTTGCATGAAAAGAATGTTAGGATCACTTTCCACGGTACCTCAATCTACATTGGACAACATACTCCTTGGATAAGACCGGACAAATCACTCGGAACGGACGGCTTCATTGCAGAAGAGCCTCAACAAGCATCGCCCCAAATGGGCGTTTTCCAACGCGAGGCTAGGGCTGTGGCTGACTTTGCATCTGTTATACCATTGGACGACGAGTAGGCGATCCCTGTTCGCTCAGCCGCTTTCAGCCCGATGCATCGACCGACCCTGCAGAAGGTTGCCAGTTTCGTTCAGCATTTCCCCTCCAATTCTGGTCCAAGGTCGGCGTCATTGGTTGTGAACTCGACGTGGCTGTATCGGCTGCATTCCTCTGCCTTGGTCCTTTCAAGGTGTGTGTCTCGATGTGCCAAAATGGGTTGACCCCCTGGAACTGGCTTAGGGACACTGAATCTTGCGCTTACAGAGGAGGCTCAACTGCCTCATTGATCACAAAGGTGACTTCGGAAGCGGCAATCTGAAGAAGGCCAGGCATGCGCCACTTGACATGGCCAGGTCCAGTCGACCGCAAACGCATCCGCCTCGCCATGCTACTGCGATGACCCCAGAGTTTTCCTAAGTCCTTCAGATGGGACTCTTGGCCATCGGTAGTGGTGGCACCGGTTCATGCAGGTTTCTATTCGAGGATTCCCCAAGGTAGACTTCTTGTAGGACTCATTGCTGTCATGCACAGCAGAATACGAGGTTCCTGCAAGCCTCTTGAGGCTTCGAATCAGGCACAGCCCCCAACCAAACACTTATCTCCCCCTGCCTCATGCCGCACAGAGGGCAGACAATGCCGTATATATTGCCCTGCTGATCGCAGTGTTCCAGCCTGATGATCTTTACTCGAACGAAGTCCCTCTAAACAGAATCTTTTCCCAAATATCGATAGGATAGCATTTCCACGCTACCACACCACCGCCCCTTCAGCGCTTCAGCCTTATCAAGCCTACTGCCCCAGCAGCCCATTGAAATGGCCAACAATGTCAATTGTATGCCACGGGGCCTTGTTGACAGAGCTGACCTTACTAACTGTCCCACCACTTACTCTCTGCTTGCCTCAATTGCTATTTTCAACGCCGAGGTGGCCCTGCTCTCCTTGATCTTCGGTAAGGCTCTGCGTGCTCGCCCCGAACTATCCATTCACTCAATCCCCATCACGAAAAGCTAATCCGTACTCTGAGTACAGGCCATGAGCGAGTTCGCAGAGCCATAGCCCGATACAACTGCTTCCCCAGCGCTCGATGGACGCCCTTTGCGGGCATCGTCACAACCATTATATCCATAGCGGCCATGTTCGCAGCCACTTACCTCCTCCGGAACAACGGCTTCCGCCCCAACGCCTTCATGCTCTTTGGCTTCTGGACCATGCGGCCTCGAGCCAGCGTGTTTACACTCCTCTTCTTCATCATCGCCCGCGTCTGCTTTGGCCAGAAGGGCAACCAGAACACTTATCTGTGGTCGCTCAAGGACCACACCGTCGAGGACACGCTGCTGAACATATTCAGCCTGCCCTTCGCGCTCTGGTACATCCTGCATCGACCCGACAACTTGGACGCGGGCTCCTGTTCGGACAACACCTCGTACCTGCGCTTCTGGAACTCCTTCTACGCCATCGCCGGCGCCGGTGCCATCAGCGCCTTCCTCGCCGTGGTGATGCTGGGCCACGCCTGTTCCAGGAATCGGAGGCGGGGCGTCCCGGACGTCCTGTATAGCGTGGTTGGATCCGGCAAAAGCGACGCGTCGCTGTCGCCGTTCTGGAGGTTCGTCTTCTCGGTGGGCGGGATCAACATGATCGGCGTGTTCGCCACGAGCTGGGTCATTTGGAGCAGTAAGCCTTCCTTAACCTACACCCTTTTACCAACCCGTCCTCTGGACAGTCTTGTTCAAGCTTTTCCACATAACTGACTCCCCCCCCCCGTCTCTGATAGCCTTCGTCATCAATGCCGGCACCGACTTCTGTCCCGGGAGCGTCGTTGGGGAAGGCATCGCCTGGGGTATCGCCCTCTTTGTCAACGCCCTCGTCCGACCCATCATCGGCGGGCCAGATTCTTCATAAATTAAAACAAGTTGTACCGTGGTGGTTTATCCTTCGGACACGGCGTGCTTCTCCGCTATGTTGATCTGTGACTTTTTTTTTTTTTTTTTTTCAAAGCCTCATCATCGCTGTTGTGGCCGCGTACAACATCTTGTATGCGAATGTACAGAGTCCCTGGCGCCCAAAGGCGCATGACTCGCGGTGTTGCAATGTTGTGACATATGGTTCCCTGAAATTTGGCCGGTGAGCGAGAATCTTTGGTTATGTGGGTAGACGCATGGGTTATGTACAAGACAGATAGAAATACGTAAGGCATCCTTCTAATAGGGCCAAAAAGAACCCTGGGAGCCCGTTCAGACTACTGAGTACCTACTTATATTCACAGCATCACAATTCTGGCATCGGGGTGAAACTTCACCTGTCCAACATCAAAGGGGCGAGACACCCTCTATGGATCTACGGTGCCGGCGTCACATCACTACAGGCCATGGGAACTGCTTCCCGGTGTGTAAAGGAGGGGAGCAAAAGGGAAGGGCAGGGCAGGGCAGGGCAGGGCAGGGCAGAGAAGGGAGCGACTCGACAGCTCTACAGCCGATGATGTTCAGAAGATTCATTTTTGTGATTCGTGCGGATGCATAATGAAACATTTCTGCGCTTGGGAAGCTCGCAACGAAAGTAGTCATTTGCGCCCAATGTACCTTTTCCGATGAGTGCCGTGCCGCAGAAGCAATTGTTTCCCTTCAAGTATCTCACTCTGCCCACCATTTCCTTGCGCTGAGGGCAGGGTGTTCGAAGGGGCCCAGAGACCTGACAGTAGCAGGCAACGTTGTCTCAAGCAACCACTTCCACATACCAGGTATGAGGTGGATTACAACATCCCTCCCTCTCACACCTTGCATGCTCTGAGATTGACATTTCCCCGCTTGCCTCTCTTTCGTGACTGATCAATCATGCTCCTACTCCGTCTCTCTCAATCAATCCATCCAGCATCTGCAAGGAGACCTTCCGGCTTTAGAACCACCCACCACTTCCCCAACGTCCATGCAAAGGTGAACAACTCATATCGAACTTGGGTAAAGCATGATCCGCACGCTCGCGCCGAAACTCTGGGGTGGAAGGTTATGTCGGAATTTGGCACGCACGATGCCGCTGTTGCCGTGAGGACGGGTGACCTTGCCCCAGATCACGCGGATTTTGCTGGCTTGGCGTTCCCGCGATGCGCGGTAGACATATGCGACGCGTTTGCCGAGATAGAATCTGAAAAATGTCATGAGTTAGTGGACAAAGATCGCTCGAGTTCTGCAAATGAAATGATGGGTTTCCCGAACGACACGCCATCCATAGACAGTATGGTGGGAAGATGAGGCGAAGGAGGAGTGAGTGCGCCTCGCAGCTGTGGCTCTAGAGCGAGACAGTTGCGTATTCGAGGCGTGTCGCAAAAGGGATCCCAAGCCCTCGAACTCTGAGCCTCCCCCTCTTTCCCTCTCTCCCCTCTCCCCTTTCTTTCGCCTTGCCCATGGATCCGTGAAGCCAAAATGATAGAGATAGCACGATGATCGGAGAAAGGTTGAAACATACTTTGCAGCATCCGTATCGTCGACACCTTCAATCTTGACCAGCGATGTGTTGGGATCCGTGTTGCGCTTGCCGCGCCGGTAGGAGAGGTGCTTGCCCTTCACGTATACTAGATAGCCCCAGGATGGTCAGCTTTTGGTTCTTGTACATTCTCCTGCTGCCTTGCCGCTTGCAATAATGTCACATTCCAATCCAATCCCAATTGTCTTTTCAGCCTTCTCTACTCGGGGATATGAGGAAGAGTGCGGCCTAGGGGGATGCACGTACATCTGTGACCGCCGGCGGAGGCCATCTTGACGGCGTGTGAACTGATTGACGAGAAAAGGAGAGCGCGAGTGGGAGGTGGTCGATTGTTCGGATGTCTTGTCGACTTCAAAAAGTTGGTGGAGGTGACTGCGGTCGTACCTGCGAAAATTGGGATTGTGTGCCACTAGTCCACGTCAAGCCTAGTCCGCCAAGATTTTATTGTCACGTGACCAGTATCGGATTTACTGATTGTCCCGCCGACATTTTCCCTTTCCATATCGAGGCCTTCTGCTACGATTACTCCTGCTCGCTTCCGAGGCGTCGGTCGAGGAAAATCGTCCGGGGTCAGAGGTGCTGCCATAACAGGCTAACAGCGTTGTTCCTCGGCAAACCAGCGGCGCGATTTCTCTTTGAGGAACCCATTTTCCAGCTTGCGAATCTACGACCATCTCCACTGGGAGAGGTTAGCAAAGATGACGGTAAGCTGCTCGGGACAGGCACTGATGAACACAAGCCAATCCAGAGAGCTCAAAGGCCTTCCAGAAATTGTCCAGACTTAGCAATCGGCAGCATCAAGGCGATTACATAAGGGTGCAACAGTGACGAAGCAACTCAATCTGCTCAGACAGGCAAACGCGAGGACAGGGCCAGATGGGCTCTCTCGGGGCAAAGCCGAACATTCCGTCTGGTCAAGATGGCAGATGCGCTCTGGATAGGCTAGGGAAGGGGCACCAAGCGGAGGGTGCTTCAGTAATAATGGATTGTCAATGCCCGCCACGGTCGGGATGCTGACTGATTAGTGACGAAGGGGTTGAGCACATGGTCGTGCACAAGCAGATATATTGATTGAGATTGACCGTGCTCCTGCATCTGGGCTGCGTGAGGTGTCTCTGTCGTTTCGATTTCTGTCTCGTCTGTAGGCCCTGCGAACCCCGTGTTGGCTTCGTACCACTCGAAACGTCGTCGAAACTCGTCGAGATAGGCCTCAGGGATCGGGTTATTACCGAGCCAAACTCCGGAACGTGGTCTCGAAGCATTCGCGGGGCACCAGGGAAGAAAAACTAAGGAGTGAGAGGAGGGAGGAGCTGCTTCAACTGCCCAGGGCCTCGCTGCCTCGCTGCCTCGCCGCCTCCGCCTGCGCTCCCGCCCGCCTGAGGATCCTGCGCTGTTCTCTGCCCCACCATCGACCATCAAGCATTACTCAACTCTCAGCCCAGCAATTGAAGTGGCACTCATCAATCAACCGCGGCGGAACTACTGACAGCATCTAGAGTCCGGCTCCCGCAATCATCGCCCATTTCTCCTGTTGTTAATTCCGGCTACCAGCACAGCTTTGTCACTATTGCGCCGCTAATCGCCCATCCCACCGCATATTGACAGAACACCATCTCAAATAAATTTTTGGTCGACCGCCTCTGTTGATCTCACTCTTCTCTCTATCCCATTCCTTCCCTAGCACTCCCAGCTGCTTCAATCACCATGGCCGACACAATCATTCATGCCGAAGAGCCTGAAAATGCAGGGTGAGTGCAGTTCGATGCGCACCGCAGCGGCATCGGATCCCGCTCTGCCCCCACCCCTCAATGCCCTTCGAAAATTGTTGAATAGTATCTTACTGACGCGGGCGACCTTTCGGCAGCACCATCGAACTCAAGGAGAACACAGTCATAGTCGTGCTCGGCGCTTCAGGTGATCTGGCAAAGAAGAAGACTTTCCCTGCACTTTTTGGGCTGGTCAGTTTCACCTTGTCCTCCCATCGAGTCCCATTGTGTTGAGCAAATCAAGACTAACACTGTGACCACTGCAGTTTCGCAACAAGTTCCTCCCCAAAGACATCAAGATCATCGGATATGCCCGAACCAAGATGGACCACGCTGAATACCTGCGAAGAGTTCGATCCTACATAAAGACTCCTACAAAAGACATCGAGGAACAACTCGACCAATTTTGCTCCATCTGCACGTATATTGCCGGTCAATACGACCAAGATGAGCCTTTCCAGGTCTTGAACAAGCATATTGAAGAGATTGAGAAAACCCGCAAGGAGGGCAACAGAGTCTTCTACATGGCCCTGCCTCCTAGTGTCTTCATCACAGTCTCCGAACATCTCAAGCGGAATTGCTACCCCCAGAAGGGCATCGCCAGAATCATTATCGAGAAGCCTTTTGGCAAGGATCTGGGCAGCTCACGGCAGTTGCAGAAGGCGTAAGTGACAAGCTTGTGGGATCAGCAACCGCACCCAGACTAACCTCTGTTTTCCACAGCCTCGAGCCCGATTGGAAAGAAGAGGAGATCTTCCGTATTGACCATTACCTCGGGAAGGAAATGGTGAAGAACTTGCTCATCCTCAGATTCGGTAACGAGTTCCTCGGAGCTACCTGGAATCGCAACCACATCGACAACGTACAGATCACCTTCAAGGAGCCCTTTGGGACGGAAGGCCGAGGTGGTTATTTCGACGAGTTCGGTATCATTCGTGATGTCATGCAGAATCACTTGCTCCAGGTCTTGACTCTCCTCGCCATGGAAAGACCAATTTCTTTCTCCGCCGAAGACATCCGTGACGAGAAGGTCAGGGTTTTGAGAGCCATTCCCGCAATCGAGCCCAAGAACACCATCATTGGCCAATACGCCAAGTCTCTGGATGGCACCAAACCTGCATACAAGGAAGATGACACAGTTCCCAAGGACTCGCGGTGTCCTACGTTCTGCGCGCTGGTAACATTCATCAAGAATGAGCGCTGGGACGGTGTGCCTTTCATCCTGAAGGCTGGTAAGGCTCTCAACGAGCAGAAGACCGAGATTCGGGTGCAATTCAAGGATGTCACCTCGGGCATTTTCAAGGATATCCCTCGCAACGAGCTTGTTATCCGCATTCAACCCAACGAATCAGTTTACCTCAAGATGAACTCGAAGCTTCCCGGCTTGTCCATGCAGACGGTCGTCACCGAGCTGGATCTCACCTACCGTCGCCGCTTCTCCGACTTGAAGATTCCCGAGGCATACGAAAGCTTGATTCTCGATGCCATGAAAGGCGACCATTCCAACTTCGTGCGTGACGACGAGTTGGATGCCAGCTGGAGGATCTTCACCCCGTTGTTGCATTACCTGGATGCAAAGAAAGACATCGTGCCCATGGAATATCCCTATGGTAAGCCACCACCTAGACAAGACTGCCGAATTGCAACTGACATGGTCTCTCAACGCAGGCTCTCGCGGCCCGGCCGTCCTAGATGAGTTCATCGCCGCCTACGGCTACAAGTTCAGCGACGCCGCTGGATACCAGTGGAACACGCAGAGCACACCCAACAAGTTGTAGACTCGCCCGAGGAGCTGCAGTCTCATTTATCCTTATCTACACTCATGTCGTTGGACTGTTCATGAGCGGGCGAGCTTGCGTACTTCAAGAGCGATCTTCTGGGTAGCACGTGAAAGCTCGAGTTCCGGCTCTGCCTCTGATGTTGGCTAGAGGTCTCGACGACCGTTGCGTTGGGGAATGGTGCAGAATACGAGGGACAGCCGCACGCTACAGTGTATGCTTCTGTATTGGCGTCAGCGAGTGGCACGGGCAAGGCAGGGCTGGCATTGACACTAGGACGAGTACCAATCAATTTCTAGCACCAACGTGATGCACCTGGGCAGTACCTGATAGATAGACACAAGCTACACATACAGTCTTTTTTCTGCATAGACCAGCAAGGGAAAATCCAGCGGAGTCCGGGAGTGCCATTCTTTTCCCCTGCTCGATGGAGGATACCCAGGCACGTTGCATCCTGTGGAATCCTGTAGAGCACATGTGGACTTCCGAGTAGTTCGACGTACTCTTGGTCTCTCTACGCTGTCTTTGCCATAGGTTTGTGAGATGGTCACCGCCACAGCCCCCAACGTCCAGATATCCAAATATCCATACATGTCCATATGGAGGCCAAACATGACATGGCATGCATATGGATGGGCCTCGCGCGAACTTCTGGTGCCGCCCGCATTCCGACTTGCCTCTCCTAACAGGGGGATCGAAACTTCATTTTCATTCTCATTCGAACAGCGACGTCGCTGGCGCTGGCGCTCACGGAGCTCAGTAGAATTTCGTCTCTCGAGACTCCCGAAGACGGCAAAAGTTGTCCAAGACCCTGGGTACGGTGGGTGGTGGACTCGGGTATGTAGCCCAGGCCATGCGTGGACTCGAGAGGCCCGTCCGTCCCTTTCGGAGATGGGCCTGGTAAGTAAGCGTGTTCTGATATAAGTTGCCCTAGGGTGGTTTGGTTGTCGATGGATGTTTGATCCCGTATCGTCGTCCCGTCAATGCCGTCTGCACGCTCACAGGCACTCGTTCCATTAGATTAGACGGGTCATGGTTGGGGGAAATAAGTATGACACCTATCGTCTTTCTTTAGCTGAGCGCATGGCCATTTAGATATATGTTGGAACCAAGCTCCTCCAAGGCTCGGGGCATTTGAAATTTGTGCGTGGCATCACTTTCACAACTAAAAAGGCAATGGCGAGTGCGAGTGTAGGTGTCAGGTCCACGGCAACTCTCTCGATAGATCTGACATGCTGGATCCCGTGTGGGAAAGGAGCTCCTGAATATTAGGGAAGCTTGTTCCTTGGGGGTTTCTTCCCGGTCAGTCAGCCCTTTTGCGAGGTGTTGGCTCGCGCTGGGAAAGTTCGTGGCGGGCTTGTCGCCGCCCAGCACAATGTCACTGGAGCTGTTGATTGCCATTTCCCAAAGGGTTTCGGAATGTTCGAACCTCCATTCTTTGGAAAGGGGGAACTAGGGCCACACTCACAAAGAGCGGGCTCGTGGTAGACATCCTCGCCGCAACCAACAAGGTGTGAGCTTGTTGCTTTCCCAGGCGCAGTCGACGGAGGAGAAGAGACCCTTGTGTTCGCCGTCCTGCTTCTTTCTTCCGCTCAAAGGAGTATTGTCGAGTTTGACTTACCACGTGTCGCACATATATCGTTCACTGGCCACACCGTTCTTCGTTCTGGGATGGTAGACTCTTTTGTGTATTGGTGTCTCAAATACCTTGTTTCCAGGGACCAAAGAGCCCCGTTGGCCGTTAGATATACCGTGACCTTCTGCAGAGTTTGTTATTGGATGGCAGCAAGGACTGGGATGTCGTGCATTGCCAAGTTTGACCATGGAAGCTATTTCCGGGTGTGGTGTCCTGGTGATAACGAATACTCACAAGTAGTCGGGAGGATGGGAGACACGCACGACCGGGCAGAATACCCAGGTAGGTACGTAGATCTCCAGGAGGTTGTTGCAGAAGATCCGTCCCAAACAAGCTTCGATACTCATGATCATCTGCTACAGGCGTCCGATACGAGGGATCCTTACCAGCTTTGGAGGGTGATGTCAGAGTGGCTTCTCACAATGGTGATATCGATACCAGCCACATGGCAAACAGTGCAAACTGCCGTAGTTAGTGAAGGGACGTGGTGGTGGCTTACGGACCTGTGCTGTAAACGCCCAACAAGCTCGCTTGTGGCTGTACTTGTAGGGCCACAGTCTGGGCGATACTGGGGTCTGGGTAGGGCCCTCCTCGCCATTGTCTGAAGAGCTCCGGACTTTTTGTACCTACGAAAGTATCTAGTTTTGTAGCAAAAGTCAAGTAGCTCGGTGGGTAGGTTTGCAAATCATTGGCTCTGTTCCTGGCAGGGGGGCCCATCCCGCAAGTGGGCTGAGATGGAGCTCCGTTGTACCAAGCACAGAAAAAATAATGAAAAGCCATTTGCGAGAGCAAAGCATTCACTCGGAAGCCCCGGGTGGCAGACACAGGATTTTATGCCTGGGCAGATGGACAGCAGCAAGCTTGTCCCCCTCGGTTCAGGATTCCGAACGAAGGATTTTGCAAATAGTCCCAAACGATGAGCTTCCTGTTCGGTCCAACAAGGTTAAGGTTGGACGGATCAGCCACGGAAGATGCAGCATGTCTCAGAAGTCATGATGCAAAAGGTGCTTGGGGACAGCGGGTCGGCTGCATGATAAGCTGCGAAACCAATGCGAATATACGTACTTCGAGACGATAGGAGAAGAGAGTTCTGATGGGGTGGCATGGGGGAGGCGAGAGTCGTAGCAGTGGGCCGGACAGTGTCTGGAAAGAAGAGAAAAATGGACTCGACGACCTGAAGAGCAGAGTCCAGAGTCCAGAGACCAGAGACCAGGGACCGTGGTGGATAAAGAGCTTGACGGACACGGCTCCATCGCGTATTGAATCTTCTTTTTTTTTCCTGGGCCTCTGCTTTCTGCTTCCTGCTTCTGGAGTGGGCCGCGCGTCCTCGCCAGGGACAAGAAGATTTGGGCGAAGAATGCGAAACAGACAAGTGAGACGGAGTTTGAGGTGACAGATGCCAGGCAAGTCGCAACCAGATAACCAGGTGCCAGCAGGGCCAGTTCTTGATTTCCTGCACCGACAAACGCGTAGGCGAAGGGCTAGCCACCCGTCCGAGTTAGACAGAGATCGGGGCTTCGGGGCTTTTTTCGCTTTCCCTGAGAGCATAAGACGTGGGTGGACGTCACATCCACGCGGATCTTGTCAGAGACCTTGGGGGAATGGTGGAATGGTGGTATGGTGGCATGGTGGAACCAGAGTCAACGGTTCGTGGTGCGATTCTGCGGCAGTTGGGAACCCTAACCCGCGAGATCCTGAGACGGCCATGGCATGATGGGCAGAGGTGTTGCTGGATGGCCTGGCCTGGGGCCATGGATTGTCAGGTCTTGATCGAGTGGTGGTCTCTCACAGGCACAGAGGACGAGGGACTCCGTACATGCTCCGTCAAAAGAAGAGGGAAAGCTAGTCTACGGAGCAGTCAGGTACATTGCTACATGGCAGAAATTCTATTTCCATGAGACAGTGGCGACGAAGGAAGTGGGAGGGTGGTGTGGCAGCCAACGGCCGGCGCACTGGTGGGCACAGCGGGCGACTCCCAGGCATGCCTAGCACGTAGGCACGTCGTGGCCTATCGATAGAGGGGACGGCAGCCAGGGGGTGCCCCTACCGGCCACAGTCCACAGGCTGGTGAGGCCACTGCAGGTGTCTGCACTGGGTGTCGCTGCCCAGTGAGCCCACCCACCCAGGCACAGGTGACAGGAGGCTAGTGACACCTTACCCAGCCCAGTATCGCGCAATCGGCGGTTGGGGTCATGTTTGCCCCGGTGGCACCAAGTGGCCCCCAGTGGCTCCAGTGGCTCCTCTGCCTTCCGTGGTGGTGTCAGTGGCCAGTGCGAGTAATGAGCGAATCTTCCCAATTGGCATGGCCGCCATGTCCCTCGCGCGCCGTGTGGGATGCATATCCGCATCATATTTGATATAGAAACATGCTGAGCTGTTGCTCCCCAGTCCCTTTCCTCTTTCTTGTTGAGCTTGATGTTTCCGAGTCTTTGCTCTGGAGCCTGTCGTTCCGCTGCTATTCCCCGTGAGTCCTGAGTTCGTCCGCGGGTCAAGAAACGATCCTCTCGTTCTACTACAAAGTCCTTGTTCCTTCTTTTTTTTCTCTCCCGTGGCGTCACCTCCGTCATCCCCAGCCCTCTCTGTGCAGACAGGAACTGCTGGATCCTACACACAATCCAGCGGCCAGTACGGAGGAACAATAACACCAACCCTGTCCGTCAATCGCTGCTGCGCCATCGGAAAATCGTGGGCACGTCTCACCACCTGGTCTCTGCCCTGTGGTGGTTTCTTGGGGGGGCCCCTCCGTCCTGAAACAAACCCTCGCCGGCGACATCATCATCCCTGTCACTCATAATTCCTCCGCCAGCCACCTGAGCGAGACCCATACCACCTCGAGCAACAAGAAAGAAACAGTCACGTCGTGCTGGCCACTGTCGAGGCATTTTCGGATTCCTCAGATTCCTCAGCGTGTCGCTGCACAAAGCAATAATATCACCTCCCTCATACCCGTCGAAGTGTCCTCCCTCCTGTCGCTTTGCCAACTCTGGTGATCGCGGTTACTCAACCTTGGTCGAAATACCAGCCTCCCGCTCCCACAATTTCACCAGTCCTGCCGCGCCCCGTCGTCCATATCCACCCTCTCTGTCCGCGCCGGATAACTTATCCTTCCCCGTCTAATCTTGGAATCACTCTCTTCTTATCTCAACTTTGTTTATCGCTGCCACCATGACAACCATGTCTCCTCCAATCTCCCCGCAACCCTCCGAGACCCGCCCGAGGGCTGGGACGGCCATGAGCTTTTCTTCCCAGCGTTCCCGTCGCAGTAACTCCTCAACCGGCAAGATCGACTTGACCGAGACTTCGCGGGATAAGAAGAGGTTGAATACGAAGGCCGATCCCTCAAAGGCCATAACTGAAGCCACTCCAGGTCAGCCCGCGTCTGTCGTTGCTGGTGGACAAACAAATATTGACTTTGGTCCGCAGTGGAACAAGCACAAGAAGCATCGACCGTCGACGACTTGCGCACGATGTTGCACAAGGACAGCGAGGGCAACGTTATCAGTGAGTTGTTCTCTGGGCGTTAGCATCGAGGAGGGCGTCAGTGCTAATTTGGCAACACAGCCGACCCCGATCGTTCCAACCCTACCCGTCATCGCCTGGAGCGCCCTCTCGACACCATCCGTGCATTCAATGCCGCTGCGGAAGGCACCACCTCACGTCGTACATCCTTGAATAGTAGGCCAGGTATGTTAGAGCTCCACCTTGAAGATGGCCACACCATTGATTGACCTCTGTAGTTTCTCAAGTTGGCTGGAATGGAGATATGAACCGCAGAACCAGCTATTATTCAAACAATGGCTATTCTCCGCAGCGACCACGAATCTCTCCGGGTGGTGGTTACTACCGCAATTCGTCATACGGGTTTGGTCCACAGAGTGCCGTTGAAGAATCTCCAGGATCGTCCCAAATGTTTGCCAGACCACCTATGCGTCAACAAACGTACCCTTACCCTGGAGCTCAGAATGGATACCCAAATGGTCATCAAAATGGATACCAGAACGGAGAGAGTCCCGTGTCTTACCACTCATATCACCATTCGTACGAGACAATGACCTCCGGCTCAGAAGAGTATGGCAAATCCACTAACCCTAGCTCCCAAAACAGTTCCTTCGATCAACTCCACCAACTACGCACCAAGCCTGAAGAATTCTCTCCAGAGAACCCCTACGCAAACGAGATCAAATTCAACCAGGTATCTCCGACAAAGCCACTCACATCATATGTTCTTGGTGATAGCCACTACGGTCAAGAAATGTCTCCGCCAGCAGTTCCAGCCAAAGGATTCGCTCTTCCGCCCGCGAACAATCCCCGGCAACCAATTCCTCTCAACTCCTCTCCAACGGACATGACGTCTCCTGGCAGTACCACCTCCCCCAAAAAACAAAGCTGGATCAAACGGAGATTCAGCAGACGAGATAATTGATGGCACACCGGATGGCAGGAAACTAGAACTGATGTCTTTCCATTTTCGGCGTCTGAGAAACATCTCCGTCGACATCACTGGCGTTCTCCTTGCATAAGAACGGGGTTTTGTGTAGCTGGGGCTGCTCGTCAGGAGCGCATTTTCACGACTAATGTTTGATGTAATTCTTGAATGATGGGTTGGAAATGAGTCAACGTGGCTGTATCATGAGCAGCGGTGGCTGGAAGATGTGTATCAAACAGACGAAGGGGCTCTGAAATCGCTGAGGAAGATACCGAGTGGCTTGTGGAAGGGATGGTCTCCCAAATAATATTGTGCAGGTCACATTCACTTTCCATAGTCCTGGAAGAAGATTGGAACAGTTCACAATTTCGCGCTCAAGTATTGAACGTTGGCTTGCTATTGAGCCTTTTTGCGTTTCTCTTCTGCTTCGATCCTCTCACTGTCGTCCTCCCGCATGGCGACGATGATGTAGCCAACCAAGACGACATTTGCCATTATCGCAGCAAAGGCGCCAGAATATGTGGCATTTCCTGATGTGCTTTTAGTTCCAACAACGCGAAAAGAGCAGCGTCGTCACGACAGGCATGACATACCTGCAAAGACGGTATTGAGCAAAAGAAAGTATGAGCCGATCGGTGCACAGATCATGGCCACGGTAAATCCAAGAAGCTTGTATATGACAGAGCTACACTCGCATTAGATTGAGATGCGTGAGACAGGCTTTGGCCATTGATTCCCAGTCCATGTCACTTACGCTGGAACTGCTGGCGTCGTATCAGACACTTGGTCAGAGGCTGGCGGGCCGCCTTGTGCCTCCGAGATGGTCTTCTCGCTAACATTGCGTCGGGTCGTCATTGTCGCCTGCGGTCAGAAGGGAAGTGCCAATTTGTGGCTTGTCTTGAATGGCCTCCTTTCGTCGCCCTGGCGCAAGGTGGAAGTACGGGTGAGAGATGGAACATGGCGGCGGACGTCGACATGTCGAGCCAGATGCAAAACTATATTGGAGCCCCGTCTGACAAAAAAACAAGATTCAATGCTAGATTCAAGTTGCCCTTCATTCGGACAAGTACGGAATATTCTATGGAACTTGGAACAGAGGCGCTTTGTCTCTCGTGCATCCAGGCTCGTAGGTAGTCACCTGGATCTCATATAGAGGTCTGCTCACTGCCACTCTGCACTGTTCAGCTACATTAAATGCTGCTGTTCTCTGTCAGACGGTCGGACTCATCTTTGCACTCGGCTCGAAGGACGAATCTGATAATTGAGCTTGGCATGACGCGCTCACGCGTCGAGGCGGGCATCGAATCGATAGTCGAGGCTCCTGGTGGCTCATATTTTTGCTCCACAGTCTCTCTGCACGCTTCGACCTTCATGCGGCGGAATCCTCCCTGCGTCGAGGGAGGAGAAGACGATAACGAAGAAACATCCCTAGGTGGCAGAACATATGAGTTCTTTGCTCAATATGTGCTCTAATCATTAGTTTAACTGCCCTCTCTTCGCCACTCTGCTTCACCTGCACCCAGTCGAAGTACCAGACCCTCCCCTTTCTCCCTTCGCTGAACGATGCCTTCCGACGATTCTCTGTCGCAGTCGGACGACGAATTGTTCAACCCAAACTACAAGCCTGCTCACGAGACGGTCGAGACACTTCCACTCTACAGACCCAATATGAGTGATGCCGACTCCGACATCGAGACCTTGGGGATCCTACCTGTCCACCCCGGTGCAAAATCTCAAAATGTGAACTCGATCCGACAGACACAGCCAACTCAAATCATTGATCGAACTGCTACAACTATGTCTTCCTCTCCTCTCAAGCCTGGCGTCGTCCAGGTCGCTGCTTCCTCTCCGATGACTGCCCCCAATCCGCAACGGAAACCCACTGGGATCCTGGCAAGCGCTATGGCACCCGCAGGCACGATGTTCAGGAAACCATATGTTGCGCCTCAGCCTCGTCCCGTCCCCATAACAATCGACAGCGACGACGATGGGCCCGCTTACCGGGGAGGGTCATCGGACGATGATAGTCATGGCGTTCGATCAAATGATATCAAGACATCTACATTTGTGCGGAAGAAGAAGTCACCAGGAACGATTCCGGAATCTCCACAGGCCGCCCAAAATAGCGCTCTGAATCGCTTTATGGAAATTACTGCTCGGTCCATGTTCAGAGGCTCTCCAAACTCAATGTCGTCTGCAGGATCGAACGGGGTGAAACGCTCTGCAGATGTCAATGCGAACGCCTACGGTAGCGTTTCAAAGAGACCTCGCCAGACTGGACCTGCACGTGCACTACCCGTAACATCGTCGCCACCGGCGCAGCAGCAAGAAGAGATGGAGCTTGATGATATCAGTGACTATGGCACGAGACGGAAGGTGAACCGACTAATGTCCATGCTGCGTGCGGTGACGGTGAGAGAATGTTACGAAGCCCTGATGACGAAGAAAGGAAATTATGATGATGCCGTCGATGTGCTGCTCGTGAGGAGTGAGAAACGACAATCTCAGAGCAAGAACAGTGCCGTTGATTTGACTGGTTCGGACGACGAGCTGATGCCAACTCCTGCGGCTAGCAGACCTGTACCTCAACACACGAGTGTGGGAAGGCAGCAGGCCAAGGTACCGCAGAAGAGCATCACAGAGAAATGGAGCTCTACTCAAAATATGCGAAAGCCGCCTAAGACAATAGACGTTTTCGAAACCCCGCCTCCGAAGAAGAAACGAACCTTGGTCCGTGGTAGGAAACATTCCTCTTCACCTCAGCCTGTGCCAGAAGGGGCTGTACAAAAGCCAAAACGAGTGGTCGCCATACAGTCGGACGAGTCTGATGCAGGGGGCTTAGCGGTCACATCGGACGACGAGAACAGAACAGGCTTCCAAAGTCGTGTCCTTGATCTGTTCAACACTTGTTCTGCAGCAGATTTGGCTGATATTGCTTCCATCAACCGCGACCTCGCCGAGCATTTCTTGTCCAAACGACCGTTCAAGAATCTGATGGCCATCAGACAAATTGAGGATCCGAAATTGAAGCCTACCAAGACGAAGCGAAAGACGGCTCCTATCGGTGACAGGATCGTCGACAAGGTCGAGGATATGCTTGAAAGCTACGAGGCTGTTGACTACCTTGTCAAGAAGTGTCAGACTCTTGCTAAACCATTATCTGATGAGATGAGGAGTTGGGGGGTTAATGTTACCGGCTCTCAAGAGGGAGAATTGGACATAGCTTCTCTGCAAGCGCCACTTCCTAGCCACGATTCTGGTATTGGTACACCCGTAAGTGACGAGGAAGACATAAAGCGTTCCGGGCAGAAGAGATTCATCGGTCAGCCTTCAATCATGGCCGATGACATACAAATGAAGGACTATCAAGTGGTCGGCCTCAATTGGTTAAGTCTACTCTACAAGAAGGGACTAAGTTGCATTCTAGCTGATGACATGGGACTGGGAAAGACCTGTCAAGTCATCGCCTTCCTGGCCCATCTTTTTGAGCAAGGAAAGATGGGACCTCACCTTGTCGTGGTGCCTGCCGCGACATTAGAAAACTGGCTCAAGGAGTTTCAACGGTTTTGCCCGGCACTGAACGTCGAACCGTACTACGCGACAAATCCCACGGAACGGCTGACGTTGAGGGAATTTCTTGACGACAACCGCGAAGACGTCAACGTCATTGTCACCACCTATACTATAGCCAAGGGCAAAGACGATGCCCCGTGGTTGAGGAGCTTCGGATTTGACTGCACAATCTACGATGAGGGTCATGTGCTAAAGAATGCCGATTCTCAAGTTGCCAGCAAACTCGTCAGAATTCAGTGTAATTTTCGCCTTTTGCTGACGGGAACCCCATTGCAGAACAACTTGAAGGAGCTCATCTCGCTGCTCGCGTTCCTGATGCCAGCTCTCTTCCGAGAGAAGGCGGAAGCGCTTAAGAACATTTTCACCCACAACTTCAAAGCTCTGGACAACAATCACGAGATGCTTCTTTCTGCGCAAAGGATTCAACGTGCGAAAAGCATGCTCACTCCGTTCATTTTGAGACGGAAGAAGTATCAAGTCCTTAAGGATTTGCCCAAGAAGGAGCGAAGGGTGGAATTCTGCGACTTGAGCCCTGAACAATCCGAAATCTATCAAATGTGGCTTGATAAGGCCTATGAGATCCGCGCGAGGCGGGAAAGAGGGGAAAATGTGAGCCAGGAATCTACGAACATCCTGATCAAACTAAGGCTCGCCGCCATTCACCCCTTCCTCTTCCGGCGGCTCTATCCAGACAAGCAGCTGCCTGTTATTGCAAAACAGTGTTTGAAGGTGGACCTATGGCGCGAGTCAAATCCCGATCTTATTGTCACCGAACTTGTTGAGTATAGCGATATGGAAATCCATACGTTGTGCGATAAGCATACTCAGCTTCGGCGCTTCGCACTTAACGGTGATGAGTGGCGCGCGAGCGGCAAAATCGAGAAGATGATTGAACTTTTGCGCAAGTTTATTTCCGAAGGCCACAGGACATTGATCTTTAGTCAGTTTGTCATGGTGCTCGATATTCTCGAGTTGGCCCTGGAACGAGAGGGTATCAGCTCTTTCCGGCTTGATGGTGCCACCAAAGTGTCAGAACGACAAGACCTGATTGATGAGTTCTCTGCCGATGACAATGATACGCCTGTCTTCATGCTCAGCACCAAAGCAGGTGGAGCCGGTATCAATCTCGCCAAAGCGAACAAAGTCATCATCTTCGACAGTGGCTTTAACCCGCAAGATGACATCCAGGCCGAGAACCGAGCACACCGCATTGGGCAAGAGAAAGATGTTGAAGTCATTAGGTTGATCTCTCGGGGCACCGTGGAAGAGCAGATCTATGCCATGGGTCTGACGAAGCTCAAGCTTGACGAACAAGTCGCTGGTGATGGGGAAGAACAGCCTCCGAGGAAGGAGAACGAAGAATCAGAAAAGGAAGTAGAGGGCCGGATGATGGTCGAGGACATGTTCTTCAAGAAGATCGATGTCGAACCCCTCGAGCAGGTCAAGGCTGAGGTCTCTAGCCCCATCAAGCAAAGGTCGGACCGGCGCTCACCGAGCCTAGAGCGAGAGGATTTGGATGTTGAGGGCCAGGCAGCCCGCCGTGGACGAAAGGGGAGTGTTGACTTGCCAAATCGTACAAGAGTTCGCCGAGCCAAAACGAAAGTCGAAGATTGAGCTGGAGGAAATGCCGTCAGAAGTGAGCCTGTTGGATATCTTGAAGACTCCGCTAATGGGACCAACTTTTGGAGAGATTGTTTCATGGTTAAACTGTTGGACAAACGACTCTTTTACGAGCTGAAAGAAGGGCGGTCACTTGTGAAAGCTGAGGGTGCACAAAAACGCCTGATGAATCTCAGGTAAACTTCACAAACGCATCCTTCACTGGAATGCGCGAATCAACAATGCAAATGCAATACGTCCATTCAATACCGGTCGGTCGGAGACCTTTCGCGGCTCTGCCTTGTCCTGTCAATCTATCTAAACCCCCATTTTCTCTTCGCATATCTTCTTCCTCCTCCCCCATCAGTCAGTTCGATCTCTGTTGACCAAACGCTCGGATCGATCGATCGCTGAGGTTATATCGTCCTGCGCTCTTCTGTGTGCAGACGCAGTCTTGGTCTTGGAAACCCAGTCCCCTCTTTGTTCTTTGTATTTGGTGGCCTCACAACATCCACGTCTCAAGCTTCGAAGCCAGGCCGCAAGTGCGAGGTCGCTGAGTGAGCCGGTCTCCGTCCGATATCCATGCCGCTCTTCTGTGACGCACGCAGAAGAGATGCATTCCGCTCCATCGTCCAAGCAGGACACGGCCATTCGGCAAGTCCTCTAGTCTCGCCCTCGGCGCCTCGCCACCGATGACCCACGCCAACCGCAGCCTCCGAGAGCTGCGACAGACCCCGACGAAACCCCCCTGCAAAGGAAGTAGCGTGAAGGACTCCAAGCCTTGTGGCACGGAAGAAGCATACTACGGCGGTGCATGCTACATTCTACCAGACAGGCTCGAGATGTTGGGAGCTGTCGACCGAACATCGAGGAATTGTTTGTTCCGCCACTAGGCACAAATCCCTCCGGGCCATATTTATATATATATATATCTCTCTCTCTGGATACCAGGGACCCCACCACACAAGGGCGCAGCCTCAGTGACTGGACCATGGAGTCCTCTCACGTGTCGTGTTCCGCCGCAGTTGGCATTGAGCAGAGTTCCAACCTGACAACAGACGTTCCCCTTTGGCTATGTGCTGCTGTGCGTTGCCAGGGAGAAGTTCGCGAATGAGAATTCGGGTCTGCGCCGTGGGTGCGACGAGGCTGACAGGACCGCGCTGCGAGCTGCGTATGTCTGGAGCTGAAAAGATCAAATATCGACGTGGGCCACACCTGATACCCTGGATCACTGGCCTGTGGTGTGTCGCTCGAGAAGACTCCGCGTACCCTGAATACTCGAATGGCTCGAGATGCAGCACCGAGTGGTTCCAGCCTTTTCGTCATTCCAACGCCCGCCCGTGCCTCGATTTCTTGTTCGACACGTCCCAGATCGTTTAACGCCCAACCCCGAAGCCCACGATCCTGCGGACGAAAGTCTATATATATGATGGCGATGGTGGTTCCGGAGCCGAACTCTCTCAGCTTCTACGGCGATCAAGAGAGATTCATTAAGCCCCTGACAGGTGATGGCCTTGTACGGCTGACGCGCTCGATGGGAGTCCCGGCCACCACCACCGCCTCTGCAGCCGCCGAGACTTCACCGCCACATCATGTGGCGGCTGTGGGGGGTGTGTCAAGCTCCTATGTATTTGACTTGACGCGACCTCATCGAGTCTTCATGCGCAGACGGAGGTGTGCGAGCTCGCCTTCCTCCTTTGATGTGTCTTCCTTGGCCGCGGCGGAGCTCGGATGAGGGGGTTACGAGACATATACGTGTCTATATACGGCAACAGCGTGTGTATGTATGTGCCTGCTTGCGAAAGTCGGAGAGGAAGCTGGATGTGCGTGTGTCTCGACACCGCTCCACACGGTTGGTCCCGGGAGGTTGAGGAGATGGACAATCACCTTTGCGCGAGAATCTCAATCAATGACCCTGCGATGAATGCATGTTGATCATTCATACTCTGGCATGCCTGCCATATCAGATCAGGAAGGAGGCCATCCCCGGGATGTCAGGCTCTCCTCTGCCTCTTGGATTTATTGTGAGTCCGGACAGGAAACAGCGTCTGGAATGAAACCCTCCTTCCATTTCTTCTACATATGCCTTTGCCTCCCTTTCCCTTCACACCCCAAACCCTGCTGTTCTTCCTTACCTTTTCCTTCGAAAGCCTCCTGTACTATTCGACCTGCATGTCTCGCGGCCAATCGTCTCATGCCTTTCCACGCTACTGCAATCGTCGGCCCTAAGGTGGCGACACCCCTGCAGCTCTCTCAGGAGGGACGCTACCAAGGTTCCTCGCAGCTGACGTGGGGTTTACATCGTATTTGATCGGCGCCCTGGTAGGTAAGGCAACCAAGGCAGCTGGCTCGCCAGGCTAATGCGATGCATGGCCCTTCGGTCTTCTGCCAACCAAGTCGTGCGCCTCTCGCATTGTCATAAACAGGAACAACCAAGCTTTGCAGGACACACTACTCTGCTTCTACGCCTGCTCACCATCTATATAAAAGACATGCGCTCTCTGGCCGCTACAACCACGTCCTTCCACGCTTTCCCCATGGCAGATGCCTAGGATGCGTATTTAACCACTCTGACGCCCGAACAAGAGACTACTTTATCCAGCCAGTTCTTGCAGAATCTGAGACAAGCTCTATCTTCCCCTTCTACGAGTGCATTGCCGTCACTGCGTGGCTGGCAATACTACTACGACCTCATTCTGAGATGGCAGGCGCGGCGAAATATCCTGATTCAGCCTCAGAATGGCTACCTTATCGGTCTCTCATTACTCGTCTTTGGATGGACGAGAACTTGCCCTTGCGGAAAATCATGGAGATCATGGAAACTCAGCATGGTTTCAAAGCAACGTACTCTCTACGTGATCCAAAATGTAGGGGTATAGCTAACTGCTGCAGGATCAAAATGTATAAGTCCAAGCTTAGTGCTTGGGGTCTTTGCAAGCACAATAAGTTGGATGACGTGCGCGAGATTCTTCAACGGCGAGAGAGACGGAAGGCTCTTGGAAAGAAGTCAATCTTTATTCTTCGAGGGCGCCCTGTCGACATGGCCGATATTGAACGATATGCGAAACGCAAAGGGCTCAATGTGAGTTTGGAAGAACCTACAACAGCAAAATCAACCCAGGCACCTTACCTTGTGTGTTGGACTCCGCCACCAACGCCGTCGCCTCTGGATGCGCCCACCTCATTGCAAAACGTGGAACACTTCTTACAATCTTTCAATGCCTTTGTGCAAGAGTCTCTACGATCAGGAGCATGGAGCTTAGCAAACGAGTTTACAGGATTCGCATGCATACGGGGCCCTACGTATCCTACAAACGCGCGAGATGGATTCTTCTTGTCCATGGAAAGAGGCATTCATAGGTATAAATGGGGAGAAATGACACAAGCCTATCGTCAGTGGCGGCTCGGATTTTCCAGACTGCCCAGTATTGTGCGCACCCAAAACCCCTCTCAACTACTCTGTCTACTTGAGCTCGTGGCTCGCTTGGCCAGATGCAAGCAGGAAGTTGCCGCCTTGTTGCTGCGCTTCTTGGGCGACCTTGTCAAGAATGAGCAAAACTTCTCCGACACTCGGTTGTCAATGATCAGAGGTCTAAGTCGACTCGAAACGGGAAACTTGACTGCACTTGTGGCAGCATGTTACGATTGTTGCCGAGAAGCCTTCTGTAACCGCTTTTCTAGTGACTCGTTCTTTCTACTGGATTCCGAAACTCTCCTCACGACCTCTGGCACGGCTTCAGCCAAAGATGCGCACGTCGCGAACTTACGACTTAACGACTGCATCTCGGGCCATGAAATCGACGACTACAAAGCATTACGATCTGCAAGGGCCCTCATGGGGCTTTTGATGGCCGCTGAGAAACATAAAGAGGCAGAATCTGTTGCCTTGAACTGCCTCACAAGAATGCATCAGATGCGCTATGACGAAGTTGTGGGAGGTGCGTTTTCGCACATATACGGTAACCTCGTGCACCTCTACCTATCAGAAAAGAATTACGAGAAAGCTTATCACAACATGGTCATGAGGGTCGAGAATTACTTCGATATGTTGGTATATCGGAGGGATCTCCTCGACGACTTTCTCGTTGGGGCGTACTCTCAGCTTGAGTGGCTAACCCGCAAGCTGGGTAGAGATGGCGATGCAGACAGATGGAACCGTGAATACCACATCCTCAAACCTCGAACAGATCGTTTCGCCGAGAATGAGCTCTCGTGTCTGGAGGCGGCACTTAGCAAGAGCCTCGGGCAACCATGCGAGCCCGTCGGTTTCGCAGAACATCAGTGGCTCTCCACTCCCGAATCGCCACTGGAGACGGATATTGAAGGAAGTTTGGCTGCTCCCCCGTGCGAGGGTCACGTCGTCGATGAGCAGAAGACCGCGAGCAGATCGTTTCCTACTCTACAGAGATGGGGAGGTAGAGTCGACGGGCGGGTCGCATCCCTGATATGCACTATGACCCGATAACCCCGTGGCAGTCATGCAGTAGCAATGACTCAGGACCGCGATTTCGACCTCGAATTCGCTTAATTATCCCAAGCAGAATATACTTACTGTCACATCCAAGTCTACCAATCACTGTTCAGTGAATTCCAAGATTTCTTCGAAACCACGCATGTATAACTCGGTGGTCACTGTAAGCAGAAGTTTGGCTGCAGGGTGCCTAGGTAGGCGACAATTATTCCTATGGTATACTATATTCTCAAACGAAACCACGATACCAAACATGGTAGAGGGGACGCCTTTAGGGACGCGCAGAAGGCCTAGCCCCAGACCCAGTCAGAGACCCCCCAGATTAAGAAGCAGCCTTCGCTCTCATCCCTCTCAAATTCAAATCGTACATGGCGATTAATAGATACCCCTTCTCCAGGAACCTAGGTGTCCTTGACCGTTTGACCGCCTGACAGCCATGAATCGGAGCGTCTAGGCCAGCAAGGCCATAACAGGGCTCCCACGATCATGTCTTTCCTTCTTTCCCGCTCTCGCAGGGGGGCTGGCCTTGTTCGGGTAGAGATAGGGCTCAGGCAGGGGTCAGCAGCGTCATCTCACTTGCGGCCCGACACCTTGTCCACTTCCGACTCGGGATTCGACACCCATCCCTCCGTGCCATAGCCAGAGCCAGAGCCACTGCCAATGCCGCCAGTGCCACCGCTGCCGCTCCCCGCCGGCGACAAGACATGCGACTCGACCATCTGGCACGCGGCCGCGTACAGCGGGGTCAAGGCCGAGTCGGACCACAGGAACGAGCGCAGCATCGCCAGGGTGTCCCGCTGCCAGTCGTCGGGCCAGCCCCACCAGCCGGTGTCGCCGTCGCCGTCTCGGTCTCTGTACCTGACGGACAAGGCGGCGGTGAGCATCTCGACAAAGTACGAGCGGTTCTCGCTCTCGAACGGGGTGACCAGCCCGACGAAGCAGGCCCAGATGTACACGTCGACGGAGTTTGAGGGAGGATTAGTGTCGTCGGTGGAGGTGGAGGTGGAGGTGGTGGTGGTGGTGGTGGCGCCGGGGAGAAAAGTGTCCAGGTCCTGATGGGCCAGGGCCTCGCGCAGGCGCGAGACGACGGCCACCACGATGGCGACCAGCGGGCCGGCGTGGAACAGCGCCGTCAGCCGCAGCAGGTTCATGGCCAGCACGGCGCACTCGTCCAGGGAGCGCGCGCCGCGCAGCCGGTGGGCCAGGCGGATGCGCGCGACCGTGCTGCGGTTCAGCAGGCCCATCAGCGCCTGGTACTCGGCGATCGAGAGCCGGCCCGTGCGCGTGGCCGCGTCGTGGGCGACGAGCAGCAGTTTCAGGTCGCGCGCGGCGCGGCGCGTCTCGGCGCCCAGGGCGGCGTCGAAGCCCCGCGGGATGGTGATGTCGCGCGACAGTCGGACCAGCGACGGCGGCATGCGCGGGTGGTCTGAGGGTGCGTCCGTGTCGTCGGTGAAGAGGACGTCGTCGCCCAGGAACTGCGCGGTGAGGAAGTCCGCCCACAGGACCAACTGCCTGATCGCCGCGGCCTGCCCGATGGCCCCGCCGCGTCCGATGGCGCCGAGCCCCCCGCGCGCGGCGACCAGGGCGCGGACGCCCGTCGCGTGCCGCCGCAGCGCCTCGGGCTGCGCGAACATGGTCGCCGTGGCCCAGAGCAGGGCGGCCGACAGGACGGCCTCGTCCGTGACGCCCGCGGCGCCGGGGGCCAGCAACTGGCGCCGCAGCGACTGCAGCGCCCGGGCCTCGTACGCGAGGTGCGGGAACGCCGGGATGTGGCCCATCAGGAACTGGACCGCCTTCCACGCCGCGAGGACGCTGAGGCACAGCGACGCGTCCGTCAGCACCGGGATGATCATGCTCCCGCCGATCTCGTTGACGGCGAGGCCCGTGGGCAGGGGGAACGCGGTGGCGGCTCCGATCTTGGAATGGAGCACTGCGCGTCGAAAGCCCCCGCGAGAAGAGAGGGGTTGCGTCAGTTTTTCTTTTGCTCATGTCCCATAGAAAAAAAGGCAACGCTGCGACAGGCGGCGCAGGAGAAGGGGGGGGGGGGAGGGGGTTAAGAACCAACTCACAGTTGTAAACGGATTGATGTAGCTCGGCTTGATGCCCACCCGCTACCGGCAAGTCGTGGAACCCATCCAGTCTACCCGCGCCCAACGAGGGCACGGTTCTCGTGTACGCATACGACCGCGCGTAGCTGGTCTCGAGCAGCTTCGGGCGGCGTGGCGGTGGTGGATCGTCCTCGCCGGTTCCCTCTGGCTGCTGCTCCGTAGGTTTCTTCGTGGCGCCGCCGCCGCTGCCGCCGCCGCGGCGACTCCGGTGGGCGAGATACGCCCTGTGCGAGTGTAGCTGGCAGCGAGGTCGGCGGCACACTCCACATGTCGTCGGGGGCTCTTTCGACGTCTGCCTGGTCGGGCTGGGCACCGAGATGGCGTGACTAATATCACGTTGGAGACCGGAAGCCATGCGGGCATGGGGAGGCCCGAGGTATCTGCATCGTCGCCGGATGGCAAGAGAGGAAGTTCGAGGGGGGGAGGCGAGAGGCCTTGGGATCGAGGCGAGGTTGAAATTGACACTCGTCGAGAAGAGGCCTTGAAAGCAGAAGCGAAGGGGAGGAGTTGGGCCGTGTAAGGCTTTTGTGGCAGCATGGTGTACTTGTACTGAAACGTGCTAGACCAGGTCAGACGAGGAGATGCTGCTTTTTGCTGTCGAATCAAGGGGACAGGATAGAGGAAGCAGCCTTACCTTTTGTGTGGGTACGGCACACATAATCCCTCTCGCTGCTGTTGTTCTAGCCCACAGAGGAATGGCCTGGTCGGATAGGAGATTGGGGGGTCATGTAACACCATGGTTACTAGCCTCCTCGTCGCTTAGTAGAAGCTGACAATGACTGGGCGGACGGCAAATGCCGGCGGTCAGTCTCACCATCGAGTCACCCAGTCACAGAGTCACACAGTCACCGACAACAACATGGATCAAGATCAATTGCACGGGCTGGGGGGCTTCCGACGCATGTCAAAAGGCCCCCCTGCCCGCTCTCGCTCCTCAGGTGACAAGGCTGCATCTCTATATCCAAAGGACAAGCATAGACTATCCAGCATCGGAGTTGCTGCATTGTAGTCTTGTCTAATCACCCCCCGGCAACTCGACGCTCCTTTGTTCTTCTCCCACACCACCCGCGCCCCAGCTCAGCCCTCGACTTTCTCGCTGCCAGGAAGCGAATCCGCTTCGTAGTGCGTCGCCTCCGTACCCTTGACCGCTTCCATGGCATGGTGGTCTACAACCGTGTGTGTGGCAAAGTCGACTTCGAGGTCTCGTTGGTAGATGGCCACCTCGTCCGCATCGCCAAAGATGGCGGCGACTTCCTCCAACGGCAGGCCGTTGGTGTCGGGGAACCAGATCCACATGGCGATCGCGCCAAGTGTGCCTGGGATAATGAAACACAGATAGAATTTCCAGCCGATGGTCTCGAAGGCCGTCGGGGCGCTGCAATCCTTGAGATTAGTAATGTTCCAAAAAACCAAGGGGTTCGCGAGGATGGAAATCACTGCCAGGGCCATCATACCTTTGCAGCCAGATGATGTTCATCAACGAGATCATGGCAACACCAAGACAGACGCCTTTGGCCCGCAAGTGTGTGGGGAAGATCTCCCCGAGGTATGAGAATTGCGTCCCGTCGAGGCACAATCCGTAAAAGAGCTGGAAGATGAAGAACATGGCCACTGCCGCCAATAGTGCAGACTTGTTGTTGGAGGGCACGAAGTTGGCAACCAGGGCCGCTTCCACGATCAAACTGACCATGCAGCCTAGAACGCCGAAGGAGATGAACTTGTTTCGTGGGAAGCGGTCTACCACAAACATTCCCATGACGTTCATTCCCAGTGCAAACGTCAGCCATGCAGCTGGGTAGAGAAGCTGTTTGACCGGCGAGAAGTCGAGGGATTTGTAGAGTGAAGGACCATAGTTGTTGATGACCAGGACGCCAGAGCACTGAATGATTCCAGTGATCCCGACGGCCAGAAGGGCCCGTTTTCGGTACGATGGCTTCCTCATGATGTGCAACCACGAGTTACCAAGAGTTCGGTCGATCGCAAGCTGCTTTTGGATCTGGTAGAACTCGGCTTTTGCGGCGCTGTTATCAGGATCGCTAGCGTCGGCGTGGAACTTGAACAGCACTGCCTCAGCTTCGGCGTCGCGGCCTTGCATAACCAACCATCGGGGTGACTCCTGCAGATTAACAATGTCAGTGATCTCAACATCGTCGAGTATTTGTCGTCAGGTAGAATCAGTGGGCCACAGTGCATGCAGGAGAGCAAAGGACTTACCGGGACGAAGTATAGACCGACCAATAGGCACAACGGCCAGAAGCATTGGATTGCGACGGGAGGCCTCCAAGTATTTGTGCTGCCATTCTGCCAGAAATAGAAGCCGAATCCAACCCAGCCTTGAATAGTATAGCCGAGCACGAGCATGACTGCATGGACGTCCACGAGAGCACCGCGCATATGGACCGGCACAATTTCGTTCATTAGAATGGGCACGGCCGCGAGGATCATGAAGGCAGAAGCACCAGCCACAAATCGAAAGGCGATGAACATCCCTACGTTCACACTGCCCGCCATGATGGCGCCGGAAACGATAGCCAGAATGGCAGACTGTCAAGCGAGTTAGAGCCGGCAGGGAAAGGTGCGAGTCGCGTTAGACCTTACCACGGCGCACGCCCATTTGCGACCCCATTTGTCCGCAACCGTCGGTAGTAGTAGTGTTCCAATCACGCCCCCAGTTTGGAAGAGTCCATTCATGGTAGATATCAAGTCGGTTCCATTGGAACGAGTTGCCAAATCGAAGTATTCAATGAAGGATGGTTGACCTTGAGACGACATGAGCTTGAAGATCCATCAGGGAGCTCAAGGTACGTACCCAGCGTAGTTCCAATAATACTTGCCGTGTAGCCATATGTCAAAGAGCCAAAGCCCAACACAGCAAGCACAGCGCAGGTATGAGCATTGAGCTTTTGTTTGCGAAGGAGACCTTCCGATGCCGAGTTACGACGCATTTTGCGAGATCTTGTCAGGGTGAACGAAGAGGAACTGGTCAAATGTGATGGCAACAGAGGAGCCTGGTAAGAGAAGGGGGTATTATAGGCATATGAGATGTGCAGATTGGTTCCCGAATAGAGTTCATGAGAGCCGAGACTCGAAATACGTGGAGCCGCGAGCCAGGGCACATTTACCAAAGGCCCCCTGACCCGTGACCGTTGCTCACCCTTTACCTTCCCCAGTCTCCTCAAATCCCCGCATTTGGCAGGTCAAAACCAAGGAGTAAGGCTTGGTGGGTCAAACGTAGAACTGTTGATTGGTGAAGGTGGTGATTGTCCCAGATTTGCGGCCCTCGGTAGATCTGTCATGACTCAGGAATTCTAGAGTCAGAATGGAGGTCGAAAACGTGAAGAGTCGAGATTAGCAAGTCATGGGAGTGAATGCTTGGCCTTTGGCGCCGGGGAAAGCCCACGACAGCAAGGAGACGTCGGCCAAAACCATGCTGAATGAGTCTCCACAAACGACTCGACAGGCGTAATGGCAGGTTTTGAAGGATCGAGACCGAGCCCGGGGAGAGCGAAGTCGGACCTTTTGGCCTGAGGAGTCCGAGCATTACTCTCCTCAGAAGATGCAACACTGGGCGCGCCATGCATAAACTGCATCCAAGTTGCGGCGAAGATCCGGTCCAGAGGCTGGACCATATGTTCGTCCTCCTGATAGCTTGGGGCCGATGTGGGCGGTCCAGAAGTCCGAGGCGAGACCTTGGTGGATCCAGAATCATCGATATTTGTGGGTAGATTGCGTCTTGGGTATCTTCCCTGCAGCATGGACGGTCATGTAGAAGCTTGCCAGGGAGTTGTCATGCGTATGATACCCAGTATGGAACGTGTAACCCGGTTGCGTGCATGTCTGCTGCCAGTATTGACCTCAATATATAGTCAAAAGTGATCAGGTGTGTGCTCGCTGAAAAAAGCTCATTGGTGAGCTGCGAGCCGCAGACCGTAATGATCATCGGAAACCCTTAGAATAGTCGCTGTTACGGTGTAAGCTAGCAGTAGCAAGTGTCAGACAGAACGATCTGAGGGACAATCAAACAGCCATCGAGTTACATCCAAAAGGTCGGTCAGAATAGACGAGAGTCTCTGTTCTTGCCACTCAAACCGAAGCACCTCGAGTCTTCAGGACCTCCAGATATTTCTTCTTGACGGTTGCGTTGCCGTATCGGTATGCACCTTTGCTCTCCATATATTCGGCAACTTGTTTCCAGGGTACTTTATTGACAAATTGACCAATGGAAACTGCGTCGAGGTCTCTGGTAACCTGCAGATTGACAGAGGTCGCCTTCGAGCAATGGGAAACCGCTTCGAAAAGGAGCCGGATCTATCACCATGCGTGTCAGCATCTGGGGGTTTGTTCTCCAAGGGATAACTCACATCTCGATCGCCCCATTCTGGTTTCCTCAGTCTTGCCTCCCTCGGTTTCGTCAGAGCACGATATCTCCCCCTCAATGTTGATTCTGCCTCCTCGAACTTCAGCCGCTCCTTGATCACCTTATATGACAGTCCTTGTTCTTTCAATTGTACTAGAAGCGTGTCTTTCGATGTGTCACGCTGTCCACCCTTTACTCCCAAATGTCTGCCATGGGGCGTCGAAATACCTGTAACGTCCGTTGGTGATTGAATGGCAGATTCGGAAGCCCAGAGATCTGGATACTGGGCGCTCTGATCAGTTGCCAATCCAGATTCCAGTTCCTGATAATGCACATTCGGAAGGTACTGATCGGTGGTGGACGCTGAAGGGCCAATCTGGAGGTCAAACTGATAGTCACCAGACGAGGGTAGCTCGGGTAAAGGCGGATAGTTCAAGGAACTCGAATCATATGCGAGCTGCTGTAGTGGCGTAGTAAAGGTAGGGTCGATCTGAAAATAACTACTGATGTCAGGATCCAGCGGTAACTGAGTAGCGCAATCTTGAGGCGATGCAAATCCATCAAACACCCGTGATCCGTATTTTGTCGCAACAGAAGGCCAAAGCTCACTTGAACCAGGTGTCTTTGCCTCTAGGAGAGTCTTTGGCGTGGTCAGGTCGTCACCACTGACGGCCTGGCCATCCAACATACTGTTTTCTGTCATGAAGATGTCAAACTCGTCAGGAGGCAGATTTTGGAAGAGCGAATTAAAATCGTCCACATCGAGTGGCGGCGCCTGCTGCGTAAGGGTTGTGCTGGTGGTCGAATTCTCCATGGCCGCGTCAAATCCCATCTCAGTCGCTGCGCTATAGTGCACAAAAGTCGTGGCGTGCTCTGCGCTGCTATCATTCAAGGATGGGCTGAGCGTGTCGGTCTTGAAGCCTTGATTCTGGGAAGCTGCTAGCCGTGGTGGGATGTGTATGGCTCTCCCCGGCCCTTCAAAACGCAAATTGTTCCCAACTCTACTCCGATCCATGTATGCGCCATGATGACCAGTTGATATGGCGCGGTTGTCGTTTTGTGAAGACGAACAGAAGTGCACGTTGGCGCCGTAGGAAGCTGTGGAGTTCATGGTGTGGTGTACTGGACGCTGCATTGCGGGCGGTCGGGTGCAGGAGAGATTGTGAGAGTCTTCAGAACAGGTCATGTCGATGGACCCGATATGGGAAGCAGGGCACGGGACGCCAGCCGGGTGACAGATATGGAGTGCGTCAGAAGACACCGCTTGGGAATGGTGAGTCGCAGACGGAGTGAAGGTGCTCTCCGGAGCCCATCTTAATAGGTGACAAGGCAGATGAGTCTGTCCGCAACAGCCTGTCTTTCCATCCGTGTAAGTACCAAAGTATCTTGAATCAGCAGTTGTCGGGTACATTTTTGCAAGCTGCAAGGCTGCGCAATGCAGAACCAAGTGATAAATTTGGCGACAACTGGTGAATGTTCGGAAGCACTGTGCTGTGATAGTTTGAGCAAGCGGTTGCGTTTTCATGGTGAATCATTGGCCACATTACAATCAGCACCTGCGCGGTCATCCATGGAAACGGAGACGAGTCTGTTCGTACTGCAAACAGAACCCCATCCACGGCATCGGGATCAAATTGGAAATCCTCAAGGAGGTGAAGACGAGGGCACGCGTATTGAGCGACGAACTCACCTGCCGGGCCTATCCGCAAGTAATTGCTGCGTATCAAACTCCGCTCCCAGCTTCTGATACATCGGTAGAAGTTGCTGCTAGTCTGCGGAACATTGAATGGACAGAGGTGTTGCACAATACCTCCCTGATAACTGGTCTGCTGTTGCGCGCTGTCTTGAGGGCCTATGAGTTATTTAGCCCAACAGCCTCTTCCCACCCAGTACATAAACCGGCCTAAAGAGCAGTGTTCTGTCACCATATTTCCGTCTCTTATTTCGTTCTGCTCTGCTTAGCACCAGAATCTTACCATGGCTCGAAGGGAATAAACATAGAAGCAAATATCTTCTAGTTGGGGCAACGGAATCCATTCAATACAAGATAGTCGCGAAGTGGCAGTGTTCCGGTGACCCGTCCATGCCAGTTGCCACGGAGTGTGAGAACGGCAAACAGCAAGGCTCTATTTCAATGTGTGTTTTCTGTGGATGGTAAACTTTAGGTAATAACTGGCTCGGCCCATCAATTCTGGTGCTTCTCTGGTGTCTTCTGAGACTCAGCAATGGGCAAGTACTAGATTGAGTTCAAGGATATGCTCAAAGTCCACCGATTCGCGATCAGCGAAGGCAAGCGATGTGCCGAGGGGATCACCAGGCGGGAGATATGGCAAAGGGCAAGCAAACATCAGGGGCATTGTGTTACATTGTTTGGCCGCTTGTCAATTTCAGGCAGCAGCTTTGGCGTTAGCCTGCGGGTCCGCTCTCTTTAGGGATGGCATAGACTGCGCAAGTTGGGCGCAGAGGGAAATCGTGCTGCTTGCAAGGTGCTCTCGGGTGAAAGGAGAGGAATTCATGGTTGGGCACAGTAGACTCTGAATCGTACCTGTTCTCTCGATTGGACGTACCAGGATTGTGGAGCTGTCATATCGGCAAATTGCAGCGGGAAGCAGACAGCCTGTCATTTGATATTGGTTGGCCGATGTCCGGGGCATCGACCAGATACCCTTGATCTGGTTCTTGGGATATGTCTGATAGGAGAACGGGCGGAGACCTGGTTGCAAGAGGCAGTGTTTCGCACTTCATTGTGTTCAGAGTATTTCCCTCCGCTGTCACCATTCGAAAACGTGTTTGCCACACTCTTTGCGCCTTACTCCTGGGTCTGTAGCCCTCTCCAGGAACAGGAACGTGTCGCAGTGGTTTCTTCAGCTATATTTGGCGTCGACAACGCAATCTCGCAGTGGCATTGCACACCGTCGTAGGAGCAAGAGGAAATGAGGCCGACATGCATTGAGGTTACAGTGAGTCGATAGATAACAGCTCTGGAACGATCAAGTAGTCTGGTGTTCGGGACGAGGGATGAATTAAAAGAGCAAGTGAGTTGAGGTTGTCGGAGTATGAGACGTTGTCAAGCCCATTAGTAAGCACAGCCAAGACTGTGGCTTCCGAGGTTTTGCCTCGCTGCATCGTGATGGCTCAAACTTGGCTGTATCCTGCGGGTTGATCAGATCATACTCTTTCCCAAGGTCATTTTACGGTCGGCCTGGCGGCTTTGCTGGGTTTGCTCCTGAGGAGACATCGTGGTAGACACAGAGGTCTAAAGATTAGCGGTTGCTTGGCACTATTTCGTGCCAAAATTGACAACGAAGTCCACGAACGATGACGGAGTCAGCGAGGATGCTTGGTCTTGCAGAGCCGCTATACCAGAGAGTATCCCAGAAGTTCATGACAGCCTTCAAAGGGAAAGACATTCTATTCTCCGAGACCAGCCTCGCCTACCTCCAGGCTAAGGGAGGAGCTTCGGTGAGTGCAGTGCTATGGTTGACGGTGAGGCTTGGTTGCTCATTTCTACAAAGTTCCAACTGCGATACTGCCCTGCGTTGAAGAAGAAACCCCAAGGCGACGCTTCTGGTCCGAAAAGGGACCCGACGGGGCCGAAATTTGATCCTTTCGAAAACCCGCCTGCAGAGCTCCTAGTCGCTCAAATCCCGGCCCAAAATGCATCGCACACTCTGGTGCTGAACAAATATCCAGTCATCCATAACCACTTCATCATTGCTACCAAGGCCAACAAACCGCAAACGGACCTCCTGGAGGAAGATGATATCGGCCTGACCCATGCTTGCCTGCGCGCCTGGCAAGACCGGCGGCATGATGGAAGTTCTCCATGCCTTTTTGCTTTCTTCAATTCTGGTGAGCACAGTGGCGCCAGCCAGCCGCATCGCCACTTACAGTTCTTACCTGTGGAGGATATGGCAGGTTCGAACAATCGAGAGTGGAGGCTTCTAATCGACCGTATGAACGTACCAGTTCATCCAGACCTACCGCTATTCCAAGATCCATCGTTGCCAATCTTGCATTTTTCCACGCCTCTTGAACCAGACGCCTCAGCTGCCGACTTGCACCGCAAATATGTGTTGCTCATGCAAGCAGCGCTGTCTGCCACTCGGTCCCCTGGCCAACCACTGGACCAAAGCCTGGCGATCGAAAGGGACGGCAAAACTCTGATCTCCTACAACCTTGCCATGACGACTGACCGAATGGCAATCTGCCCCCGGAGTCAAGAAGCGGCTTCCATTCCCGGAGCCGGACCAGAGAGCTCCGTGGCTATCAATGGCACGATACTCGCAGGCACTCTCATGGTCAAGGACGAGACAGAGTGGGATGTTCTTCGACAAACTCATTCGCTTCTGGACGACATGCTGGCATCTATCGGCTTTCCTTTGACGTCATGGAAACAGTACGCACGCACAGCAAAAGCATAGGAGAACGCTCACAGACATACCTGTTGTACTGAGCCAGATTTCCATTGTCCCTAGCCAACCAAGTAATGTCACTTTGGGGAGTACGTCCAAATCTGAGAGACGGCGGCCCGTCTGTTTCCTGCACCTCTGACTACTATCTTTCTCTACACTACCGACCTCATCCTCCAAGCACAATCGCCGACATGCCAGCTGGGACAGAGTGGTGCATTTTCAGCTCGATGACACACGGAAAGGTCTATCTCTTTTCGCCCCGAGCAAGAACACTCGACAAGAGCATCAGCTGGACGATAATCTCACATTCACTGCCAAAAAAAGAACGGTGATGGCTTCCCAGAAGAGACTTCATCGTATCCAAGTGGTATGTCACAGAAATGGAAACAAACTGTATACGCGAAGTCAAGGTCTTTTGCTCAAATCCAGAGAAGCTGCGACAATGGAACACCACCTGTGGCCAGGAGGGTACTGCCCACATTGGAGATCGAAGCGCACTGCCATTCCCAGTCAGAGCAATTCAGGTGAAGTTGGGGCCCTTTTTGGAACCACCATGCCCTCTCAATACTGATGGCTGAGAGGTTTAGAATGGCGCCAAGCGAAGCGAGCTTTACGATGCAGCTTATGAGGTCTCTGAGACGACTTTGTCCAGCCTTATGCCGCGAGAAAGAGCAGAGTTTGCAGTTGAAAGCTGCGCAACCAGTACAAATGATGACTACAACCTTCATTGGCGACTCCGCCAATGCCGAAGCATCATCGATGGCGACAGAGCGATACGGGAAGGGCAGAGGCTGGCCATGTGGTTCACATTGGGCTGTGTCCGTCGAGGCACGTCCGTCCGTTCACGAGGGATCTACTGGCGCAAAGTCATGCTGCAAATCCACCGCAACGATAACCTTCGGTCGAGCAGCCGCTTCAGGCGGAGCATTGACCAGACCAGAACAAGTGGACGGACCTGTGCAGGAGAGAAACTTTGAGCAGTTTTCTGACCGCATCGACAGAGCTATCGAGGCAAGGTGAAAGTGTCATGGGCAGTCCAGACCCCGAAATTCTCGCTTGTTGCGCAAGCCACAAACCCGTATGATAGTGACTGCAGCGGATTTCCAAGCCCTGAGTTGTCCGGTTGAGAGTAGCTCGCTGTCCGTATCGGTGGTCGAGCAGGCGAGACAAGGGTATGTAGAGGTCAGGCGTGGGGCAGGAGCCCGACCCGCCGGATAGTGACGGTGATGGGTGGAGGGAGGAGGGAGGGACTAGACCGAGAAACACGAGGCAGAGGTCAAAGGCAAGAAGAGGGGTTGGGACTGCTTGGAGTCTGTTCGTAGGGCTGCAGATATTCCAAGGGCCAAAACGGGCTTTGGATTGCGCGGGGTTTGCGAGTCCTCCTCCTGGAGCTGCTGCTGCTGCTGCCTCAGGGTCTGGTGGTCTGGCTCACCTCCCTTGGGACTCATGGGGCATGAATACGAGGTTTTGACATGCGGCAGGCGAGCCAGACCATCACCTCGGCGCCAATCCCGCCCATCCCCCTTCGTTTTTTTGTCTCAATTCAGCATGCACTCATGGCCGTTGAAGCTCTGCTCGCGTCCGCTTTCGGCAGCGTGGCCTTGGAGGTGTCTGCTCTGTTTGGCTGCGCGCAGCCGAACGTTGCTGGGGGTGGTGCTGGTGGTGTGTGAGCAGGATCTGCAGGAAGGCCAGCCAGCCTCGATTGACTTCTGTGTCGGCTATCAAAGCAAGAAAAATTAAAGCAACCAAGCAGAGCGGCGAGACAATGTGCACTTCTACGCGTGCTATGTGTGTTGTTTCCTGGCCCCTCCTATTCTCTCTTTCCACCTTCTTCCGACGGCCGAATGCGGAATTGACGGGGCTTCTGCTCGGGGATCTAGGCCCTGTGGGCGATGCTCGATTTGACACGAGGTCCAGGGGCAGCAAAGGAAGGACAGCGCAGTGTGTGTGTTAGCCGGTTCGGTCGGGTATTATTGGACGAGTGGAAATACAAAGCCAGTAAAGCCAAAAAGATGGTAGATGATGTGGTCGCGGCCAGAGGGGGACCGTCCAGGCAGCGCAGATCGAGGAAACAGATGGGAAACTGCAAACTTCCACACCCAGTAATTCTTGGCGGGGCAAAAAGGGTTCAATAAAAGGGCAAGCCAGGCTTGTAACATGATAGGCAGGGAAGTCCCAAAGTTTTTCAGAAGCCCCCTTGTCTGGGTTGTTCTTTGGGGGCTTTTGTTTGGTAACGTATCACAGTTGTACTAATCATTTCAAATTCATGATGATGGCTTGGGCGGGGGAAGGTTCGAAGATTTTCGGACTGCGGCGGATCCTCGCACAAGCCCATCCCAAGGCTGGACGTGTGTGTGCGTAAGAGAGAGAGAGAGTGTGTGTGTGATGTGCTTCTTAGAAAAGTGGACACAAAAAACCGCCTCTCTTTCCCCCTCGTGTGTGCGTGCTTGCATATCTGGCAAAACTAGATGAACTTCTGGGCTCTTCCGGGCGCCCAAGGGAGAAGCGGTCTGCCATGGAGATATAGGCGAGCAGCGAGCAATCAGGATGCAGAGATTGTCCAGAATCAGTGGGGCGAGCAGCCTGGTTGGTGGAAGAGGGCCATGACAGACCGCGAGTCCTTAGCCAGGTGTTCGAACCGACTTGTAGATACCGTCCTGTAGGTAGGCAGCAGCCGGATTGGGGGAGGAGCTTTTTTTGGGCTGGCGGAGATGGGGTGGCTGCATGCGTGCATGGCTAGAACCCTCAGATCACGCAAGTTATCGTAGATGTTGAACCTCGTGGTGCGGATTGGGCAGCGCCATGGCTGCATGCTGAGGCTTTCCGGGAAAGTTACAGAAGCGCATGGGAGCCTGGGATGGTGTGGCACCAAAACAGCACGAGGGCGAGGACGAGGACGAGGACGAGGAAGAGGGGGAAATGCGCAGAGTTTTTGATTCTTCGTCAGGGCTTCTGAGAATGGAAATTCGGCGCGCCCATGATAATTCCTTTGGGTGTGGCCTGTGCCAATAACGGACAACTGGTTGGAACTACAGACTTTCCAGATATCACGAGAGCCAAGGGCCCCCCTAAGTATTATTCGTACGGGGAGAGTACGTGTGTTCGCAGTAGGTATGAAGGGACCTCCAGTAGGTAAACAGGACCTGGACGGGAGATACTGTACGTACTTCGGATAATCATAAACCCTCAGTCACCCAAGGAAAGCAAGTTGGGGGCCGACACAGGCTTCAGCCCTACCAGGGGAGTTTCATTGTAGAGGCCTCGAACTCACGAGGAAGAGATTTGGGGGCCGTTAACACCACGCGGTGGCAGTTTGGGGGTGGTAAACAAAGCATGCATCACCAAACGGTCAGCAAGGCCAAGGGGGACGGGACACGGTGGCTCAGTCATCCATCTCTGCAGGGTGCGTAGGATCAGGTGGATATTGGCAAATTACCAGACGCGCTCGAGTCATTGATCCAAGTCATTGATGGTGAATGATGGGCGGTAATGCAGGGACATCAGAGAGGAGAGGGAGAGCTAGAACACTCCGTAGTCGTTTAACACTCACCTTCAACATGACCAGAGAAGTGCAAGCGAGAGCCGAAAAGGATAAGAGAATCGGGACAGGAGAGGAGAGGCAGGATTGTCCTTTTGACGAGTCGCCGATGGTGTTTACGAGAGCAGAGCTGCTCGGGATGCCGGGGAGGGGAGAGCGAAAAGAAGGGGCTTGTTTTGGTTTCAAGCGGCTCCAAACACCAATTGCCCAAGCCCAAGCCCACGCCCACGCCCGCGGGCTTCAAGCCCACACCCCCCCAAGGAGCAATAGTTTAGCGACAGCCAGGCCATGGTAATTAATTAGTCTTTCTCGTCAATATGGAAACCCGAGATTTGTTTCTCCATGTCGTGGAAATAGTTGAATTCATGATACGGAGGAAGGAGTACTCGGTATGTACTTTGTACGAGTCTCGCTCTCGGGGGGTGACATCCACGAGTCTGACTAAGGGATCTGGAGGCGCTCATGAGTGCCACCAGGCCGTCAGTAATGTGTGATGAGGGAGTTCTCGTAGTGTCCTTTCACGTGGAAAGGACAGGGATGAGGGGCCATGTCGAATCGCACGTGCAGCAACGTCAACAGCGGGTGACATTGCTGTCTGCCTCGTGTATTCGACAGGAGTCCAGGTACAATCCCTTCCGTCATCCTGAGCCTCCATGGGAACGAACAGGGGGGGGGCCAACACACACACGGTGTGTCCTCAGCAGCAAGCAGAAGGAAGACGTAGTAACAACAACACCAGTCGAGCCGGCCGACCAATGACTTCACTGTTTCGTCAAATGATGTGCTTTGATTCAGGAGAGTTACAGCAACGCCTCGCCATGGAGTCGGTGACCAAATGGATGATGCGGATGTTGTGCATCAACCCGCCACAGTCTCACAGCCCCCAAGACCGCAACTGAGGCTTTGAGCGGTGAAAAAATAGCAGCAGCTGTGGCTCAGGCACCGTGCAGCCAATCATGCCGGCCCTCAGCGCCACTAATACGGCCCTGCGCCATCACCAAAGAGCTCGGCCTGGGCACTCCGAGCCCCTGGAGCCAATCAGGGGGCCCCAGCCGGTGGGGAACGCTTGCAGACCACGTTTTTGCAGGGGTTGAGCAGACCGCATCTGCACGATGGCGCCAATCGCATCGGCCTCGCCTACAACCATCCAAGCCCGCTATGACCTGGCAAAGAAAGCGTTCCAGAGAAGGGCGCCCTAAAACTGCCCAGGGCCAAAGGACCCTCCCCACTCGGCGTCTACACTTTCCCTCTGCTTTCCTCTCTTTTGGTGACCCCTCGCTCAAAGCGGCAGAGCCAAGCACCATCCACTCAATCAGGTGCATGCCCCAGACACGAGCCACGGGGTTTCGTCCAGAACCCACCCCTTCCCAATCCAGCATCTCCAGCCTAATCCCTACCCTTTGGCACCCGCTGGGCACCAACTGGCACCCATTGACAAGCCCCCCCGGCCCACGCTTAGGCTCTCCTCGGGCTCCATTGGGACTCCATTGGGGCTCCCTGTTTACTTGTCCATCCGCAGTCCTGGGATGTGCCGTCAAGCAACTGACAATTTGACGGGATCAACGGGAACTTACTCCCGCCCCTCTGTTTTTGCTATTGTAAAGTTCACGAACGAGGGGAATTGGTCCCTGCCCGCATGGGAAACTCTGCGTTTTGGTGCTAACGATTGCTACCAAAGGGACCGGCAGGGTCATCCTCCTGGTCGAATCTGAGAAATCTACTGCTACTCCAAACTGTGACCTTTTTCTTTCCACCCCCCTCCCCAAGAGAGAGAACGGGCCAATGAGCAGGATGGGTACTTTTGCTCTGAGCCCCCAAAGCAGGTGGTACGAAGTGACGAAGCAGCGTAGAAGAGCAGCAGGGAACCGGAAAAACACAAAGTTCCGACCCTGATTGATGGTCACTACCCGCCTGCGGTTGCATCTTGCTGCTAAAAACAAGTTGCACATGAATCTTCTTCTCTCAATGCCCGTGCAGAATTAACATGCTTCTCTCTGGTCCTTGCCAATCACCAAATGCCTGGCCTTGCTCTCTTGGCCAGGATATCTCTCACCATCATGACGAGCAAGCCGTGACGGGTCCGTGGGGACCTTTCTGCTTCGTCTGCTTCCTGCTTCTTCATCCTGCTTAGGCCTCCCCGAAGCTAGCTTACTAGGAGGTGCATTAGCCTGTCACTGTGACACTCTCTCCTTGGTGTATTGCGCTGTTACAGCCACACCGCGACACCCCTGCTCCTTTAGCCTCCGAGGGGTCACGGACTCACGGTGAGGGCCCTGTCCCCCCCCCCCTGCTCGGGCCCCGGTCCATGTCCAAGCCATAGGGCTAACCGTTCAAATGCGTAGCTCTCTGGGTCCCATCTCTGATCTGAGAGAGACTTTGGCTCATCTGAAAGCGACAGGGCCCCTGCTTTCGGTAAGACCCTTCTTGTTCCCTTGGCTAGCTCATCACGCTGGTACAGATATTCCAAACGACTATATCTCACGATTTCGCCCCCCCAATTCTGCCAGCCTGAGATCACAACTTTCACAGACATCCTCTCGACACCTCTTCTTCCCTCTACTGCCTTGGGTCCTTCGGACCTCGTCGTCGGTGCTCAGTCTCAGTCTGCCTGAGGCCAACACCCAACATCCAACACAACCAAGCATCCACCCCGAGACAACCTCGAACGTGCCCGTTCGGCATCGTGCCTCCCCCCTTCCCGCGCTCACCCCCCATCTTTACTCCTTGCAGTATTGATCGGCACTTTCTCAGCAAGCCTCACGAGCTCGCTCTTTGTTTGTTAGAAAGAGAGAAGAAAAACGCCCGCCCGGCCCCAAGAGCATCTAGGCCTTGGGAATTCGTATTCGTCGGCGCTTTATCGATATCGCTTCCGGAGCCTCAAGAGACCTAGAACACCCGCATTCACGCGCCTCCCTCGGCCCCTGGTCGCGCAATCCTAACAAAAATCCCATCTCGGCCCATAAGCCGTCACGGTTATCACCCAAGTCCATATACTCTCATCTTTCCCCAGCTCATGCGGTCGCATTGAACTTGAGTTCTCTCTCTGACAATGCTCGCCCTCGAGCATTCTCGTCGTCAGCAGTTTGACCCAGGATACGACTTCGAGCAAAGCATTCAAGCACCCTTTCCCGGCCTCACCATGGACGCCTACGACTCGGCCGACCCCATGATCAACTTCCACCCTCTCCCATACTCGTTCTTTGACAACCCGTCCATGTTTGCGACAGCTCCCATGCAATCCCTCAAGCAAGAGATGCCGCCATTCCAGGATCTCCCCCCAGCTCTGATTTCCTCGGGTTCCGCAGCATCGATCCCCAGCGCTTCGTCCTCCACGGTCGGCTCTCCATACTCGGGGCCCTCCCATACCGTCTCAAGTCAAGATGGCTTCGACCGCACAGCTTCTTCATTTGGTTTGGGTGTCATGCCAGCTATCGTCAACCACGAGGCCTTTTCACAAGATATCCTGGGAACCTCCATGGAAGCCGAGCTGTCATTGGGGAGCCATGAGAAGCTCCCCGACAGTTTTGTGGGTGAGTGTGCAGATCTTTCCTCTTCTCATCCGCGACCACAGACCGGTGCCATTTTCAAAGCCCAATCCGTGCAGCCACTTTCATCATCTATTATTGCTTCGCCCGAGTCATTGTCCATCCATACTTTCTTTGATCAAGGCGTGTCCACCGCGCCTTCGGTTGCTTCCCATTCGGGCTTTTCCACTGCTACCCAGTCCCCTTCATCCGAGCAGACTCGGTCAACACCGACCTTCAAGTCACCCACCACACCTGCTTCAGCATGTTCCAGGCAATTTTCCGTTGTTTCTCCCATCAAAGCGCGAAGCTTTCCCCCAACCTCGCGCTCACAAACAGCTCCCGTTTTCCACCCTCATATGCTCTCTCATGACGCGCCAGCCGCATCGCAGCAACAGCAACATCATCGGAGCCGCTTTCAGTCTCATTTCTTTGCCCAAAGCAGCGGCAACTTCATGCCCCCGCTGGAAACATCCTGTTCGTCTCTTCTGCCTGTCTTTCCTTACCCTTTTGCTCATGTCCTTGTTCTGTTCTTGCTTTCGGTGCCATGATTGCGCTCATCGGTTTGCTTCGACCTCAGGCGACATCCTGCTAACGAGCCTCGTTCACAGATCCGTCCTTGATCCACGCTTCCAGATCGTATGGCGACACGGTGTTCGCTGAACACGGGGTTTTCGCACCTAGCTTGCACTCTTACACCACCACCTCTCCTTCTGGCTCCCCAGCCCCATCACCTCAGCCATACGCCGCCTATCCCCCAGCCCAATTTTCAGAGCCCCTCACCAACACCAACTACTATCAACAGCCGCATTACATGAGCCGACGACCTTCCCTAGCTTCCTATGTATCTGGAGTATCCCATCCAAGCCCAACCTCGGAAATCGATGATGATGGCCGAGACAAGGGCCGATGCCCGCATCCTGAGTGCGGCAAAGTCTTCAAGGATCTCAAGGCTCACATGTTGACCCACCAAGCCGAGCGGCCAGAGAAGTGCCCGATCCTGACCTGCGAATACAACCAGAAAGGGTTCGCCCGCAAGTACGACAAGAATCGACACACCTTAACCCACTACAAAGGCACCATGGTTTGCGGGTTCTGCCCCGGATCAGGCACTCCGGCTGAAAAGAGCTTTAACCGAGCCGACGTCTTTAAGCGCCACCTGACATCTGTCCACGGCGTCGAGCAGACACCACCTAACAGCCGAAAGCGCAGCCCATCGGCAAGCAACCGAAAGCTCTCTAGCTACTGTCAAGATGCCACAGGCAAGTGCTCTACTTGTTCAGCCACATTCAACAACGCCCAAGACTTCTATGAGCACCTTGACGATTGCGTGCTGCGTGTGGTGCAGCAAGAAGAGCCTTCCGAGGCGGTGAACGTTCAGCATCTCTCCCAAATTAACAACGACAAGGACGTCCAGGAGACCCTGGACCGTCACATGATCAAGACTGAGGATGCCCCGTCCAGCTTCGATGATGAAGATGATGAGGACGAAGACGAAGACGACGAAGACGATGAGGAAGATGACCCGTCATTTAACAGTCGGTCTGGCAAAGGCGCACTGAAGTCCAACAAAGCCCCGGCATCGTCGCGAGCAATCATCGGTGGCGGTGTCTCGAAGCCTGGCAAGTCTTCGAAGAAAGGCATGACATGGTCCAAAGGCGGAGTGGCTCTTGTCGGTAAGGGGCGCAAGAAGAGAAGACACTACCCACCGTCCTGGGGCATGTCCGCCGAGAAGATGCGCATGAAGAAGCGCGTGCTTTGTGTATATGACGGCCAGCGGCGCCTGTGGAAGGATGACATGATGCTCCACAACGAATTCGAGGTGCGGATGACTCTGCCCGATGGCAAGAGCTATGTCACCGACCTCGATGTCGAGACTCTCAAACGAGCTGAGGCCTTCCACAGCGCCACAGCGGAAGAGAAGGGTCCCTGGATCCCGACCACCGAGGATGAGAGTCACGCTTTCGACCTCAATGCTCTCATGGCTTAATTCACGTGCTGTTGACCTTTTTCTGTATTAATGGCGTGTTTTGAGCGATTTGGATATGGACAAGTTGATCTCGAGAATCCTTGCCAATGGAGAGATCCTTATTCTGTTGTTTACCCTTTTAATCTTTTGAGATCATGGACGCTCTCAATGAGCATGCAGCGATGCAAATGTGGACATGAAATTTCTGCCAGGTTGAAGCAGCCCTGAAAAAAAGTTGGCAATGCTTCTGATGAACACATGGGAATTTGGGAAACCACCTCGTGGATATGGGAATGATTTTGATTATGTGAAGGAGACGGCCTCGGACTCCAGCAAGAGATACCCCATCACTTGGAGCTCCCTGAGGTTCACGAAAAGCTTGTGTACGATAGATACCTTGAAAGGGTGAACCAGGAAGCGCTGAGCGCTACAGTATTGCAATGAAGGAGATTTCATTGACCTTCCAACTATTCGAAACCTGTTTCTTGCGTTGTACCCCGAGAACTGTCCATGGCCATAGTACAGGGTGAATCTTTGGTGGAGGGCTGCTTGGGGTGCCCCTCGCCACTCCAACTGTTAGGTGCTTGGGGGATGCCTCAGGCAGTGGCTTTGCCTAGATGGTAGCGAACCAGTTGAGAGCCGTGCCGCGCCAAGCTTTCCGTCATCGAAATGGCGTACCCAGGTAGCCTGCGACACCCAACCTCAAGTCGTCTCTTCAGACGAAGGAACTCAAAGGCACGACGTCTACCAAGACGTCCTCCTATGGCCAGCTGCCCACTCATTAGTTTCCCTTCCTTATCACTAGCAGACGCCATATCAGAGGCAGAGTCCAAGCTACAGCTGACCCAACCCTTTGACCTCGGCCGCAAGTGCGGCGCTCACCCACGACATGGCAAACGATCCTCAACCAGATCCTTACAATTATGGTGTCGTGGTACATGGTACGCGAACTTCTTTTTTCTTCATGTGCCAGTGGCCAGGCTAACGCCCTCAACCATAGAGGCCCCAAAATTCGATCTTGCCGCGTACATCTCCAACTACAAAGGTTTGTCACTCTGGACTGGCGGCGGACCTTAGTTTGTACTAATTCCGTGTCCCATAGGTCGAACCGTGTTCCGGCGACTTCACCTGATTGCATCATGTTCTACGGTCCTGGCAGAGGAGGCCGCCCGAATGGCGGTGCTCGAGGCGAAGAAAGGTAGCGATGTACGGAACTATCTGGAGTCGTTGGCCCTGCTGGAGCGGGTATCAAAGGGCAGGAACCTAGGCCACTTGCTTGACCCAGCATGGGCGTCTCAGCAAGAGAAGAAGAATACAGCCGAAACCGCCCGCCTGGAAAGCGAATTGAAGGGATACAAGAACAATCTGATCAAGGAGAGCATACGAGTGAGTTGGAAGCACCGATGCTGCGCCGTGGGGGAACATCCACTGACTGTTCTTCCAGATGGGAAACGAAGATCTGGGTACGCATTACTATACCATTGGGGACCTGAACAATGCAGTCAAAGCCTACTCCCGCATGCGAGACTACTGCACCACCACTGCTCATATCACTTCCACTGCGTTCCGAATCATTGCCGTGGCGATCGAACAGCGCAATTGGTTGGCTGTCCAGTCTCAGGTACAGAAGGTCAAGAACATTCAACTCAAGCCAGAGGACATGACAAGGAATCAACCGAAAATCCAAGCGGCCTCGGGTCTTCAGCAAATGTCGAATGGTCACTATCGGGAGGCTGCCAACAGCTTCCTCAGTACTGACCCCAGTTTGGGAGATAATTACAGTGATGTTTTGACGAGCAACGATGTTGCCGTCTATGGTGGCCTCTGCGCGCTGGCGTCCATGACTCGTTCGGAACTGCAGACCAAAGTGCTAGAAAACAACAGCTTTCGCAATTTCCTTGAACTAGAGCCTCACATCCGCCGGGCCATCAGTTTCTTCTGTGCAAGCAAATACAGTCAATGTCTGGAAATCCTTGAATCCTATCGGGCGGATTATCTCCTGGACATCTATTTACAGCCTCTCGTCAGAGACATTTACACGAAAATCCGAACCAAGAGTATCGTTCAATATTTGGAGCCTTTCAGCAAGGTCACCTTGGCAAGCATGGAGCGGATGTTTGGGAGGGCTGCCCTGTCCAACGGAGCCGCAAACGGAGCCGCCACCGGACCAGATTTCCTCAGTGAGATTGTTTCTCTGATTCAACAGGGCCGGCTCGGTGCCCGAATAGACATGGAGCAAGGAGTCCTGGAAACCGTCCAACACGATCCGCGTGCTGAGGCCCAGCAGACGGCGCTAGACATGGTGGACGCGTTTGTTCGCGAAGCCCGTATGAAACTGATTCGCTTGCAAGTCATCAATGCCGGGCTTGAAGTCAGGCCGCCGCCCAAGAAGAAATCATGGGGTATGGATCAAGGGGATGGCACATGGGACGAGGGCGATGCAGCTTTCTTAGGCCCGGGAGGCCGAGACATCGTTGGCAACGATTTCGAAGGAGTGACCTACTCTCAACGCAAAGGCGGATAGGATCAGTCACGTAAGCGGAAGAGGGCGAATTGAGCAATGAAACGAAAACACGAATCCTGGAGCGCAATTTCTCCGTCAATCTGGACATGCCTCCAATTCCTACCGACCACCCGGTGACCTGAGCGAGGACAAAATCACCGCATGCTATTGCGCAGCAGAAGCCGACATGGCAAGATGATGGCCAATTCCTTTTACCGGAGAAGATCCGCGTCAGGTCGTCGGGTTGCTCCTAGTGGGGTCTTCTTTTTCCGAGGGGGTCTTTTTGTTGTTGCTCAGATGGAGGGCCTGATACGGCACCGTGGGAGCAGCATGACGGGGATGAGGGAACGGGTCACGAAAGGGCACTAGCATCCATGATGTCAAGTCCAGGATCCCAGATGTTTGGTGCATTAGCGGCAGGGACGACGATATCACGACTGGGGATTTAGTTTTTGCGAAGCCCGAAAGCTAGGCCATTGAAACTGGTTGCTGGTTGTGGGATACGGTCCTTCCTTTTCCTTGCTGTCTCTTCCGGTCAACACTCGGTTCCTTGTACCCACGGTCCACCCGCCGTCTTTAGTAGTGTCTAGGGTGCTCTGTACCGTGTGGGAACTGTTTGCCCATAAGTTGTGACCGGCCAACCCAGATTCGTCGCTGGGAACATTGCACCGAATTGAGCGGCCAAACCGTCAGTGCAGCTCCATCGAGCAGGCTTAGTAACCCCGAGAAGGCCGAGTTATCACGTATTACTACTTGTAGGGATTATAATATTGGGCCCCAGTGAACGAGATGACTTGCATGGTGTGATGGCGCGCCGTGGAGTTGGAGTTGGAGTGGAGATGAGGCCCAAGGACGAGCCCTCCGATGCCTAGGAGATTGTGGCCCTGGCGCTGGGGGGGATCCCAAGGTCCTAGAGGTTTGCTCGGAGATAGGTTGTAGTCAGCACTCAGATCCTTGCCCGGTCTCGTCTGTGGCTTGCACGGCTTTGCCTGCGAGCGCCATTTTCTCCCATTGTTCGGTACTCGTGCGTAGAGGAAGGGAGGGAGACGCAAGGAGCCGTGGTGAGGCCAAGAACTAAGACCGGGCGGGTTACCTTGAAACTGTCCTCGGTGAATACCTCGTACCTGATTGAGAAACTCGGTACGTCTGACTCGGTTGGCGATCCTCAGTCCCATCGCGGCAAGCGTGTTGGTAGTGGTGGTAGTGATGGTGGTTGATGGTGGTGTTGCAGAGCTAGGTAGGTTTAACCAAGAGGTACTCCGTGCCTGGGGCATGGTTCCAGCAGAGCAGGGATCATTGATCCCGCAAACAACTTCTCGAGGAGAGTTGTTCATGCATGACGGGGATCGGATCGACAGGGCGTACGAGTGTGCACCGCCCACGCCCACACACAGTGAAAAACTCCCGAACCCACTCCCTAGGTACGGTGCTAGGGTGGGCACGTCCTGACTCGTTTAGTATTTATACCGGAGTTGGTTGACTAAGTGCCAGAGTCACACGGGTCGGAGTTGTGTAGCCGAAGCACGGATGGGGTGGGCGACAAAGTGAGTGAGATCACTTTCCTTGTCCGGCTAGGAAAAATGGGAAAGAAGTTGTCCAGCCGGTCCCTCCTAGAGGAGGCTACTTGGTTGTACGTACAGCAACTCTTCGGTTAATTAGTAGGTGTAGTTAGGTGTACTTGTTAGTTGGGGCAGGGCAGGGCAGGGCAGGACAATGGGGGGGAGGGGATCACGTACCCGCACACCGAGAGAGACTATCGCTCGTTTTGGTTATTGGATGCTGTTACGCGAGGCTGCGCCTGCGGCCTTGTGGGCCTGATGGGCCTGATGGACCTGTGTGGCTTGTAACATACTTTTGCCAATAGGGCCCGTCGATGAAGGGGTGACTTCACCTGATCGAGCGGAGCGGGATGGTTTGTTTGTGGGCCTTTTTGCCCTTTTTTTTCTGCCCTTTGTTTTTCCCCGGTGCGGGACGAGGTTGACGTCGTTGTATCCCTCAAACGACGAGTGATGTGCTTTGGTTTGGCGCTGGACCCAGCTTGTTGGGTTCCCTACTCGTACTCCACAAATCAATCAACTAGTACCTTCCTGAGCAGTCCCTGAGCGGTCCCAGAGCCTTGCCAAAGCCCTTCGGGATCCCCCTCTGCCTCCTCAATTACAACACCAACCTTTTGTCAACTCTAGACTATGGGACGGACCCGTTTGGTTTGGGATGCTGGGGGAATCCAAACCGGGGTCCCCCTCTAATGCACTCGGACTGCTTGGTGCGTTTCTGGCGGAGATGGTATTGAACATCGGCGAGTCATTCCGGACAGACACAGCATATCGTTGAATGATGGAAATTACTACACGTCGGCCTAGACAGAGGAAACCCATCATCTCCAATCCACCGGCTTCACTTTCCACTTGTCTGTCGTACCGAATTCCAGTCGTCCCTCCCTGAAACGCCAGGGATCGATATAGATTCTGACGCCGATTTTGTCGCTGAGCAGGTTGTACACGCGGACGATACAGTAGACCCTCGTCCTCTCGCTTTCCTCTTGGGTTCCAAGTTCTCTCATCTGTAGGACCGCGGTCAGCCCCGATTTCTTGGGAGGCGATCACCGTTGACAGCACGTGTCATGTGCTTGCAGCGGCATTTCATGAGGATTGGACTCACCAAGTCATATTGATTCGGGCTCATATAGAACTCAGTCTCACATGGTCCGAGGGTGGTCTTGACCTCGAAGAGCCATTCCAGCGGTGTCTTGAGCCTGTCAGCGTAAAGACATCAAGAGGGCACGCGTTTGGATTAACATTACCTGTGACAGGTTGTCTGAATCTCGGTACCACGGAGGATACCAGTCCTGGAATACATCGCTCACCGTGGTCCACGAGTCTAAGAATTGAAATTCGACACTCTTGCCCTGGTGGCAGAACACAATATCCGCCGTCTCTGGTCCACTGCGCCGGGTTACGTGTCGGTAGGATTCGTGTGCTTGCACAAGGTATCTGATGTTGCTCTGCCAATTCTGCAGTCCGAACTCATCGCCCAGCATGTGTTTGAGCATTTCGTACACCTGTATATTTAAGGTTAACGACCATGTTGTACCTTCAAAGGGAGGAGATGTTGAACTCACAAAGAGCTCACCGGCCGCGCCCAATCGGAAATTGCTGAGCCAATCATTACCAAACAGGTTTGGACAGTCGTTAGGGTCGAGAACCGGGTGGTCAAGCACAAGACCGGCCAAATCTGCGGCCAAGTCGTCAAAGCTACCAGCCTCGTCATTGCGCCGATGAAGCGTGTTTCCGCTTTTCGACGCTTGTCTGTGGACATGCTCGATCACCTTCCAGTAATCCGGAGCATCGATCTCATGCTGGATCTCTACCGGTAGAGCTCGATATGGCTGTCGGTGGCTCCCGTGAATAGGGCTCACGACAACGTTTGGTTCGTCATCAGCCAAGTCTGAGGTCTGCGAGGCTATAGGTGCTGGTGCAGGTACTGGTATAGGTGCTGGACGGCAGGTTTCTGGCAGCCATGACACTCGTGAGATACCCTCCTCAAGGAGGATGTCGTCTGTGCCGGTGTCCAGCTCATTGATAATTCGATATATTTGCTTCTCCGCCCTAGAGTCAAAGATGTCGAGGAGCTCCGACGCGATATAGCCTGGGAGTTGCCAGCGCATGCACTGCCTAGTTGCTCTTTCTTCGGCGGGAAGCGTGATTTCAAGCCTATTGTGTTCGTAGTTTGAGACGAGAGAAGGCCTGGAGGTGGGGACCTCGACTGGTTGTCCGTCTTGCGTGACGACAAGGCAGGTCAACATCTCAGAGGAGGTGTGAATGACCGCATTTGCCAGGGCGTCATATAGGAGTCTGCTCTGGTTCGAGAAGAGTGCACTGCGGTGCGCTATGGCGCAACTGCAGCAAGCATGATCAGCTCCTGTTCCAACCACGAGAAACTCGGGGTTATTACCATGAAATAGGATAGGCACATTCATGAAACCGAGCCATGAGGGTATAGCTCGGCGTCGAAACAAGCGCCGAGGTCTTCAATTGCACATGTCGTGCGAGGTAGTGGTTGTCCAGACCCAGAAGACGAATCAGATCGTGCAACGAGTTCACCTGCTCATAGGTGAAGTCAAGCATAACCAGCTTGTCTTTAAACGCACGAGCGTACATTTCGTCGTCAACAATGAAGAATGTTTGTGACTTCGAACGGAATTCGGTAGCCCCGGAGATGGATCTACAAGGTAAGTAGGCGCATTCGTCGAGTACTTCCATGCTGCTCCTGAATTGCGATCCATTACTGCCCCTATCCAGCAATTCCGAAACAGCCAGCATAAGCTTTTGGATGCCGTCGACCGTCTTTGTGTTACTCTTAGCAGCTGTGGCGAGCTGTTTCATCATAAACGTTAGAGTGACTGTCTGGACCCCAAGGACTCCTACAAAGAACTCTTGTAACTCTGAATACGTGGCGGCAATTGGAACGTGGTTGCTGATATCCATGGTGGAATGCCAAACGCAAAATTTCGATTGCAGCCAGTCATTGTTGCGAGGATTATAGATCAGATTCTTTTCCTTGAATGAACGCCTGCAACTGTCAGCATGCGCGCATCCATCTCACCGTGAAGTCGACCAACCTGATGGTCTGCCCCTGCTCCAGAGTGGCACTCATGTGAGCGAGATGGTTATACACTTTTGAAACAGTGGTTTGCAACTCCTCATTAGTCTCATGCCCATGTGAGTCCCTCAAATACTCAAGCTCCTCGATCAAGCATTCCACCGATACGCTTGGGACTTGGAGATGGGTTTCGAATAGGCCGGAGACCGTGTCCTTCTCATATGCCGAAGTTATCACGAACTTGCGATGGAGGACAATGTGGCTTTCCCATACACATTGATCGATGGTCCGCCACACATTACCGGTGGGATCCCAAATAAGAGGGTGGTTCTTGAAATCGTCCTAGTGGTTGTCAGCCAGGGTTTCAGTCAATAACTCCCCACGAACCTGAATAGTCTTTCGATCCTCTAGAGTTGCTAGATTAGCCATCTCTTTGTAAAGCTGTCCCAGCTTCATTGGCCCGACTGTCGGTGGCTGCCCTGTGGCAGAGAGTAGTGAAATCGCTCGGCGATAAAACCACAAGTCAAGGCTGTAACGTACACCCAAGTCTCTTAAGGCTGGCCATTCGGAGATCAAATGTTCCTGAGGATCAGGTAATGACAGTATTGGGAGTCGGTTTTCCACGCCATATTTCCGCGCCACGGACAGAATGTCTCGAGTTGGAAACCAGCTTTTGGAAAGCTCTTCAGTCCCACCGTGTTTACAAAGCACATGGCGCTTCCGGAGCACTTCGTCCAGTTTTGAGTTGAACCGACACGTACCGCTGTACTCTTGCGCCCAATAAGTTTGGATCACAGATAAGAACAGAATTGAATCCCGGCCGTGAACGACATCAAGTATCCAGTGTAACTTCTCGCGACTTGAGGGATCTTGAAGAGGTGGATACCAACGTACACCGGCAATTTCAACCAGCCACTGCTCCCAGGTCTTACCGCCACGGGATCTAGTTGCGACCTTGGAAGACTGATAAATTTGGTTCAAAAAGTGCTCGCCATAGTTTGGATTTTCATCGAGGCGTACCAGACACTCTGCGTGGTATTGCTCACGTGAACGCATAAACAACAATTTTGTTGATCCATAGATCCCTCCAGAAGTCGAGGCCTTGAGCTCGTCTCGAACATTCAAAGGGTACGAAAACCAAAACAAGAGTTCCAACGAACGCAGTAAGTCAGAGATATACCTAGTCCCAGACTTTGTCATTCTTTCGGTGATAGCAGTGCAGATCTTGACAGAAGAGGCCTGTCGGACTCCTAGGGCTAGATACGTCTCATGTCGTTTGGGCGCTGTAGCTGCTTCTGGTTGAAGGACGACAAGATCAACGTCAGTGGGCATCTCGAGGAGGATACATTCAGGACCAGTGCCTTCGTTGACCACGTGGGGGAAGAAGATGTTTGGACCGGCGCGGTGCCATTCCAGCGCTCCACCAACCCTGACAGGGATGATAGGCATATCATGAATCCTTTTCCTGTAGCCTACATTGCCGAGGGCTAGCCCTTTGTTGATGAATGTCGTGAATGTGTCATGCCAGGCATCATGTAGTGGCCGAGAGCGTAAACGCGAGTCATTACTTTGGAGGTCATCTTCAATCAGGTCGAAAGCGTCGTTGAAGTTCAGCCTTGAAGTGCCAAGGTCAAGCAACGCAGCATGATTGGATGTTTTGTATTCTTTTGATAAAAAGGCCCAGGCTTGTCTGGAATCTGACATGAGGGCTTCAGACTGATGGGTGAAATCGGATGTCAGTATGCGGAGTCGGCTCGGCTTGTGTAAGGAACCATCCATCGAGAAGAACGACTCTTCCTCCTTCAATATCTGCCGTATTGAAGCCGATAGAGGCTGCAAAAATCCAACCATGGGTCTAAGTGGAATATAGGCAAGCCACTCATAAGACAGCATTCTTTTTTCAAGAACCAATCTCTTTGCGAGCGTGCAGAATAGGACCGCAATCTTGTTCCTTAACGCTTTGTTCCAGGAGTTGTCCGAAATGGCTTGCCTACTGCCAGTCAGGATGAAGTCTGCGTGTACCAAAAAAGGTAGCTCTTTTATCTGCACAATAGGCAGAAATGCAAAGACAAATTGACCTTCTTCATGAAGGAGCGGGGAGCCATCATTTGGAGCCGAGATTGGGAGACCAATTCTGATATTAGAGGTAGTCTGGGTGCGTTCGATGTTTCGGGGCATGTCCGTCGCTTGGCCGTCGAGGATTCGGTAGAAGTATTCCGTGGCTTTCGCAGCCTCTCGTGAAACGATCGTCATAATGTTTCGGTCCACATCGACAGACTTTTCGAAAGAGACCGTCCCATTTTCGGCTCCAGGAATGTCGAAGCACACGGAAAGCTTCTTGATTTTGCGCAAAGCAAAGATAATACTTGGGTGCAAAGATCTCATCTGGGCGCAAAGAGTTTCCAGTCCGTCATTTTCGCAGAACGAAAGTTGAAGGCGGAATCTGGTGCGAACATTCTCTGGCAGTTGCTCGCCAGGCTCCCAGAAGGGCTGAATCATGCCGATTCCATCCTCCTCCCGTTGATGCCTGAAGCGAAAAGACCACAATCCCGAGGTAATGTGCACTTGGTCTGCCACTCCAAAGACAGATTTGAAACCAAATCCCTTTTCTCCAGTAGAGTTTTGATCATGTGTCTTAGAACTTTGACCAGTGCTACAAATTGCTAGCACATCCGACAAGGAGAAGCCGTCTTCGTTGAGGTCGACAATGAGCTCTCTTTGAGAGATGGTAAAACAAATGGTGGGTGTATCGCCACACCGGAGGTACCGGGCGTCATCCGCATTCTGGAGGAGTTCATAGAAGAACCGAAATGGGTCGTCATAAAGCTGGTTGGAGATCCTAAAAGTGACCATGAGAAAGACTCCTCCCAGTCTGAAACTATACCCACATCTTGGTGAATTGAGCCAACACCTTGCGTGACTTGCTTGCCATCATAGTAATCTTCTTCCGGAAGATTTCCGAGCCCGCTTTCCGCAGTTGATCATCATCTTCATCATCGAGGTCTCCGTGCCCAGCTCTAATGCAAGTGAGGATATTCTTAACATCCTGTTCGTCTTTCGGCTCACTCAATGGCCTGTCATACAACTTCTCGTAGAATTCTGAAAGCTCTGGGTCGATCATGTTGGGAGCGAGGTGGACGTTCTCGTTGACAGAGTTGGAAGCAGTCAGTTGGCGGCAAGCAGGCTCTCAAATGCGAATCGAAGATGCAAAGAAGATAGCGGAACTGATCAAAGAGGCAGAGCGCTGGGGCTAAAATTAGCCGCCAGTTGCCAAAGGGGCTGCTGATGTACATCGGGGCAGATAGCAAGGCAGATAGCAAGGCAGCATTCCAAGCAGTTAAAGTAGCAAAGATGTTGCACGCCATGTCATGTCGCGTAGCGAAACCGGCCTTGCCAGGGTGGCAAATGCTGTTTACATAGCACCCTGGCAATAGGACAATTCAATGTCTCCTCCAGACGGTCACGGTTTTTGTTTTCTGGGACTTTGACCTCGTGTCTTTTATGATCCAACTTTTATGAGCTGAGATGCAGTATATGTCGATGCTGGGGATGAGGACATGTATTGATGTCTAGGTAGTTTGGGTCTATCGGCAACCAAACGGAACTTTCGTCTGGCGCCTGTAGATGCCGTCGCGAGGAAGCTGAGCCGTTCATGCCGACGGCGTTGGGGGCTGTTTCACACATGGCGAACCCTGCAGTAGTGTGCATTAGCTGTTTTAGCAGTACATTAAGCGCCGTTCACTGACGGGGGAACATCGTGTCAACAGCATGTTGCGATGCTTGCGAGGACTGCGTACTCAGCGCAATACTCAAAGGCGGTGATGCAGGTGGCCTTTAATAATGTGTAACTGGCAAATTGCAGGAGGAAGATGTGCCTGCTTTTGGCCAGCATCGGAAAGCGTGCCTTTCTCCAGACTCCAGCTACTACACTTCGCTCTGGTGGAGTAGGTTGTGTTCCAGGGCGCCAGTGGTCGTGTAGATTCACAGAAGACTGTTTGCAAAAACCTGGATGCAGAGGTGACGGGAAGTTCAACGGCTATATGACTTGATGGGCCGCGCCATCTTCGAGACGCTGCGGAGAGAAGTTCTGGGGCGGTTGGAATGCGCCGCCACGAAGAGCTGGAGCGGAGCTCATCGATGATGGATAAATATCGCGCCTGAGCACTTTAGGAGTCGTATATTTCTTGCCTTCAACGAGAGAACACTGTAAAAGGCCTGCAATGTCCCATGAAATCACTTGTCAATATCTGCATACTCTTTATGCTCCGCACGGATGACCGCACGCAAGAGACCATATTGGGGCATGGTACGTTTGCTCGGCCAAATGCTTTGCGATGCCCGGCCAAATGCTCATTTTTAAGGCTTAATGTCACGACTGATAGAGACCTTTATCTACTATAGTGCCTAATATTCGCCTAGGATTGGCGAGATATTCCGTCTTTTTGCCGCAAGGAAGGGAATCGAGGCACTATCCTGACAGAAGGGTTGAGTTTGAGCTTCGGAGGTGCCGCTTGCTAGCCCGGTAGGAATTTGGAGCGAGGGGGTTGAGATTGTGAACTTGGTCGCCGTTGTGGTGAAAGCCTAGGAGGACGAGTTATATGCGTGGTTTGGCACTGGACGCAGCTTGTTGGTTCCCGACTCGTACTCCACAGAACTAAGTACGAGGTACCCACGAGTATGCAGATGACTCGGGAACGAAAAACCTAGTTGTCGTAGATGGATTGATCTTCGAGGTTGAGCGGAGGCTGCTTTAAGCGCTCCTAAGTAAATACACTTGAAGCCCAATATAGCGCCTTGTGATCGGCTACGATTGCCTCTCAGCTAGCATCGAGACATCTAAGGTCTCGGCCGATACTCCAGTTTGCATAAGCATAGTCGATTGATTGTTGTCATAGAGGCCAAGGAGAGTTGGGAAAGGCCTGTCAAGTGTATAGAAGCAGGGTGATTATTAGGAGTATGATATAAGTTGGTTCGTTGCGTAGAGATAGGTACCTTAGAAGGTATGACATGAGCCATTGTCTTGCACATCAGTGTTGCGGGCTGCAAGGGGTTACAATTTTGGCACAGGCGCGATGGTCCCTCGACTGCTTACACGACCCCTGGAAGAATGCCGGTACTCCGTCTCGTACCCTGAAATGCTCTCGATTGCGAAGTTTCCTTCCTCGCACGGGACTCGGACGTGACTTCAAGAGATCAGAATCTCGCGGATCTCCATGTCCGGCATGTGCTTGAAGAGACGCTGAGGAAGGGGCGGAATGCCATGTGCTTCCGCGGCCAAACACAGCTCAGTGTACCGCCTGGATTGTAGGTCTCCTTGCAAGTCGCTGCCTTTAGGCTCAGATTCTTCTGCTTGTACTTCAGAGAATCGGTAGACCTCTGCCACACCAACGCGGAAGACGCTGCCTTCCCGATGTTCGACTATCAAGAATTTATCATATTTCACTTGACCAGGAGCTGATTTTACTAGGATGAGTTCCCAATGTTGATTCTCAAATCGCTCAGCGATAATATCATCTTCCAGCACCTCAGATATCGAGAGGTATGCCAGCCGTCCTGCAATTCGCCAACCCGGCAACGTCATCACGTCTGGGAGAACGTGATTCGTGGCGGGGACAAAGCCGCTAATGCTGAGGTATTTGGGTTGGGCTTTCAGTATTTTCTGAGTCTTGACTTCACGGAATAGAGAATCCAGGGTCACGAGCTCTCCGGAGTTGAAGCCGAACGCAACCTTTATGTGCGACGAGCCTCTGACATCACCCCAGAGTGTTTGACCGGCCCATCCCAACCATGACCATGAAGGGAACATGGATCGTCGTCGAGTTTTATCACCGTAGTAGCGAAACAAAAGGCTATGCGTAAAAGAGTGATGGAGCCTGTCAGGATCTTCCGGTGCATCTTCGAATGGAAGACCTAAGATCTGGTACACACCAGAATCTGCGAGGCGTGCTGCAATCCCTGCGAAAGCGTTGAAAGCGTCCTCGTCGCGGCCAAGGTGTCGTTTACTATATTTTTTTATGATTTCGCAATAATAGTCCACGTCGAACTTGGTCTCCGGATCCCTTGAAATGATACTGTCATACATGTGGTTCGCCACATCAGCCAAATCAAACTCGCCCTGCACTTCGATAACTTCAGATCGTTGCATACATCGACATTCGAAATAGACTTGGTCCTCGGTGAAAACTAGACATCGGCGCGATAGCAATGCTTCTTGACATGTCCAGCCTCGCGTGTTCCATTTGGATTCTGCAATAACTTGGTCGACGAATGCCATTCCATACCAGACTTGAATCCCGCCAATTCTGGCCACTGGCTGAACTCGGCGTGGCGTCGATCCCACCCCGGGTAACCCGAAACTGGCGTCCTCCCCAGCAGCAGCTATTATAGTCAATGACGCTCCACCGAATATGGATGACATTTGACGGATTTGCTCGGCCTTTCTTTCGGGAGATTTTTGATCAATGCAATATCTGTCAACCCAAAGGTAAGGTATGTTCAGCTGCCTAGTGACAGTGATTGCGTCAAGGATCGTGTTTGGAACAAGCTGAGGTGATTGGAGGTCTGCAGCCCAGTCTCGGGTGTCCCCAGAGTTCGCTGCGCCATCGCTTCCCCAAACATAACTGAGGGTAGTGTAAACGCAACCGTCAGGGGCATCGACAACAACCCGCGATTTCACATCAATGACCTTCATCCCCGCCGGGATATCTCGAGCCTTGCAGGTATCACTATGCGTTATCTCGCAAACCTTAAGCCAACTAACAGCAGCCTTCGGGTCAAACATAGCCGGGATGAGCTTGGGTTGGAACACTTGGTTTCTGTCCGAGCTGACCTCAGAACAGAAGACCCAACCGATACCCCATTTGATAGATTCTTGGTAATACCAGTCTGGGGCATTGTCGATGGTCATGCAAATGAAGTCGAGGTTGGGTAAATACTCGCCGCCAGGTTTGTTTCTATTTGAGGACTTTTGAATGCTCCATAAAAAAGACATGAACCCAAGGCGAGCTTCTTCCTGTAGAAACGTTTTCCGCCTCTGCACTTTTTCTTTCGCGACAGCAAACACTCGACACAGGGCGCACCCGTTCCGTGCTAATTCGTCGACGTTGTCTGGCAGTGTCGCTATAAACCGTGGCTTTTCATCTTCGAAAAGTTCTTCACAACTCTGACGGACAATGCTGCGAAGATCTATCGTTTTGCAAAAATCACAGAGCGCGTCGTCTGTAGTACTCATCTCGTCGTTGCAATAAAAGGCCATAGAATTTCAAAAATGACACCGTATACTATCAGACACAATTGCGAAAGCTCGTTCTCGTCGTGGATATCTGGAGGCTGAGCCGCGGCGGGGGAGTGGGATTTGGGCTGCGTGTCTGCTCATGCAGCGAATAGCAGGTGCAGAAGTGGCCATGTTACCCACGCCCCGGATAGCGCGGCAACTAGCTGTATTTCCGAAGGATGTCGAAATCGTGCACGCGAGCCTCAGGACCTCGAAAGTGCGTTTGCCCGTGATGGGAAGCTCGACATTCAGGACCATATGTGGAAAAGTATCACTCAGGCTGTCTCAGATGGAATTCGATAGAATCACGAGTTCTATACACCGCTGAGGAGCTGCAGAGATGAATTCGGTATGGCTCTCTGGTATTCCAGAAATTAGGGGGAGGAATTCCGCGTGGAAAGCTCAATGATGAGCGTTACCTTAATGTCTTATCCTTTCCCTTTGTGGTAACGAAAGACCGGTGGAAGTAAGAGAAAAACGTGAAAAGACTAAAGTAGGTCTCTCGAGATGAAGGATGCTGGCCGCTGCCTCTGGCGAATCACATTCAAGCCCACATTGATCGGGAGGAACTCGACGACGCCCTACGACTCTGAATACGCTCAAGGGAAATACTTGTCTCTCGTGACGAATACCAGGAGCTTGAACTTCCATTAGACTATAGACTTCAGTACCTAGACGGATAAAGCCGCGCGTCTAGTCAGAGAAGAGCAGCTTTTGGTCGGACTTTGAATGGTTCACTACGGGAATACTATTTTCCATTCTCATATTGTGTATCATTGTCTTTGTGGCCTCGAGGAGGAGCAGCATGTTGAACCCACGCAGAGAGTCGTGGTGGCGGACCGGACAGCGAAAGTATTTTGTCATCACGCCGAACGATGAGGCTTGGAGCAAAGCGAGATGATGTTGCACAAGACTGGTACGTAGATATAGTGGGCTTCGAATACACCCTTCTCGTGTTCGAAGGAGAGATTCTTCAGTAACGCGCCCTGTCCTGTGGATGAGCCGTAGCCTGATCCCTGAGCGGCGCGCCGACGACGTCGAAGCTGATTTTCCGCGTCACATATCTGAGATCCTCGGGATCCATATTGCGGCTGTTGACGCCAATCTCGTCCATGCTGCTTCGCTCGGGATACCAGAAACACCTACGGGCCCCAGTCAGGCTTGGGAAATCAGGCAGATTCGCTCTCCGGCTTAGAAAGCTCACGCAAAGAGGCGACGATTACGTGCATAGGTGGGAAAGTCTTACATGCAGCCACAGTTGTCACAGAAGTTGAAGGAGATATCCCGATCCCCCCAGACGTATTTCTTTACATCGCCAGCTTTGTGCTTGTTGATGGTGACCTCTTCGGGCTTGTAGTAGATCCATGCAGCTGCATAGCGACGACAGAGAGTGCATTGGCATTCGTTGATCTCCTTCGGCTGATAAGGGACAATCACTTCGATCGCGCCGCAGTGGCAGGTTGATTTGAGCGGTGAGCTGGGAGATGGGTCCGCCATGTTGAGCACACCGTAGAATGGACAGTGATCAAGAGGAAGTTCTGAATTGCAGCACTTCTCGCTGACTTTTCGACAAGACCGCTAACTCCGATAAGGCTGGCTGACTAACCACATATTCATTGGTCCACAAGATCAGATGAGATAGAGTATAGCTACCCGTGTGCATACATACAGTGGGGCAGGGATCAATGGGACTGACGGTGGAGACGCTACAGGGATGGATTTGCAGGGGCGGGTACGAGATATAGTATGTATGACGATGACCTCGAAAGTCGCCGCGGTAGAGGGGTAGAATTCATCCGTCGTCGACACAGGCAGCTCTTCATGGTTGATCTCGGGATGGAGAATTCGTCCGGCGATGCGGAGACTTTTCTCCTCCTTTACAGACCATGACCTGGATCTCTTTGCTGATATAAACTGAGCTGACTCTTCTGAACTGAAAGCACACATCTTCTTGATCGCTGAACCCCCAGACCAAGAATGGCCGCGACACGTCCTCGATCGTCAATCCTCTTACGAGGTGGCACGGTGCTCACACACGACGACAATGACAACGTTGTTCCCCTGCAGGACACCGACGTTCTGGTTCGCGACGGTGTCATCGCCGACATTGGAAACAACATCTCCCCTCCCACCAACGACACAGAAATCATAGACTGCAAGGGGAAAATCGTCTCGCCCGGCTTCGTGGACACGCATCACCATCTCTGGCAGACGCAACTGAAGGGAAGGCATGCGGAGCAAGGATTGGTCGTATACATGTATACTGGTAGGGTCGAATCCCCCAGTCACTCGCCCAAATCAAGGGCAACCATTCTGCGCGTGGGAGTCTGTTAACCACAGCAAACTACAGGCAATATGATGTCCTACGCATATACCCCGGAGGATATGTACTGGGGCCAATTGTCGGGCTGTCTCGAGGCGATCCACGCCGGAACCACGACTGTCTTGGATCACGCTCATTGCGCCTACACCCCTGCCCATGGTGAGTCCTGTAGTCCTGCTGACAGTCCATCGATAAAAGGAATATATGACTGAGTGTACCGTCTGAAACAGCCGCGTCGGCTTTGGACGCAACCCTAGACTCAGGTATACGCTGCATCTTCGGATACAGCATTCCCATGCGCATGTCCAAATGGGATGAGTCGCAGTGCATCCCCGATGAAGACCTCCTTCCAGAATGGGCACTGACGCAGATTGCGGAACTGGCTCAGAAGCACAATCGACCTGCCGCGACGGTCGAGATTGGTATGGGGTTTGACTTCTGGTTTCTTCCTCAAGGAATGGTCTTGGAAATGTTTGGAAAGCTGAGGAAAAGCGGACTAAGGGTGCTTACCACGCATGTTGGTTGCAATGCCTTTATGGGTGAGTGCTGCTGCAGACTCTGCTGAACTTCACGGCTCCGCCACTTGCAGTCCTGTGATAAGGCTGGGTCGCTTTGCTGGTGGTTTGGATTCGACAGAGCATCCCTGATGGGCTAACTTGAGACCTCCTCGCTATTCACCTAGGCTGACCCCCTTTGATCCTTCAGGTCTCCAATCCGCCATTCCCAAATTCCAATCATACAAACTCCTCCGCGCGCCCTATCCACCATCGGACACTGCACCGGGTATGCCTTTCCTACTTCTCTCGCACTGCAACGGTCTACCCCAGGAGGACCTCTCCCTCCTCGCGTCTACCAGCACCGCAATCTCAAGCACACCAGGCACCGAGGCCCAGATGGGCATGTCCTACCCAGTCGCACTGGACCCGGCGCTGAAGCACTCTGGCAGCGCGAACGTGTCCCTCGGCGTAGACTGCCACTCGAACGACCCGTCTTCCATCCCGCTCCAAGCGCGCATGCTGCTCCAGCTTGCGCGGGTTGAGAAGAACGCCCGTATCCTCGCGGATGGGAAGTTTCCGTCCCGAGACGTTACCGGCACGTCGGAGGACGTATTCAACCTGGCGACCATCCGGGGCGCACGATGTCTCGGCCTGGACAAGGACATTGGAAGCATTGCGCCAGGCAAGCGGGCCGATCTGCTCGTCTTCGACGCACACGGCAGCATCGGGATGTTGAGCGCGGCGGAATATGATCCCGTCGTGGCGGTCGTGCGGTTCAGCGAGGCCGCGGATATCGAGTACGTCCTCGTCGACGGCGTCGTGCGCAAGAGGGCGGGGAAGCTGGTTTCTACGCGTGTTGGCAGCCACACTGGTGAGAAGACGGGTGGAGTGAGGGACATGGAGTGGAGCGGGATCGCAGAACAAGTCCGACGCAGTCAGAGGGAGGTCCAAGGCCGCATCGACGGACTCAGCCTCGAGAAGGCCAGGGATATGATGCTGAGCACCTATCACACCGACCTGGGCAGGCTGGTGGATGCCGAGTAAGGGATGCGTAGGGAATCCTGGCTTTATCTAGATCACGGGTGCACACATGGCTAAAATTCCGTAGGCATCGATGAGGTTGAGGTATTGACACACCGAGTCCCGTGTTCCGGATGTGACCATCATGAACACCGTCAAGTTCGCCAGGAATGGGAGGACCTCTGCATAGAGAAACGCGGGACGTTCGAGGGACCTTTTGGGGTCTGAGCCCCTTGATGCCAAAAGTCCCCGCCGTTGTCCCCCTGCCAAGCCGTGTGAGTTCGTCCCGGCGTGGGGGCGAAATGACCATATTTGCGAAGTCGCATCGCCTTTTTTCCTTTCCATTTATCTTGAAATCCATTTCAATGTACAGCATTCCCCAAGATGCGAGACGCTGACTGCCTTCTATCCTTTCGTCCCGAGCAACAGCACAACTGGCCCCGCGCGGCACTGTCCGAAGCTTGTACAGTCTCCCCTGACTCTTCAGCCTGATCACTTCACGAGACTGGCCACCACAGGGCCGAGAAATGAGGCTCATCAATACCCAGAGCCTCGAACTAGAGGAGTTTATAGGGGGAACTGTCCCGCCCTACATGATTCTTTCCCACACCTGGGCCGAGAACAATGACGATGAAGTCTCATTTCAAGACATGGGTTCACCCAGCCGCGTGTTCAAACCGGGCTACGAGAAAATCACTCACGCTTGCCACCTCGCATCCGATCAAAATGTCGGCCACGTCTGGATCGATACCTGCTGTATCGACAAGTCCAGCAGTGCGGAACTCACCGAGTCCATCAACTCGATGTTTCAGTACTACCGGAGGGCCGTCTCGTGCCTTGCCTACCTGGAAGATCTGGGCCCGAGCGATGACTCGCTCCCGGAGTGTCGCTGGATGACTCGTGGATGGACACTTCAAGAGCTGATAGCGCCAAAACACGTCGAATTCTACGACAAGAACTGGCGGCACCGAGGCACGAAACTCGACTTCGCAAAGGCGATATCCGAAGGCGCCAACATCCCAGGGCCGGTCCTGTCGGGGGACAAGAAGCTCGAAAGCTGCAGTGTGGCTGAGCGGATGTCTTGGGCGGCCGAGCGGAAAACCACCCGGGTCGAAGACATGGCGTACTGCCTGCTGGGCATCTTCGACGTCAACATGTCGTTGATCTACGGCGAAGGCCCCAAAGCTTTCAGGCGCCTGCAAGAAGAGATCATCAAGCGGAACAACGACCCGACCATTCTGGCATGGGGCGTGTCATCGCCGCACTACGGCTCGGTCTCGGGCGTACTGGCCGATTCGCCAGCCGTGTTCAAGGACAGTTCATGGATTGTCCCCAACGACGCGGATTTCCCAGAGTTCTCAATCACCAACAAGGGCCTCTTGATGTCGTCCAGGTCCAATCTGATGTTTGCCGCCCGCCCAAAGCTCCCCGGGGCTGAATATGACGAAGATCTCGAACGCCATGATCTGATTGTCATGTATTTCCTTGTCCTCGGCAAAGGTACTGAAGAAGATTCCGTGAGTGGGATCTGCTTGCGCAAGGTCGGGTCGGAAACTTTTGTGAGTCGTCGGCGCCTTCTCGAGCTCTTGCCTTTCGTTTTCTTTTCTTCTACTGTCCTTAAAGAGATGTTTATTTCCGAACTGTGTGGGCCGTCAAACTAATTGGGAAACTCCTCTCTGGCAGCATCGCGAGGGTCAAGTCGTGGTGGTTCCAACCTTTGCTGATCCATCCCTTTACTCCCACCGGAACTGGCCCGAACTCCAGAACTTTTACATCCTCATCGATATCAGCGTCAATCTGCCGGATGCCCTGGCCGCCCCGAGGAGAGAGGCAATTCACGTGCCAGACGCTGCTGACCTGCATTCTCCTCAGCTTGAGTGGAGTGCGCCTGAGCGTTTGTGGGATATGACCGACAACGTCTTTTTGAGGACGTATTCGTTGTCCTATCCCCGGTTTTCATTGGTTCTGGCATTGTGGTTTCAAATGCAGGTGCAGGAGACAGAGCTCAAGTTTATCGTCCTATGCGAGTACACCGGCCAAGGTCCTTCGTGCAAGCTGCTGAACGTGACGGACAGCTTCGACGCGTCGTTGAAGACTCTGCTCATGCAAGCGCGAAGTTATCAAGACTGGCTGTCTTGGGAAGCCCTGAGCGCCCAGGCGCCCGTGATCAACACGCTGACCCGTCACGAGTCCTTTCGTGTGGCGGACGGATCAATCTCGATTGCAGCCCGGTTTGAGAAAACCGCCGTCAAGCTCCACGCTACACAGGCCGAAGTCTACAGCCTCAAGTTCGAGGTCAAACACAAAGGGAGGAACGATGTCATTGCCAAAGCGCTGCCCAGAGACAGCCTGCCAAGTGAGACAGCGAAGGCGCCCATTCGGTCATGGGTCCGTTCTACGTTGTCCACCTTGCGTAGAGCCCCGAAATCTTGAGCTGCGAGGAGAGTCTGAGATGATCCTACAAACGGAGCTGCCCCCTTGAGGGCAGAGCCTACGCTCCCTGAGCGGTCACTGACTCCGCCCCCCTTTGGAGACGGCAAGGGAACCGAAAAGGTAGAATTACAACTGACTATTCCTCGTCTTCTCCCTCCTCTGCCGCAGAACCACACTGTCGACTCGCCTCCCAGAGCCCGAACTCAGATCCCACTCAGAAGAAGGAACGAAAACCAGTCCTGCCTTGTTACAGACAAGATGGATCTGAAGGGATTTGAGGTGCGGTCTAAGGAATGAAATTCCACCACATTTGTCGGACGTCTCATCACTTGTGTCTATCAGGAAGCGCTGCTCCCTGTGGCATCTCTCCCGGGACAATGCCTCGGAGGCGAATGCTGGCCCTGACCGAGGCTCCACCACCAACGTCGAATTTCTGCTGGAGGGTCTTGTCGGGCGCCTCCGCCACACTCGCAAACGGGATGTCGACGGCTCCGATCTCCTTCTCGCCGTTCAGAAGCGCGATGCGGAAGTCGTCCGGGCTGCTGCCTACTAGATCGGTGGTGATGGGGAGTCGGAACGCCTGGTCGAAGGCAGGATTGCTGATGTCGGTGCCGGGCGCGTCGGTCTTGACGGCGGTCTGGAATCGGTGGGCCGTGCCCCACGTCACGACCACGCTCGGCTTCAGGTCTTCGCGCGGGCCCTTGATGCCGAAGGCGCTTGCGACGAGGATGGTGGCCATCCCGGAGAGGCGGCCGTCGCCCTTGTGGTCGGACGCGGTGAGGCTCCCGGCGTCGGCCACGTACTTGAAGAATGCGCACGAGATCGCGACCCTGCCGTCCGTTTCCTCGCCTTTGTGAACCAGAGGCAGTTCTTGGCTGCCTCCAGCCACCAGAATCTCGCGGACGGTGGTCACCGCCAGACCAACTTCATCATCTCCGTTGACGTCTTCGTCCAGCACGTCCACCTTGATGCACTGGTCGAAATCACTCACCACAAAGTCGTGCGTCTCGTTCCACGACGGCCTGTTCGTGTTGTTCCTGGTGGCCGTCTTCCACGACTCCTCCCCGCCCACGTCGACCTTGGCATAGCAGTCAGGAGCGGCACGAGTCAGCTTGTTGAACAACTTTCGCGTGGACGACTTGGCCTCCTCTCCAAAGCCCCACGCCTTCTCCACGGTCACCCGCACCATGCCAAGTGGGTAGTGGTACGTTTTGAAGTAGTCGGCGTTGGCGTCGAGCTTGACCAGGAATCGGTTGGGGAGTGTGAACATGGAGTTGATGATGCCGAGAATCACGCTGCGGACGGTGTCGTCGATGAGGGAGAAATCGGCCACGTTGGCCGCGCCCGTGAAATCAAGCTTCAGAACTGGTGGGTTGATGAATGAGATCTGGGCGGCTCCGATCTGCCATTGAGTGTCAATAGGAGGGGGAGAGGGCGGCAGTGGGCCGAAGATCTGCGTACCAGTGGTATGACATTTGTGAGAGGGCATAGCAGTATGGAGAGCCTGCCATGAAGCTGCACGCTTTTGACGCCCTAGATTTTAAATCAACGGAACAGTCACCCTAGTTTGGTCGCGGAAGCCGGCCACTCACGAGGGCAGGGATCATGTCTGCGTCCATTTCAATGTCGGCCTTGCCCACCCAGTCGACGTTCAGGTCGAGCTTGATGCCGTGTTCCTCGCTCTTGGTGGTCTTCGCGTTCGACAGCCGCAGCGGGACCGGGCCGAGATCGATCTTGGTGAAGTGCAGGGTGGCCAGGGGCCCCGGCAGTATCGTCTTGAACATGGGCTCCACGATCTCCTTGACCATCTTGCTGCCCGCGGCGTTGATATTGGGCCACAGCTGCTTGACGATGTCGTTCAAGAACTCTGTCTGCAGCTTAGGGCACCGGCCTCACAAACCCCCAAATGCAGCTTTCCATATGGCTCTTACCTGCGGATTCACCGCCCCCTTCGGCAGTCAGCTTTTCGACGAGGCCCGACATGGTTCTTGCAACTGCGCTGTTAATTGACGGTTAGAACTAGGTATTCAGAGTCCTTGAGTCAGTACCATGGTGTGAGGAAGGCGGGGCTGTATTGCTTCGCAGCTGGAAGCAAACAAGCAAACAGCGACCACGAATAGTTGGCATATGACGTAATTCATTCAGCTTGGTGCCACGACCGCGAGACTGGCTCGAGTGGCTCGACTGTTCTGGCCGAGTCCGTGGCATGTCACCACGATCCACACGAGGTAGTCGTTGCCGCTCTAGGCGTCCGTCTATGCGTACGAGATCGATCAGCGGAGAGGCGACTGGAGTGACTCGGGCTGCATCTAGCAACATCTCCTCTGTAGAATATGCCCTGTGCGAACCTTATGTCTCCACAATCCCGTTCCGTTTCCAGACCTGAACATCCTGCCATTTAAGCGGGCCTGCTTTGAGCTGTGGCTGTGCAATCCTGAGTGCCGCTTGATGGGCTCTCACTGCATAACCTGAGTGGCTGGACACGTGGGTCTTGGTTTTGGGCATCGTGCATGCTTCGGAGGGCCTGCTTCCGTCACCTCTCGACCGATTGTTGTTGTCGCGAATCCCTCGACGCCAGTTTGTCGGTCAAGGTCCCTGGAACAGAGTAGGTCGCTGATGCCAAATCGATGATGACGTTGCGCTCTGTCCCCTTTGCAAAGGTTGGAGGAACCGGAGACGTGTTATGACCGTCAAGAAGGGTGAAAACGAGGCTGCAGAAGGTTCCTCTGCTTTCCCCAGTCCACAGCAACCGGGCAGACAACTGAGAGCAGAGAATCCTCCTCACTGGTTAGCCTCTAATTCTTGTCGTTAGCGACTCCCAATCATCCAAGCTTCTGTAAAGCAGCTTTGTCCATGAGACGCTTTAGGCGTGGCCCAGTCTGGTGTGCCGGATAATGCTGCCTCCAGCCTAACCTGGGCTTACACCGCTACTTGCCCGCCGTCCAAGTTTGCCAGGCTCCGACTGTCGCTCACAGAAGAAAGAAGGGGGGGACATCCTTCCTCCCTATCGCTCTTTGAATGAACAGCCAGAATCACCACCAAGTTCTAAAACTCGGACGCGCTAGGTGTGCTCTGACTCAGAGAGGCTTCGTTAAGGCCGTGCCACTGTGAAAGGCTGAATCTCAAAAGTGGCCCATAATGTCTGCAATGCCAGGTCCCTCACAGCCGATGGCCGTGTCAAACAACTCGAAAGTGGAAATTCTCCCAAGTGCCTCTGGATCAATCCCGTCCATTGAAGCCGCTCCTTTCGAACCATGTGCTTCCTCGCACGCTGTTTTTCTCTTCGCGCAGGGCTCGACCATCTTATGTCTGCACCATTACACCTTGGCGATACAACGGCGGTTTGAAAAGCACTCGAGAGATGTTCGATGGATAGAGGTCGACAACATCAGCGTATGCCACCCTGGAAGGGTAGTCTTGAGCTATGATGTAGGCCAAACAGCCATAGTCTGGGATTTGGAGACTGGCGATCAAGTTTCTAGGTTTGTATCGTATGAGGCTTTCCAGGTCGCGCAGTGGATGCGAAATGGAAAGGTTGTGTTTGGTAAGTTGGAATCATCATTTTTAGCTATACCTTATTAACATCATTAGGTGATACGAAAGGTCATGTAATACTATTCGAGCCTGGGACAGGTGATCACATAGCGACCGCAACGATATATGAACCTATAACCGCTATTGCTCCATTCGACGACTGCAAGAGATATGCCATTGGGTAGGTGGTCTAGTATAGTCAAATTCTGATTTAATCTCTAATGGCCAATAGATACAAGAATGGTTTGATCTTATTGACAACACTACAACCGGCATTCGCTGTCCTACATTCTCTAGCAGCTTACCCCGAGCTATCAACGGTTATCTCCCTCACATTCCATAGGCCGAGCTCAGAATCCGACAACTATATTCTAGCAGGCCAGACGGCTAATGGAGATCTGAGAGTTTGGGCGATACCCAAACTAGTAATAACGGACACACCTCGAGTTATTCGCCTTGTACGGGGCTCTACTAGCAACACACCTAGCCGACATTGGATATCTTGGTCTAGAAACGGCCGTATCGTTCAATTTTCCGAAGGCAGGATTTGGGCTTGGGATGTTCGAACTAAGGAAGTCACATATGAGGCTATCCCGACCGTCGAGGGGATTAGAGCTATTGCTGCTTATGGACCGACATCGAGGCTTTTTACATTGGGGCCGGACTTTACCGTGCAACAATATGACGTTGAAAGAGCACAATTGGTAGCAAATGTACGACACATGCCAATGGTGATATCTCCAAGAACGTTTGAGGATACTACGCTCAATTCAACAAAACAGCGATGGCGATTATCGAGCGCTGCCGATATTTCTGATTCGGGGCTTGGCTCACCGAAACTGCATCCGCAACGACCCGGCACAACTGAATTTTCCGATTCAGGTTTTGGCTCACTCAGACCGTACGATGGGCGTGAAGAGAGTTCCAATACCTCCGGTGTCCAAGAGACTTCACGTATTGCCAACGAACGGCCTGGACAGATCATGAGCGCGCCGCGAATTCATGCTGCGGATCACGCAGAGCTTCACGAGATTGAGTCTCAGATCTCAAACACACAGGATATTGGATCGCATCTAGAGGTCTTGAACATTCCTGAAATAATGGTCGCTGAAGAGCATTTGACGAAACTGCTGAAGATCAACGAGGAAATATTAAAGATTCTCAACGGCGTTCCGGACATTATGGAATCCTCTCGGCTACAGCGAAATTTGAGTAGGCTTCTCAAGACATTTTACATTGACCTTTTCGCAGAAGCTACTTCAAACTTGAGAAAGTCTACGGCCAATTTACTCCGGAGTCACAATGCCAGACACAGGATCTCTAAGAGCATAGTTGGGAGGTTGAAACGCAGCGAATGTGATCCGTCGAGCGAAGATGACTCGGAGCCGGCGCGACCCATTCACAGGAAATCACTAGCCGACGTGGAGGCGTGGATAAGAAATAATATGGCCTTTTCTGAGCCCATTGCCTCTCTAGACGATGGTACGACGAGCGAGAGCCCGAACAGCCCGGGAGACAACTATTCCGATATCTCTGGAGGTGATGAAAGCGGAAGCCAAGGCGAATATTCCCTACATGAATTGCCTCGTATCTCTCATATGGAGGAATTCGTGCTCAAGGGGCCTGCGTTCAAGAGACTCTTGGCCAACCTTCAGCTATTTGTCATTCCCTCACGATACGCCCAGTTGAAACGAATCTTGATGACAATACCCAAGGAACGGGTGAACTTCTCATATTACATTCATCAGGACTGGCTTAGCAAATGCAAATGCTCTTTGCAGCAGGTATCTACACATCCCTGGGACTGGTGGCCTCTAGACAGTCCGAAAACTAACCTGGACCATGGTATGGTAAGGGTCTCGTGGATATGTGTAAGTCGTATTTGGTCTACTATTGTCAAGATTCTACAGCCTACTAACGTATCCGTGTCAGCACTGTGGGAAGGAGCTATCAGAAGACGTATCCCCGAAAGTGGCCTTTCAGTTCCAATGCTTGCTCCAACACCGGCTGCCCCCATTGGAGACTAATCACCTGTGTCTGAATCGCAAACGCTCACAGCGTTCAATGAAACAAAAGCTGCTATATCTTTGGGGCAGCCTCTATATTCCCCTGACTTGGCAAGGCTCTCACGAAACGGGTTCTCCCGATCCTACTTTAAGGGCTCAATCGAGTCCTTGCTTCAACTGCCCATCATCTACGGGGGACATAACCTCCACTGAGTCCAGTACGAACCCTAAAGGTACACCAACATCCTCCAGGAATCCGGGTCCATCTTCGACCACCTCCAATCAGCAGAGTATTCGTGTCGTCCCAATTGAACCCGATGATCGCTTGCTGGTCCTCCTTGGCGTTCAGGGAACGAGACTGACCGTGGACGTTAAGCAAATGGACGTTAGGAAGAAAAATTCCAACGGCCATCTTATAGACGATGCCGATTTCTTTGTCGACTTGATCCATGCATATAAAGCCCTACGTGGGCGATTACGGCTTTGGTTTGCTGTGTGGCAGTTTCGCTATTGCCACTTCAAAAAGGTAAGGGGCGAGACTTCGAAGAGAACGTTAACAACATCGAAAGAGGAAAATCACTAACAGCAGGAGACGATAATAGTTGAAAAAGTTTCGAAGAAATAGAGTCATCATAGGCGAAGCCAGTATACCACATGATCCAGACTACGAATATGACAATTCACCCACTCCGCCGGCGGAGATGCCTCCAATCTCAGAGCACGAATTCCGGATGTCGTTGTTTCCCTGCCCCCGATTTTGCTGGTGGTCACCCTTCCATGACTGCATCGAACCATTGACCGAAAATCATGCCCTGAAACTGATTCCCAAGAAAAAAAAGCCTCTGGGGTCTGAATTGCGCCGGGCGAGACCACGCTTATGGCTTGGAGACAGTGTACGAGATATCTGTCGCTCACCTCTGCTTTTACCATACACTCATGGGGGTGGGGGCGTTCGTGTTCTGGGCCTGCTGGCAAGCCGCGCATCCGGACGACGTCTCTGGAGCTGGCGTTCCTCTGACGATAATGATTTCTCTACTGTCCGTGTTCTGGACTTCAGCAGGGGTTATAAAGGGTTTGAACGGCGCCCCAGATCGGTGGTGATGTCCATAGTATAGCCAACAATCGCAAAGCCTGGCAAGGCTGGCATCCGGGATACTCGACAAGTCTCCAGCAGTGTATAAAAGGAAGACGTATATATGTATTCCGGCATCGCCTCGACATTACTACACAGCTTTATCGCTTCGTAGCTGGCTTCGTCGAAGCGACAGCTCTGGGTGTGCACGAACATGACCCCCTATGCAGCCATATTAATCAGGACGGTCTTGGGCTCGGTGAACAATCTCAACGCGTACTCCCCAAATTCCCGCCCAACGCCGCTCTGTTTCTTGCCTCCAAAGGGCGCTTGCAAGCTCTGCACGCTGACGCAGTTGATGCCGACGACACCAGTCTCCAGTGCCGAGGACACTCGTAGAGCACGCGAGATATCCCGCGTGAAGACTCCCGACATCAGACCAAACTCGGTGTCGTTAGCCAGCTTCACGACTTCTTCCTCCGTCTCGAACGTCTTGACAACGCTGACTGGGCCAAAGATCTCCTTTCGATAGATTTCGGCGTCGTCCTTTGGGTTCAAAAATACCGTGGGCTCCATATAACACCCCGTCTCGCCATATTGGCGGCCTCCCACCACCAATTCCGCCTCGCCTTTTCCTCGTTCCACCATGGTCTTCACTCGCGCAAGCTGTGACTGATCCACCATGGGGCCCAATTTGACACCGGGATCCTGCGGGTCCCCTAGGTCGTTGGCGGCTTCTTTCATCTTTTTCTTGTATTCTTCGATGAACTTGTCCGCGATAGTCTTTTGGACGTACACTCGTGAAGCGGCGACACAGAGCTGTCCGCTTCGGGTCAAGATCGCGTTGACCGTCCACGTGAGGGCGTTCTCGAGATTAGCATCCTCGAAGATCAACGCCGGGCTCTTTCCGCCTAGCTCTAGGGTCACGCGCTTCAGGTTGCTACGAGCTGCGGCCTCTTGGATCTTCTTCCCCGTCGCGATTGACCCGGTGAAGCTAACCTTGCGAATCTTCATGTGCTCGGCGAGGAGGGCGCCAGTAGATCCAGGTCCCGTAACAACTTGTATCACGCCAGGGGGGAATCCAGCTTTCTCAAAGAGAGATGCTACAGCTAAGGATCCCAGAGGCGTCTTCTCACTCGGCTTCACAATCATTACATTTCCCGTCGCCAGCGCCGGAGCAGCCTTAAGCATAAAGGTTGCGACCGGCGCATTGAAGGGGTTGATTGCGGCACAGACACCCAGGGGCTCGTGTCGGACCAGCTTCACAAAACCTGACACAAAGAACTGTTCAGTACCGGACACCAACGGGGGAGATCGCCATCAACTCTCTCTTACCGTCGTCCGCTGGATAGTAGTCGCCCTTCTGTTTGTCTGTCCATCCTGCATAGTACAGCAGACAGTTTTTGATGTAATTTCGTTCCCGGACGGGAGCGAGAGAAATGGGGATTCCGGACGTGAGCGAGTCCAGCGTGAGAATCGGCATGAGCTCGTCTTCAATCAGGGTGGCCAGCTTGAAGAGGCACTCGGTCCTTTGGATGGCTGAAAACCGACTCCACGGCCCATTGAAGGCCTCTTCCGCATATTTGACTGCCGCCTCGATATCTTCAGGGCCGGCGATGGGAATGTTATCCACGACAACAGTGTTATCCTTGGGATTTTGGAGACTGTACGTCTCTTTGCCCTTGGCCGCGACGTACTGGCCGTTCAAATACAGCCGAGTGTAGTCCTTCGGATTCAAGACAGCGCTACCCATTGCTGCGGCGTCTCAGACCTTCTCCTCCAACGGCTTCACTCACGATGGAGCTTCAAAGGGGCGCGCTATTCGCAAGGCACTTTAAATGCCCCTTCACCGGAGCACGCCAGGCAGGGGGCACGGACACCTCGGGCCGGTGGTGGGCCAGCCCGATTGGAAGCTAGGCGGTTACCGACGTATGTTCGTTTTGCATTTCGGACATGCAGTGCCATCATGTGGTGACCCCATGAACAACAACTTACCCCTCCCTCTTGAACCGCAAACTTCCAGCTTCGAAACCCTATCCTGGTCCTCGTGGCTGCCTCAAGACTTGGAGAACGGTTTAACCTCGGCCCACGCCGACAATGGCGGTGGCTTATTAAATGCATCAGGTACGGGTTCATTGTCGATGCTCCTCCGGCGTCTGCGAGCTACCGTCTTTCCAACCGCACGCCGCTCGAGCAACTAGCCATGGCAGGTCAAATGGAACTCTGGGCCCTGACAGAATGGGACACGCCTCTGAAGAAGATCCATCAGCCTATTCCCACTCCTCGAGGGACGGAAGTCTTGGTGAAAGTCAGCCATGCAGGAGTGTGCCACTCGGATCTCCATACCTCCGAGGGCTTCTATGATATGGGAGGAGGCAAGCGATTCTACGTCAAAGAGCGTGGCATCCAGCTGCCTATCGCGCTGGGACACGAGATCCTGGGAGAAGTGGCCGCCGCTGGACCCGATGCAGGCTCTGTCGCCGTGGGGTCCCGTCACATCGTGTATCCGTGGCTCGGATGCGGGACTTGCGCGCGCTGCACCCAGGAAAAGGACAACTTGTGCGCCGGGCAAAGGGCGCTCGGCGTGCTTCGAAACGGCGGGTTTGCTGAGTACGTGCTGGTTCCACACCCGAAGTACCTCGTAGATCTGGGCGATCTCGACCCCTCGGTGGCGTGTACCTTTGGCTGTTCTGGCGTCACCACGCTTAGTTCCGTCAGTAAGGTCATGCCCCTGCCGCCGGACGAGCCGGTCCTCCTGATCGGTGCGGGTGGCCTGGGGCTGGCGGCAATATCGGTGTTGAAAGCCTTTGGACACAAGTCCATCGTCAGCGCCGACATCAGCGACGACAAACTGGCGGCGGCCGCTGCGGCCGGTGCCACAAAGACCATCAACACCTCTGGGCCGTCCGCCGCGCAAGACATCCTCGCCGCCACCAATGGGCCGGTCCTCGCCGTGATTGACTTTGTGAACAATTCGGGCACCGCAAGCATGGTCCCTGGCCTGCTCGCGAAAGGGGCCAAATGGGTCCAAGTCGGCGTTATGGGAGGCTCTATTGAGCTGTCTCTCGTGGCGAACATTTTCAGGGGCCTGACAATTTATTCCAACCTTACTGGAGGTTTGGACGAACTCCGGAGCGTCGTGCAGCTGGCGAAAGAAGGGAAGCTACCTCCCGTGTTGGTCCAGAAGATGCCGTGGAACTCGGTGAATGAAGCTATGGACTTACTGAGGGCGGGAAAAGCTTTGGGCCGAATTGTGCTCGTCAAGTGATGGACTGTCACAATTCCGTGGCCAGAGCAAAAGTTGCCCTTGTGATCCTTCTCCGTACATCGTGCACTCATGCTCGCTTCTAGAATTTTAAACGGCCTATTCGCGGACGCTAGGTCCCGTCGTGCCGCCACTGAGTCGTAGAAGCAACTCTTAATACAACCGCTGTGCACATCACCACGTTCTTGTTCTTGATTTATGAACTCGATTTTGTAATGCTAAAGTATGTATATCTGTCCTTCTCTAATCGCTTGAAATTATGGTGCGATTGACGTTATATCACGCGCTATGGGACCTCGGGTGTGAATCGAGGGATCGCCAATCGCGACGTCAGCAGCGACGGATCGAGAAAAGTTCATGCTTGCCCATCCTGTCTCGGTCTCCTCGTCGAGCCAGGAAGTCCAAGTGGGTACTCCACCAAAGTAGAACAACGGATCGATCGCCTTGCCAGGGATGTTGGCGCCCACGAACCACGCCTTGGATGCCATGACTGATTCGGCAAAGAGCGTGGCCTCGAATGCCTCCCGGAGGTGAGCAGACCATGCGGCCGCCAGCGGCGAGATCTTGTCTCGGCATCGGCCGACCGAGGTGATCAAGGCAAGGATTTCCGGGCCGAATCTCCATACTCGAGGTTATGCGACGGTGTGCTGGGTATGCAGTGTCCGCAAGCAGCTCGGAACACAC